CCCCCCCCCCGCCCAAAGAGTAACCTCACGCCTCACCCGGGCAGCCTGATCGGCGCTGATGGATGCTGCCTCGGAGTGGGCACGACATAGATCAAGCTCCCGCTCGAGCTCTGCGATGCGAGCATGGCTCGCCGGGGGATCCTCCATTGGGGGGTGATGGGGGGACCCCGCCCCTACACCGACAAGATACGAAGCTGATGGACTCGGTGCCTCAACCCAAGCACAGGCCCCCAGCCCGATCTGACAAGAATAGACTAGCAATTGGTGGGCTCGTAGGGGCTCGGCGGGGGGACATCGGCGCGCAATGCGATCCAAATGTTGAGAGTTGCAGGGGCAGTACCTAAGATGCAAGCTCTGCTGTGCCGATGGTACTACCATCCCTTGCGGGGAGGGGCCCCAGCATATTTTATTTCCTCTGATGTCCCTCCCGGGCATCACAGATCCAGTCACTCGCGCGGATCCCTCCCAAAACCTTTTGCAGGATGTCCAGAGACGCACCCCCCGGTACCAAGGTGTACGTCGGCAACCTTGAGCCGGACACGCAGGAGTCGGTGCTGTCGGATGAGGTGTGTGCGCCAAGAGATTTCGCCCGTCCAGCCCCTGCTCCGACCCCTGTGTGACGGCCATCATCCCATCTTCATGACTCCTCGCGTCTCCTGGTCCTCATCGAGCGACACCCTGCCCCCTGTCGGTCTCCACGCCCTCCTGCCGCCTTCTGACGCTGTGCCTCTCCTCCTCAGTTCTCCAAGTACGGACGCATCTCCAGCTGCTGGTTGGCCCGCAACCCTTCTGGTGAGCGTTGCATGGAGGGTTGCGGCTGTGGCCTTGCGATCGCCGCTGCGCTGCGTCCCTGCACCTCGATCACTGGCCAGTCATCCCCCCGAGACAACGATGCCCATCCCTGCAGGCTTCGCCTTCGTCCAGTTCGAGGACCCTCGTGATGCGGAGGACGCAGTCACCGGACTGGCCGGCAAGAACGGGTGGCGCGTTGAGGTAGCGCGCCCACCCCGTGCCCGTGATGACCGCTTCGGTGGTGGTCCCCCCGGTGGTGGCGACCGCAGGTGGGCCGGGATTCTATTAACATGGCTGAGAAGGGTGCGGGAACGATGGGTGTCCAATTCCACGGCTCTCTGCTGCTCAGTTAACAAGCCCCTGGCGCGATATCCACCCTGATAGGCTCTCCACCCCTCCTCCATCACAGGTGCTACCAGTGCAATGAGCCAGGGCACTTTGCGCGTGAGTGCCCTCGTGGGCCCGGCGGCGGCGGCGGCGGCGGTGGCGGCGGTTACGGCGACCGCGACCGCGGTTACGGCGACCGCGAACGCAGCTATGGCGACCGCGACCGTGGCTATGGCGGCGACAGATCCCGTGACGACAGGCGCGACGACAGGCGCTCCGACCGCTACAGCGATCGCGACAGGTGCGCGAGCGGCTGGCATTTAATTGTTTGGATAGTGTACAGGGTGAACGCGTCGCTTCGCTCAGGACTTCCTGGTGCAGGCCCGCTCGTCAATGCTGTGTGCTGTGCCTCTGCGATCCTGGCCTGCTGTAGCTCCAGGGACCAGGGCGCCACACGGGCTGTGCTGATTGCGCTCCGAGTGCCCCCTGCTGACCCCCTGGACATCCTTGCGGAGCGTTCGTACACCACCTGTACCTCACTATGCTCTCCTGCGGGCCCCCACCCCTACATAGGGACTACGAGCGCCGCGACGACCGGGATCGCAGGGAACGCAGCCCCGTCCCCGAGCGCAGGCGCGAGCGCAGCCCGGCCGGCGAGCGGGACCGCAGGGACAGGAGCCCCCCCGCGGCGGTGGACCGCGACCGCCGTGGCTCCCCCGAGTACTGAGCCCGACGATGGGTGGGCGTGGGCTGGGCTTTGCCCTGGTGCCTCGCGCAAGTATGGCAGGATTGTTCTTTCCCGCCAAACGCCATGCCCTGGCCCTGCCTGACGCTCTGTGACGGAAGGACTCACAGCAAAGATGTGGTCAGCAATAATTATGCAAAGGCGTGGAAATTGTCAGGGAGAGAGGGGGGTTGGCTTCCCGCCTGCACTGGCAGGTGCATGTCGATCAGAGAGTGCACCGCGCTCTTGATCTTGACAGGGTGAGCAGGCATTGGCCTCGGCCCTTGGCGCCAGATTGCCTTGCTCGACTGTCCGCCGTGGCGTACCATCATGCACAGCGTCGCTGCATGCGAGGGGTGTTCAGTCCTGGGGGCTTGGCAACAAGGTCTAGCAGCGTGGACCCTTCACCCGCCCCGGCCGGCTGCGGGTCTGTGAATGCGGGCCGTCTAAGAGCTATAATCCCTTTGCTCACTGCCACGCTGTCCCTCACACCGCCTTCCACGTGCTGAGCAGCCCCGCATCCGACCAGGTGGCCAGCAGGTTGCGGTGGGGGTGGTGCGCCACGCCGATGGGCCCCTTCTCGGTGACGCGCTGGGTGCCCTCCAGCCTCCCCCCCGCCCCCCGTGGCGAAGCTGTACAGCACGCCATCCTCGCCGAGGCAGTGCGCCCACTCGCCACGTGGCGACAGCGCGGCGGCAACGAAGTCGCCGCCCTCCGCCCTGCCCGACTGGAAGCTGCGCAGCACCTGCCCCGTCAGCGTCATGAGGTACAGCGTGCTGCACCGCCCCGCCACGTAGACCTGGCCCGGGTTGGCGGGGTCGGGGAGCAGGCGGTCCAGCGCCACATCGCCCACGCGCGCGCCGGGCGGCGGCGGCCGGAAGCTGGCCAGGCACTCGCAGGAGCGCACATCCCACAGCCGGACGCTGCCGTCGGCGGAGGCGGAGAGCACGCGCGAGCCCTGCACCACGTACACCGCGCAGTTGACGAAGGAGGTGTGGCCCCGGAACTCCTTGAGCATGCGCCCGCTCTTGATGCCATGCACCCTGAACGGGGGTGGGGAGACGGGTGAGTGAACAGGGGGAGGAGGTGGTGGGTGAGGAGTAGGTGGGTGAGGAGGTGTCAGCTGACCACCAGGACCCAAAGCCAGCCACTCAGCTGCACAAACACTTGACAGCGATCACAACCGGCCCCGCGTCCAGGGGCCTGGCGGCACCCTGAGATCCTGCACCCCCCTCCCTTACACGAACAGCCACCCACCGGATGAGGCCGTCGTAGCTGGTGCTGAGCACATGGCTGGAGTCTGCGCTGAGGGCCAGGCTCGTCACGCCTTGGGTGTGGGCCGAGTCGAACCTGCGGACGCACTGGCCGGTTGCCACCCGCCAGACCTTGATCTTGCCGTCCTGGGGGGGCAGGGGATTTAACGAGGGATGGGAGGGGTTGGTAGATTGTTGGGGCTGTGGGGGTGACGGTTGCAAGAAGGGGGCTACCCGCTGGGCCTCGACCGCACATCACGCAAGCATTTCGCTGCCTTGCTTGCCGCCCGGACTTCCTCCCTTCTCCATTTCAATTCCCCATCAGCATGTCTGCCACCAACATTGGCCAATGCAGCGCAGGAGCCTCGATGTCGACATGAATCCCTGCCTGCCTGTTCTCTAGGACCTTCCCACCCTTCCCTCCCCATCCAACCCCAATGCCACAAGCCTGATACTTCCCCCCAGAATGAACACTCCACAAATGCGCCCACCATGGAGCCTGATGCCAGGAGCTCGGAGTCGGAGGACCAGGCCAGCGCCAGCACCGCCTGGTCATGCATCATGAACCGCTCCTCGGCCTGGTAGGCAAGATCCTTCTTCAGCTTGCCGCTGACGTGGTCCCACACCTCGATGAAGCCGTCGACACTGCCGGTGACCAGGAGCAGGCCGTCGGGCGAGAAGGCGGCGGTCTCCGGGTGTGACTTGGTCCCAAACTTGATGGTGCGGTCCAGAGCTGTGGGGCAACGCTCCACCTCATCGCGGGCCCCCGCTGCCGACCCGCGGAACAGGTCGAATGTGGCGCCCGGCGCCAGCAGGCCCTGGTGCTGCTGCCTGTGTTTGGGTATCGTAGGGTGCTCTGTATTCTTTTCAGAGGGGCGGGCAGGATATCTGGAAGGTTGGTCGTGGCGTAGAGTCCTCAAAGGAGTCATATGGAGGGACAACACACGGGCAGCTGGAATCCAGCACAGCTGTATTTGTCGCCCGCTCAACACCCCACCGTCTTCAACAACAAGCGCTCACCACTTGAGGGCCTGGCCGATGACGGCCATCAGGCGGGAGGGCGGCACCGAGGTCACCTCCACCGCCAGCCTGGCGGCCAGGGCGCCGCGGCGCGCGTCGCGCGGTGTCGCACCGTAGAGGTCCCGCGCGTCTGGCGACGGCGCGGCGGCCAGGCGCTCGAGGCGGGCGTAGCGCCCAGCGTCGGCGTCGCGCATGCGCGCAAACACCGCGGCCTGGCGCAGGAGGGGCTTGGCGGTGTCGGTCTCACGCAGCTCCAGCAGCTCCAGCAGCACCTGCTCGTACAGGTCCTCCAGCAGGTCCACCGGCAGCTTCAGGGTGGCCAGCTGGGGCAGGATCAGGTCCCACCGTCCCGCCCGCACGTCCGCGGTGAAGGCCTCCAGACTCTCCACCGCATTCAGCGACACCCCGCACTCCTCCTGGATGGCTGCGAAGGAGGACGTCAGTGAGTTCTCCTTGCAGAACTGCAGGATGACCTTGATCACACTGGGGTGGTGGGAGGAGGGGGGTTGGAGGGGGGCCATAAGGGATATGAGGGTCATGGAACAGGTGGCTCCTCATGGTCCAGTCTGAAATATCAGCGCAGTCCCAGCACGGCACCGATGCAGGGCCTCGAGAACAGAGTAGCCAAGCTCAGAGTGCACTCACTCTGTGGCAGCGATCTCCAGGGACATGGCTCCACTGCCTTCCTCAGGCAGGACCACGCACAGCCTTGATGCAGCACAGGCTGACTGGAGTGGAAATTATGCCACAGGTGGCGCCATCGCACACTCCTTGTAAAGTGTTCCCAACCTGGGCGGCACGACGCGGATCGTGTTATCTAAACGATTGCTCAAATGACGAACTGTTTAGGTAAGCCTTTACTCGGAAGCCTCCTCATGAGGACTGCAGGTGCAGAGGCATTGTCGGTTTTGCGCGCGCGGAATTGAGAAGACTCCCCTCTGAGACTCTCCTGTGAAAAGTAATCCTCCAGGCGGTGAGCACACTGGAGAATCATCTGAAAAACAATGTCTAGCTTGTGTTACTGACCCTCAATGAGCCATGGCATGGCTTTACAAGTTGCATGCTGGACATTGGACGCATTACTTTTGCTCACATCACGGGTGACACACGTCCCTACAATCACACATTCAAAGCGTCAAACAAAAAAGAATGGGGGAGAGCGACATGAGATGGAAAGGGATCACCCTGCTCGGTCCTGGAGCCTGTTCCCGGTTTTGGTGCAGGAATGGAGCACACCAAGAGGTGGCACAGGCAGAGAGGGTCAAAGACTCCTGTAACAGTGCGATGAGCATCGTGGATGGTTGTGCGGTCAACGTATCTTCAGCTCCTTCACCTTCGATTTATACACAAATGGTACTAGCTAGTCCTGTTGCACCCTACTTCTTTGGTGGAGGGCTCCTCTTCTTTGGAGGCGGTGGATAGTGCTTCTTGCTGGGCGGCGGAGGCCTCCTTTTGGTGGGCGGTGGGGACTTCTTCTTTGTGGGTGGAGGAGGCTTCTTCTTGGATGGCGGCGGAGACTTCTTCTTAGGGGGCGGTGGATGCCTCCTTGCTGGAGGCGGCGGGGTTTTCTTCTTGGGCGGCGGTGGGTGTCTTTTAGAGGGAGGTGGATGCTTCTTCTGTGGAGGCGGCGGAGACTTCTTCTTCGGAGGCGGGGGATGTCTCCTTGCTGGAGGCGGCGGGGTTTTCTTCTTGGGCGGGCGGTGGGTGTCTTTTAGAGGGAGGTGGATGCTTCTTCTGTGGAGGCGGCGGAGACTTCTTCTTCGGAGGCGGGGGATGCCGCTTCTGAGGAGGAGGTGGGTGCTTTTTGGTGGGGGGGGGGGGATGCTTCTTGACTGGCGGCGGGGGTGACTTTTTCTTGGGTGGGGGGGACGCTTGGGCGGGGGTGGTGAGCTGATCACCAGCGTCTCAGAGGTCAAGAGTGAGGACTTCTTGCACTGCACAGCAGAGGTCTTCATGTTGTTGCAGAAGATGAAGTTGCCCGTGTTGTTGCTCCCAACGTTGTTGCCCCCACGGTTGTTGTTACCTGCATGAAGTGGGGAAAGAGGTGGGGTCTCAGGCTCCATTTCTTCCACACAGTTCCTGACTGGTGCGCTGTTGCCATGCCCACAACCCAACAGCGTCGCAGCAAACTCCCCCACCCCTTGATCCCCCCTTTCCAAATCCATATCCTCCTTCATGAGCCAACTCTTCCACCAGCACTTGCCAAGGTTGTGGGTGCCGGTGTTGCCGGTCCCAATGTTCAACGACCCTGTGTTTTTCGCCCCCACGTTGAAATTCACGTCGGCCAAGCATGGCTCTCGGCCGTGCGGCACGCATTCCAGGATGGTCAGCCACTCGCAGGTCGTGCATGGCACCTCTGCATCCAATCGCAGCACATTTATGCTGAATGGAAAGTACCACAGGCGCTGGATGTTGGGGTAACTCTCTGTCGTGCCAACCCCGCCATGGTAGCCACTGGCCCTGTGTGTAGTATTGATTGGGCGGGAGATTCAGCTCAGCGGGGTGATTCTGGGAGTGCATCATGCTAGCATGAGGTGTTGGACAACAGCAAATGAGTGCAAGTGGTGGTCACATGCATGGCCACCCCTGCTCTGCCAGGCATCACGCCCGCACCTGCAGAACAAGTCAGCGCTCTCCACGCTTACAAGATAGAGATTGCCATATTTCCTGCAGCACAAGAGGCATGGTGGGAAATTGAGATGGTAAAAAAATTGACTGGCAGATCGCAGGCTTGTGAGACAGGTATGGTGACACTGGCCAAAGAGAAGCTGGCGACTGCAACTCGTCAACCCCCATGATGGCAAAAGGGACTGAAAAATCAAGGCAGCCCACTTTCGCGAACGCACTGAATGGTAGGGAGCGCAAAGAACTTGGAGGAGCAGGCGACCTATTGGGAGGGAATGGGATGGAGGTACCGTTGGTAAGGCCCTGGGCCAGGAGGGGCGCCACCAACTGGGCACTACGCAGATTCTTCCAGGTGCCCTGTGAACTCACCGTGGCGCTCTCAGCTACTGTTGACAAGAGTATTAAGCTCAATATCAGGAGTGGCCCTCCTGTCGTTGAACCCAGACCTCCCCGGGCGCTCGGTTGGGTGTGCATCTCTCCCGGACCTCGACGGGGAGCCGGACTTCAACGACGGCCCGGCCCGAAGAACAGTGGCCCGAGATTTACTGACTAGACATCTTGAGTTGCGGGAGGTACACTCATCGATATGTTTGGGACCGTGAAGGGCCATTTTAGCGCACCCGCATCGGGAGCAGCTCCGGCTGGGCCCGGACCCCAGGTCTCCGGGCACGCCGCTCGGATCCGCGCACCACGGGCAGGGAGGATCACCCAGGCTCCGGCATGTCGTGCTTCAGATGTGTCAAAGTGTTACATCGTCAGAGGTACAACACCAACAGCAGCAGCATTGAGCAGGATAGATGGTCAGTGATGCCGCAAGGGGCTCCCTGCGCCTCGTGCCAGGGGCACCTGCCTCGGACCGGCAGCAGCCACCCCCCCTCGCCCCTCAGCCCATGTACATGCCCGCGCCCGTATCATGCTCGGCCTTCTGCTGCGCGCGCTGCGAGGCCTGCTGCTGCTGCAGCAGGCGCACCACCGCCCCTGCCTGCGCGGCGCGCGGCAGCTCGGCGATGCGGGCCTGCACCGAGGGCGGCAGTGAGGCCATGAAGGCACGCAGCTGCGCGGCGCGCTCGGCGTCTCCGGGCCGCGCCTGCTGTTGCTGCTGCTGCTGCCACTGCGCCTGCTGCATCTGCTGCGCGTGCTGTGCATGCATCTGCTGCATGTGCTGGGCCTGCTGCATGTGCTGGGCCTGCTGCATCTGCTGGGCCTGCTGCATCTGCTGGGCCTGCTGCATCTGCTGCTGCGCCTGCGCCTGCTGCATGTGCGCCTGCGCCTGCGCATGCTGCAGGTGTGCCTGGGCCTGCGCCTGCGCCTGCTGCGCCTGCTGCATGTGCGCCTGCGCCTGCGCCTGCTGCATGTTGGCCTGCGCCTGCTGCGCACGCTGCGCGGCCACCACGTGCCGCGCGTACAGCGCCTCGAACGTCGCGCTCTGCTGCGCCAGCGACAGCTCCAGCACCTGGTGCCGCTCCTGGGGCGTCATGCGCGACAGCAGCGCCTGCACCGCGCTCTGCTGCGCCTCGGGCGGCAGCGCACCCAGCGTCGGTGCCACGGGGCCCTGGGCGGCGGGCGGCCGCCCGGGGCCGTACTGGTGGGCCTGGCGCGCGCCCGGGTCGCCCTGCAGGTAGCCCCCGCCGGGGCGCCGGTCGTAGGCGCCGCCCGCGCGCACGGCCGCCGCCGCCTGCTGGGCCTGCAGATGCGCGACGAGCTGGGGCCGGAGGTGCGGCGGCGCGGCCGCGATCTGCGCCAGCATGGCGGCGCGGCGATGCGCGGCCGCCGCGTCGCCGGCCCCCGGCCCGCGCCCCGTGGCGCCGCCGCCGTGCTGCTGGTACGCCGGCCGGTGCCGCTCGCCCGCCGCTTCGGCTGCCGCCGCGCGCGCGCGCTTGGTCCTCGGCGCGTCGCTGTCCTCGTCGCTGTCGTCGTACTCGCTGCTCCCAAAGTCCCCCGCCTCCTCCCCCGAGTCGGGATCGGACTCCTCGTCCAGGCCCGCCGCCGCCGCGCCGCCGCCGCGCCGTCCGCCCAGCGCCGCCGACACGCCGTACAGGCCGGCGGCGGTGGCGCCCAGGGGCAGCGTGCCGTGCGCCGCCTGCTTCAGGCGGTTCACCGCCGCGCGGCTGCTGCGCGGCCGCCGTACGGGCCGGCCGGAGCGCGGCCGCCGCGGGTGCGCCACGTCCGCCGGGCTGTGGCCGGGGACAAAGGCGGCGTGAGCGTGCCGCGTCAGCGTAGGGGTCGCCGACGCGGCCGGGCTGGGATCCACGCCCTTGGGCCTTGGGGCGCGCCTCGGTGACGCACGCCCCCGCGCGCCCCTGCCGCCCCGCGCGGCGCCGGAGGGCTTTCCAGCCGGCCCTACGGGTGCCGCGGTGACTGCCGCGGGACTGCCCTGTCCCGCCTCTGGGGCCGCAGGAGCCTCGGCGTCTGGTGAGGCAGGGGCTCCTTGTGGCTCGGCGACCTCCGAGGGCGCAGCAGCCCCATCTGTAGCCCCTCTCTCCTCGTCGCCCGGTTCTGCCCCTGATGGAGCAGCGACGCCGGCGGCGAGGCCGGACGGGACATCGGCGGCTCTAGCGCCGTCCTCCGGCATGGCTTCGCGCTTTACCACTGTGGGCGACTCTCCCTCGACAGGACACCCTGCAGGTTGCGCTTGATTGCCAGGCGCGGATTCGTAGCCATCTCTCGGGTGCTGGGGTTCTGCCGCGGGACCATCGTGCTCAAGCTTCTCTGCCTCGTCCTCCTTCACTCCGCCAGCTCTGGGCCCGGGGCTCGCCTCCTCGTCAGCTCCGCCTGCGGTACACTGTACTTCAGCGGGAAGCGGTACTCCGGCCTGCGCAGTTGGTTCGTCGCGCATGTCACCGTCTGACTCCGGACTTGTTGCAACCTCAGGCTCAGCCTCTGTGCGGGCTTCGCCCACCAATGGGAAGTGGGTAACGCCACCACCCACAGGTCCCTCGTCAGCGGCCACAGATGGCAGGCCTTCCTCGCCACTGCCAGCAGCACTCGCCTGTGCCGCCCCCTCGGCGGCCGGCAGATGACTCAGGGTGCAATCATTGCCTACCGAGTTCTCTTCGTCCTGCAGTGGAGGAAGTGGTGCTGCTCCTTTGGGGTCTCATTCAAGAAAAGGAAGTCCGAGAAAGACCTGCGCCACCCCAGAGCACGAAACGAATCATGGACCTTCAACTGCAATGCACCCGAGACCTTCAAGCCTGGGACCTACATGTTGTCTGTCTGGTCTGGGCGCTTCCCCAACCTCAGCTGGGAAGGCTTCGGCCACTGGGGCAGGGCTCGGCTGGCGTCCCTCTGCCCCAGCAGCCTCGAAGTCTGTGCTGTCAGCCATGCACAAGAGGGCTGGAAAAACAGGACTAGACTTAAGGGTTGCCAGTCATCGACGTCTGTGGGGGTGAAAGGGGATGATGGATGGATCTAGAGTGAGGTTCATGAGCACTTGGTTCATGGCAGGGCGAACTGTGAGCCCATGCGTGCGCAGCGCGCAGGATGGTCTCAGAGAGCTGCGTCCGCGGTCACAGGTCCCGCACCACCATTCAATGCCGAGACAGGAGTGCGTGGGGCGACATGCATGGCTGCATGAAAGCCTCACACCCCCCAACGAATCGTGCGTCCTCCCCACCCTCCCGTTCGCACCTGCAATCCCCTGCAGCTCTGGGACCTCTAGCGCGCGCTTCGCCGCTCTGAATCAGCGTGGTGAAACGATCGAGGTGGTTCAGGGTGTTCCCCGAGGTGCCGACCGGTGGTCCAGCTGGCAGTGCTCCGCGGTTCAAAATATTTCGAGCCGGGTCTGCGACAGAAGGCTGACGGTGAAGTCCCGACAGAGACCCTCCCCGACACTTCCCAGATGTGCAGCACACTTTTTCAATAAAGTCCCGGCCTGTTGGGTAGCTGCTCGGGCAGGTGACAGCTGAGGTTGCACACAGCTTTGGAGACCCCTCTCTGGCGATCGTCAGGATGCTGCAGGCCCCCGTTTCACTCCTTGATTTTCATGACCATCGCCGGGGCGTCCATGACGTAGACCAGGCTCCCACCCGCCCGTCTGTCTCCCGGGGTCGCGCCAGTGCGGGGGCATCTTCTCGGAGTGGCCCCGGCGGTACAAAAGCGGTACGGCTTTCTGCATGGACTGCTCCGGCACCGTCCACATGCGGGGCAGCCATCGACAGCCTTACTCCTGAACACCCGATCTCTTGTCTTTGTACGCGGCAGTTGGGCATACCTCAAAAACGCAGCACAGATGGCAGGAATGGGGGGAGTGGCAGGGTGGGGCAACAACATGGAGCAGGAATGGCAGGGGATGGAAGGGCCAGCCGGGGCGCAGGGCTCTGACACGTGGGAGCACGATGAACGCGTACACAACCCCCCACCGCCGTGGTCACCTCCCGTTGTACGTCCCGTCCGGCACGCCCGCCCCGCCTCTGCCCGGCGCGCCCAGCACCAGGGTCTGCGCCGACACGAGGTGCGCGTACCGCCCCCCCCGCGCCAGCAGCTCCTCGTGCGCCCCTGCCTCCACCACCCGCCCCTCCTCCAGCACCAGGATCTGGTCCGCCGCCTGCACCGTGGACAGCCGGTGTGCGATGACCAGCACCGTGCGCTGCGCAGTCAGCGTGCGCAGCGCGCTCTGCACCGCCGCCTCGCTCGCCGCGTCCAGCGCTGAGGTCGCCTCGTCCAGCACCAGGATCGGCGCGTCGCGCAGGAAGGCGCGCGCCAGGGCCACGCGCTGGCGCTGGCCGCCGGAGAGCAGGCCGCCGCGCTCGCCCACGCGCGTGTCGTAGCCCAGCGGCAGGCCCGTGACGAAGTCGTGGGCGTGAGCGGCGCGCGCCGCGCGCTCCACCTCGATCGACGTGGCCTCCGGCGCGCCGTACGCGATGTTCTCCGCCACCGTGCCGGAGAAGAGGCGCGGCTCCTGGGCCACCGCGGTGACCCCCGCCACCCAGGCCTCGCGGGAAAAGGACTGGATGGGAACGCCGCCCAGGCTGATCTCGCCAGAGTCGACAGAGTACAGGCGCTGGATGAGCAGGCCCACCGTGGACTTGCCCGCCCCGGAGTGCCCCACCAGCGCGGTTACCCGGCCGGCCGGCAGGCGCAGGTTCAGGCCACGCAGGACCGGCCGCTCGGGGCGGGCGGGGTAGGAGAACCAGACGTCTTTGAAGACGACGTCGCCGGTGGGCAAGGGCGCGGGAGCCGGGCGGGGTGATGTGGTCGGGATGCCGGTGTCGTTTGTGTTGCCGCGCTCGGAAGAGCTGCTGCTGCTGTGGGTCGGGCCGCCGGAGGCGGGGGTTCCATCATCCACGGCCCCAGACGCAGGGGAGATGGAGGTCGCACGGCTCCTATTCCCGTCGCCGGGCCGGTTCTCTGCGTTGCTCGTCCCTGGAAGCTCGCAGGCGTCTGCCGCGGCGTTGGCCACCTCCCACCACGCGCCTGGAGGAGAGAGGAAGATGGTTTTTGTGAGGAGGGAAAGGGGCGGAGGGATGTACGGGACACCAGAGCCTCGCCTGGTTGATGCAAGCAAGCCCCCCACACACAGCCGCCAATGGCAACCATCTCCAGGATCCCGACGCCAAGCTTTTGAACCACCGCACGAATGCACGTGCCTCTCTCGCATGCACACCTGGCGCCAGGCTGGCAGCCATGGAGGGGTCGGGCGGCAGCTCCGCCAGCACGCCCTGCACACGGAGGAGGGCGGCGGCTGTGGTCCGCGCGTCGATGAAGCTCTGCAGCATGCCCTGCGTCGCGAACACCAGGCTGAAGGTGAAGCCGATGGCCGTCAGCATCGTGCCCGTGGGCAGCAGGCCCCGGCTCACCAGGTAGCCTGTGTGGGGGCGGGGGGGAAGTGGAGGGTTGAGGTGGGGGGGGGACTCGGAGTTACGCGGTGAAGATGGGGAAGGATTTGGCTTAAAGGAGGGGGGATAGAAAGCTCCGTACAACTACTTGTAGACAACCCCCCTCCATTTATCCATTGCAGGCTTTACAACCCCCCGACCCAAAGCTCACCCCCGAGGGCGTAGAGGGCGAGGAGGGAGGCGTGGGTGGCGCCGCGATTCACGCTCTCCAGCAGCGCCTTGGCCCTGCTGAAGCCCAGGCCCGCCTGCCGCGCCTCGGCCACGTGGCGGTCGAAGCGCTCCCGCTCCAGCCCCTCCCCTGCAAACACGCGCACAGTGCGGATGTTGGCAAAGGTCTCGTCTGCCGCCTCGGCCATGCGCGCGGCGGCGGCCGCCGCCGCACGCTCCACGGCCCGAGTCTGGGCGCGGTAGAGGAAAGCGGTGGCCCCCGCCGCCAGGATCACGCCCGCCAGCACGGGCCCCAGCCGCCAGGAGAGCAGGCCCAGCACCAGCACCGAGCCAGTGGCCTCCAGCAGTGCTCGCAGGCCGCGGTCGCGTGAGACATTGTTGAAGACCAGCGAGCGTACCGTGTCCAGGTCCTTGCAGATGAGGGCGGTCAGCTCAGAGGACCTTCATCATTATTATTATTCATTATTGTGTTTGGGGAGGAGGGGGGAGTGTTGGCTAGGAAGGAGGACAAGAACAAGGAGTAAGGAGGTTGAATTTTCAAACCTAGAGGGGCGACAAGCGTGCGGCCAAATGACAGACTTGGCAAAGTGTGTAGGTTTATGGCGACATCTTTTGTGATGTGCAAACATCCCTGTCGCCCTATGCACCCTCCCCCCTCCACACACCCAAGCACCACCCAGCGCGCCCACCTGTGAGCATCAAAGAATTCGATGCGCTGCATGAGAAGCGTACGGAAGGCCTCGGAGCGAAGGCTGGCCTGCACCGCCTCGCCCGCGGCGCAGGCCGACCTGATGTAGACCTGGGTCAGCAGCGGCTCCACCGTGTATGTTGCCGCCAGGCCCACCAGCAACAGCTTGTACCTTTGAGGATCGGGGGTGGGGAAAAAGCTTGAATACTCGGAGAATGACAGGCTGTGGGCATTCTCAAAGTTGCGGCATCACGCCGCCAGGCAACGCCTAGCAGGGAGAGGCAGCCGCATGCAGATGTGGCTCTATAGTGGTGGCGTGGAGCGACAATCGTGCTCTAATGGATCGGGCGAAGCAGCAGGCGGCTGGCGGCACACCGGCAAATGCCGTCGCCAGGGCCATTCCAACACCGGCATCTAGAACCACTGCCCAGCCACACTCACTGCTCAAAGGGCTGCTGCTGCACCAGGTTCTCAAACAGGGCGCCGGAGAGCACGGGAGACACGAGGTTGCAGGCCACACACACCATTACGGCGAGGCCGGCCCTGACCAGCTGCGGCCACTGCTTGCGCACCAGACCCCACACGTACTGATCGTCCAGGGGGCCTCGTCGTGGGGTCCAGGGGCTGTGTGCGCCCTGGGCTGGGGCGCTGGCCCCACTCAAGGAGGCAGCTGCTGTGGCAGCCAGAGGGATTCGCCGGCATCGCGCCAGGCCCACAGGGCGACGTGCCCAGTCTGTCGGAGCGGCGCGCCATCTCAAATGCTGGAGTGTGGGCTGGTTTGGTGACTGGATGGGCGTGGGGCGCCAGAGAACCCCGGACGCATGACGTCCTGCCTGGGCGAACATCCCCGGCAACCCACGCTGCTGAGTCTCAGACCTGGGTGCCCCTAAGTATCATCCATTAGACGAGATACACTGACAATGGACCATGTCCTGGAGGCGCATAAAGGGCACGTCGCATGCCCGATATGGTGGGATCTTTGTATCGCAAGTGCGCCACGATCCAATCGTCGTGTAGGGCGCGACACTCCGCCACTGGTTCGACAGCTTTAGGGGGTCATGTGTCTACATACTGTGGATGATAGAATACCATAGTTGCGATCTATGGTATTTCAAGCCCTACTCCACAATCCCTGCAACTCGAAGCCTGTGGTGCCGACAGTCTGTATATGACTTCCCACGTATGCTACGACCATGCCCGGCACTGCGCCGACGCAGCCCAGCTGCGGGAGATGGCAGCCGATCCAACGCTCGCGTCCTGCTGCCAGCGCGATGCCCAGGAGCAGGCTATGGTTGCCAAGCTCAAGGCCTCGCTGACACTCGTCGACAGGAGCAGGCACAGGGAGCACCTGAGGGAGTCGGTGCTGGGCTGCACCCCCGGCGACACCAGGCCAGATCGTGACAGCTTGGAGACGAGCGACGACGAAGAGCTCGGTACGTGGAGCTGTGCCCTGGGCGTATAGAGAGAATGTGGAGCAGCCGGTGTTTGTGCTGGCCTAGGGTAAAGAACCCTCCCAACAACCCTTCGATCTCCCACAGACAAATTGCGCTCTGCACGCCTCCATCAGCTGCAAGCTGCAGCGAGGGAGGCTCGGAGCAGGAGGGAGAGTGGGCATGGTACATTGCAGACCCTCGATCTCGTCGACCTCAAGGTGGCGCTTTGGTTCAGAGGATCTTGCCTGGGATTTGCAGCGGGTGTTCATGCACGCATCAGGGTGTGCTCCCATATCCCCCGCGTCACCCTGATGTCGCAGGACTTCTTAAAGAGGGCGGAAGCACCTGTCGTCATCCATGCATGCCTGGAGGGAAGCTCATCTGGTCACGAGGCGGATGAAATTCTGACATTGCTGGCGAGTCGTTGCTTGGAAGCTCGTTTCATTCGGATTGAAGTAGGAAGAAAGCAAATCCCCCAGCTCCCAGCATTCTTCCAAGGACAAGTACCAGGTGCCGGGCTGACAGAGGGAGTGGGAAGATCGAGGCTGCATGCGCTCTTCCTCAAGCTTTTCAACAATTCCTGGGGGTCACGGCACTTCCCGAGTGCATCTCCCAATCTCCAATGCCGAGACCCCTTCAAGCCACCCATCTGCAGCCCTGGCATGGATTCATGAGGAGGTCGCTGGCCCCGTCCTGGCTCTGCCGGCGGATGACGAGGAGGTGGGGAACCTGGAGCCGCGCATTCAGCGCTGGTGCAGTGGCCTGGCCTCGCGGGCAGCTAGTCTGGGTCCTGCGTCGGCCCGCGGGGAGCCCACGCACGAGTCTCCATCAGAGGTGAGGCTGATCATGACACTGTAAGCGTCTGGAGTGTGCCTAGTACTTGCGCATGGGGCGACGTCCACCACAAAGGTCATACCTCGCGCTGCAGGGGGACAGCGATGGGGAGGGCGGCCTCCTGCCCTGCGCTGAGTGTGGCCGGCGGTACCCTCACCAGCACATCCGCTCCGTGACGGCCCACGTGTACTCTGACGAGGATGACGACAGATGACATGGATGGACATGGGCTGCTGGCGAGCTGGGAGATCCCAGCATCCACTTTTTCTTATTTAGTTTCTGTGTGGTTCTCTGCGGTTTGACGCTGTCAACACGTGGAAGACACTCACACGGGTTCAGCACGACAGCACCTGGGACAAGAGGGCGCGGCACAGAGGCTCCGTCTCCAGGGATCCAGACCACGCCCATCACAACCCCTCTGCATCCGACAGCTCCTGGTAGAGGCCCCCCACCCCGAATCCGGTGCGCCGGAGGGGGAACCAGGGCGGGATGCCGCGCGCATAGATGAAGCCCGCCAGGCCCCCCCCGCCGAGCAGGGCGCCCAGCAGTAGGCCGAGCAGCGTGGGGCCGTGATGGGAGGGGTGCAGCTCGGCGCGATGGGAGCAGGCCCGACTCACCTCGCAGGGGCCGCCGCCCTCCGGGCAGGCGCACTCCAGCAGGCAGACGCTGGTCCTGGACTCCGTCCACACATCCTGGCAGAGAAAGTTTAAGCATGGGTTGGTGAGAGAATGGTGTTGCATGGCACTGCATGCAAGGAGGAGCTGGACGACTCAATGAGGCCAGTCATACCAGGGCACGCAAGATTCCTCTGATGCATACACTGCCCAGGCAAAACGAGCATCCCCTGCCACAGAGCATGCCTTGACGCAGGCGTCCACCACGCAACGTAGCTCCGTCCCCGCTCGTCTGCTGGGGCTGGGGCACGTATAGTCCACACACTCATCCTCGTCAAACCTGGAGGAGGGAAGGGTGTGCGGCACGCTGGGTGCTCCAACATCAACGCCTCGTAGGGCACTGCACACATGGGTTAGGCAGGCACTCGGTGCCACAAAGACCCTCGTCATTCCCGCCCCTTAGAGAGTTGCACCCTTCCAGACAGCCTCCCCATCACCCAAAAACCCCACCCCACCTGCAACCTGCGCCCTCGTCGGGGCACCGACACTCCTGCCAGCACGTCCCGTTGCCCTTGCTGAGGGTGGAGTTTGCGGCGGGCCGGCGACTGCCCTCCTCACAGCCCCCTGACCCCGAGACAGAGCAGTCGCCCCCCTGCCAGTCGGGCTCGCACCGGCACACACCCTCCTCACTGCACTTTCCATGCCCGCTGCATCCATTCAGGCAGTGGCCCTGTCGCTCCAGGGTCAGGCTGAAGCCGACCTGGGCCAAGTGGGAGGGGACGGGTAGGCTCACAGGGTCGCTCAGCGAGTGGGCCGCTGCAGGAGCGCGAGCACATACACTGACAGAGCACGCTTCTGATCTCCTGACAGGGCTGCAGCATGCTTTCTAACAAGGTGTCGTGAAATCTTAAGCAAGAAAGGGGCCCTGAGCCTGACCTGGAAGCCACGCAAGGGGTTGTACACTGCCAGAGCCCACTCGCCCTTGACCAGCTGGGTGGGGCACAGGGTTAGGGTCCTGGTGACATTCTGCTCCTCCAGCACGAGCTTGTGCGTGTAGGCCTCGGCCGTGGGATATGCAGTATGGTTGGTCTGCAAACGGGGTAAGAAAATCATGGAGGTTGGGGAGTGAGGTGTAGGGTGGAGCAGGGCAACAGCTGGCCCGGACCAGGTAGAGATTTCCATTCAAATGCTTGGTCCATGCTGATGATGAGGATTTGCAGGATCGTGCGCGGAGCAATGCTCAGCACTTGTCTGCATAATTGCAAAGGGCAAAAGCTGTCTGAGCCTCGCTCCCAGGCTGCAACCTCTCACCGGTGAGAGGAGTATCGCAGGCTTGACCTGTGCCCACTGGCCCAGGGATGGGCCGTAGTAGCTGGCAGAGATAATGACCTCGCTCGACCCGTTGAGCATGGCATCTGGGGGAGGCACGAGAAAGAGAAGGGGCTTGGGAGAGCTGCAATCGAGTGCACAAATCAATGTGCAGGCATGGGGTGCCTCAGCGCGAAATCGCCAAAGCAGCGGCTGTGGTAGGCACACGATGTCGCACCCCCCCACACACCCTCCCCTCGTCACTCGCCTGTGATGGCCGGCATGAGGAAGTACTCATACTCGAACTGCGCCGGCTCCCGCTGGACGACATCCCCGTATTCCAGCGCCGCCCTCGACTTGCTGCAGGCCTCGCCCCCATATCTGCAAACGGCTTCGGAAGAATTTTGAGCCTCCGCCCGAGCACCAACACTACAAATCACCCCATGGAGTGTAGACATGGTCCACCTGCCGCAGTGGGAAGGGACAAACCACGCGGAAGCCGCATCAGCCAACCACCCCGGCGGCGCCTGCCCCGCACCCTTCGTCGCAGGTGCACCGTCGCTGGTCGACCGGCGTGCCGGGGTCGCAGGTCCCGTGCCCCGAGCAGCCCAGCGGGCAGTCGAAGCGGTTGAGGAGCAGGGTGAAATTGGCGGGGCGCAGGCCCCCCAGGACCCCGGCGTACCAGTCGCCGGGGCGCAACGTGGCTGACCAGGGCTCGGGGGAGGGCCGGGCGTCCAGCAGCACCTCCAGCTGCCGGTCCCGTTCCGCCGCGTTCCAGCGGGGGCGGGCGTCAAACTGGCCGACCCCGGTGGATGGGGGGACCCCGGCCTTCAGGAAGAGGTCCAGCATGCCTGTCGGGTTTGAGGGCAGAGAAATTCGATGCAGATCAGAAGTGATGAGTTGGAAATAAGAGTGAGAAGCTCGTTCAGAAAGTGCAGCCCACATCGATGGCCTGGAGTTTGACAAGTCTTCCATCTTCAATCGCCAGCACCTCATCATGAAAACACAGGAAAGGGCCCATGCCCTTTTGCTCCATGCTCACCTGGTGTTTCACTCTCCTCAACAATGGCAAGTGAGACTTGGAAGTCGTCGTGGGCAACATGGAAGCGGTAAAACTGCCTGATGTTGAGAGAGGAGTTGGGTGAAAGGAGCGATGGTCAGGCGAAATCCTGGGGGCCCTTTGTGTACCTTCAGCACCTCCAGCTACCCTGACGGCCCGTCTGCTGTGCTCCCTTGCGCCATTCAATCTCACCATCTGTCTGGCTCCACGTGCTGATGCTCCAGGCTCACAACCGTCGCGTTTTTTCCCCCAGGGATCGTGGCATTGAGATCGGTCACGGGGGCAGAGCAGTCCTCAAACCCGAGGCCTGCAAGAGGGTGCGGGACGTTCTGAGAAGCATACGTGTCACCTCTCGCCAGCAGAAACTCCCACTCCTCGCGCCACCATGATGTGCTTTTCTCCTGCATGCACATGCACGCATGAACAATTAAAAACACCACACGCCTGGTGTCCCTCTAGGCCAATAAACGACAGTCACACCATCCACCCCTTCAAACCCCCTTGCCTGGGACAACTTCCGGAACCGGTTTGGCATACTGGCCTGTGCAGAGGCACTGCCCATCGGCAGTACAGCCCTCGTATCGCTTCTCTGTGGCATCCTGGCGGGTGCTGCAGATCAGGGGGCTGGCGTCGCCGGCGTCAAACCCCACGGGGCATACGTTCCTGGCTGCCTTGAGCGAGAAGGCGACCGGGACGGCGCCGTAGGAGCGGACGCAGAGCAGAACGCCCTCGTAGTCCGCCTCGGGCCCCTGGGCGGCCTTGGTGACCTTCTTCACCACCACTGCACGCTGGGCGGCAGAGGTGTCCTGGAAGTCGTAGCCATGGGAGGAGCGGGTAGGGACGGCCAGGCCACGCTTTCCACCCGAGAACAGGCCGAAGAGGTCGGGGTCCCCCTTCTCGTCCGGGCTGGTCCGCGCCAGGCGCACCGCCAGGTGGTTCCAGGAGTCCCCAGCAGCGCTGTCGGTGAATGGAGGTGGGGTTGTGGGTGGGTAGCCTGCAGCGTGATCAGTGCACCCCACTGCAGCCCTTTCATGCAGGAGGGCATGCCCAGCGCCCCCCGTTGTACCAAGCGCATATAGGACTTCGAGGCAGGACCATAGCATTGTCCTCAGCTGAAGTTCGGAGTTGAGGGCCAGGGGTCCAACCCGCACCCCCCACTCACTCCCAGGGGAACTGGGCGGCAAAGCAAACCCATGCCTGAGGCTCCAGCTGGTCACACTGGTCCGCAGCCCGACACCAGTCAGTCATGTCCTCGCTGTCGGCGGGGCTGCCATAGACGGGGATGGAGCAGTCCTTGCCCGTCCAGCCCCTGGACTCGGGAGCCGGCCAGGGGTTGTCGCAGTCACACCCTCCGGAGGGCGTGAGCCGGCCATGCCCGCTACAAGCATCCTGAGCCAGTGCTATGCTGAACAGGCTGAATAGAAGGGCAAGTACACATGCGTAGATAGCGTAGTGTCCCATGGTCACGCCCGAGCTCGATCGCTCGACCAAGCCGCTGACGACCGGAAGTGATCACAACAGCAAGGCGGAGCACAAGCTGCGCAAGGACGAGAGCATCGGGCCCATCCGATACCTGAGTCGATAGATTCTTGGAGCTCGGCATAAGAGGGCAGCCCGATCCAGGGACCTGACGGGCCTCCATGCCGGCATCGGGGAGTCCAGAGCCGGGGCTGTTCCGCGAGATCTTGGGTCATGTTCCCAAGGCACCCAACTTTGCACCCCTGGATGGACTGGGCGTCTGAAGGAATAACAGAGGAGCACCGGGAAACGTTCATGGAATAATAGGTTCTTGAAGGTGGATAAAAGAACGGGTTATTCAGATGGACATCGAGGGCAGGGCAGCAGTGACAGGCAGCGCCAGCTGTCTGTCCTAAGCCTGCCCCCCCCCCTGGCCGGGCTGGCTGTCCCCAACCTCCAGGGACAGGCGGTACGAACGCTTCTTGGGCACGCGCAGCGACTGGGACACGGATGCGGCCGCGGAGGAGCGGGTGTGCCCCGCCCGCATCGCCACCGCCAGCGCCGAGCGCACGTCCTCGTCCGTCAGGCCCTGCTCTGAGCCGCCCGCACCGCCGACCTCGGGTGGGGCCAGGACCAGGGTGTACTCGCCTCGCGGTGCCCGCGCCCCTTGGGCCGGATCGTGCAGCTGTTCCAGCTCGCGCAGCGAGCCCCTCAGAAACTGCTCGTGCAGCTTGGTCATCTCCCGGCCCAGCATTGCCCGGCGGTCGGGCCCCAGCACGGCGCACATGTCGCTGAGCACAGCACGCAGAGCGTGGGGCGACACAAACGCGACCACCGTGGCTGGCAGCCCTGCAGAAGAGCGAGTAGAGGAGTTGGAGATTGATGCGGCAGATCGTGCAGCAGGCCAGGCATCCCTGTGCCGCCGTGCGGTAGTCCTGGGTACCTCCATGCCCCTCTACACACCAGCATCGTTGGCAAGTTCTCAAGTCTATCCAACGCCTGTCCTTTACGCTTCCCACGCCAAACTTTAAATTCCAGCTCCCACCTTGGATCTGCTCCAGCTCCTTGCACCGTGCCTGCTGCTTGGCCGGCAGGAACCCAACGAACAGCATGCGGGAGGTGTCGAATCCCGAAGCCACCGCAGCTGTCAAGAGTGCTGAAGGGCCTGCTTTTCAGGTGTGTGCGGGGTTGGTGAAAGGGGAGGGTGCGACGGTGAGGGTGCTAGTTCGAGTACACGACCATGACTGGATACCCTGCGCTGCCTCCCCCACTCCTCAACTCAGCCATTTTGCCGCTTCCTAACGCCTGATCTGTGGATCTGGTCGAGAACAAAACGGAAGCGACACACAGTGTCCCATTCCACCCACCTGGCACGGGGATGATGGGAATGCCAGCCTCCACCGCAGCTGCTATGAGCCGGCCGCCAGGATCGCTGACGGCGGGCAGCCCTGCATCCGACACCAGTGCCAGGGGGATGCCCGTCAGCAGCTCACGCACAATCTACAACGTGGGAATTGACGCCGGGAGCGGTTTCGAAGCACTGTCGGATACAAGCCTACAACGGAAGCCGTTGCCCAGCATACGCATGGTCTAGATTGGGTCTGGGCTATGGGTTGCTGCCTCGGGCAGCATGGACTTCTTCTCGGTGAGCCGGCTTGCACCCCCCTACTCACCATCCACCACTCACCACACACCACACACCACACACCACACACTCATACACACACCTTGGCGCACTTGGCCGACTCGTTGTGCTCATGCAGGCTTTCCAGGGGGGTGCGCACGTCAAAGTAGGAGCAGAGGTGGGCCGTGTGCCTGGTGTCCTCGCAGAGGATCCTCTCCACGGACCTCAGGACATGCAGTGCCCTGGGACTCAGGTCCTGCAGGTTGCCGATGGGGGTTCCCACCACATGCAGGCCGGCTTGGAGGAGCTGATCGCTGGCGCCAGGGCTTTGCTCTAGAGCCGATGAGCTAGAATGTGTCTGATGGCTCGTTGCTCCCGCCAACCACCCGCTGCATGGCCTAGACCGTCCCACTCGGGTGTGTGCCGAGCGACACAGGCCCACCCAACGGGGAAGGGGCATGCACCCCCGCATGCACTCCCACGGCGTTGGAATTGGGCAATCATGCGCACCTTAAAGCCGATGGATTGGTCCTGTAATAGTTTTCATGCATCGTTCGCGCTCTCCTGGACAGTGAAGCGTGCATGCTGAGCGGGAAATGACTTCCGGCACCAGTGCAAACAGGAGGCCCGTCCACGGGGCGATACTCAAGTCTGCGATCGGACGATTGGGTGCATGCATCTTGAAAACCCTGCTGTTCCCCTCCCGCACCTTCCTCGTCCCAGACTGGGGATTGCGACGATCGCCTCGCCCGCTCGGAAGTCCTGACTCATAGCCCGGTGCTGCACGGGGGGTGTGCACGAGTAGGCAATGCTGCAGAGCATCGCTCGCGGCTTGCGTGCGGCACGTAATGGTTTGACCCATGTGCGACACTTCAGGTAATAGTTGCCGGCGAGAAGGGGCGCCAGGGGGCGGAGCGACGTGGGGGCCCGTGTCGGGCCTCCTGCCTTCCAGGGCACCCCGCCCCTCCCGGTCACGGCCCTTTCTCCAACCCCCCCCCACTTTCATCCCTTCCCCATCGTTCCCACTCCAGCGAGGCCAAGCCCCCGGGCCCCGTCACCAGCCGGCTGGCAGCGCTGGAGGAGGAGACGGCCAGCGGCCATAAGCTCTTCCAAAACGTCAGCCTGCCCGAGGGCGCAGGGGCCGCGGCGGCGACCGCCGCCCGCGCAGGCGGCGCCGGCGCGGGTGCCGGCGCTGGTGCGGCGGCCGCCGGCCCAGAGGCGCTGGGCACCCACCCGCTGCTGAACGCAGCAGGGAACGCGGTGTTCTTCGGCGGCGTGGCCGCCGCCTCCTTCTTCGGCTACTACTACTGGCGCTATGAGGTGGACGAGCTGGAGGCGCTGGTGGAGTCCACCTCCCGCCCCGAGAACGCCTTCCCCGGCTCCGGCGCCTGGGCGGCAGTCATGGGCTGGTATGTGGAGCGGCGGCGCGCGCTGGAGGGGGAGGTGAAGAAGTACGCCGACCCGCCCAGCGACAAGCTGCTGCCCGACCTGCCCCCCGCCGCGCGGCACATCAAGACCCTGGTCCTGGACCTGGACCACCTGCTGGTACACTCCCACTGGACGCGGGAGCGGGGCTGGCGCTGCTACAAGCGCCCCGGGGCCGAGGAGTTCATCGCCGGCATGGCGCAGTACTACGAGCTGGTGGTGTACACCGACAAGCTGTGCACCTACGTGGACCCCATCCTGGACAGGCTGGACCCGCAGCGTCTCATCCAGTACCGCCTGTACCGCGACTCCAACCAGTGGGAGAACAACGAGCACGTGCGCGACCTGACCAAGCTCAACCGCGACCTGGCCCAGGTCCTCTTCCTCACAGCCGACCCCGAGGCGCGCTTCAACCCCCCGGAGAACGGCATCCGGGTGAGAGAGAAGAGGGGGGAGAGGGGATTGGGGGGCGGGAAGGCTATCACCATGTCAAGGGAGCGTGATGCAGAACATTCCACATTGAAGTGCACCGTGCCCTGGCAGCCTGTCAACCATGTACGCTGCACGTCCATACCCACCCGCCTGCCCTCACCCAACCCACCCACCCACAACACCCCAGCTGAAGCCGTGGAGGAAGGAGCCGGGGGACACGGGACTGGTGGACATGCTGCCCTTCCTGGAGGCGGTGGTGGCCACCCATGTGCCCGACGTGCGTCGCACCGTGGCCGCCTATGCCGAGGAGGAGGACATCCCCCAGGCCTTCAAGGCGCGCATGGCAGCCGTGACAGAGCAGCGCGCGCAGCGGCAGGGGGTGGGCCGCGGCCTGCTCTCTGGCCTGGCTGGCGGCAGGTGAGGGCCTGCCCGGGCCGGCGCACGCAGAGGCATTGTAGGACGGCAGCCGCCGTGGGCTGCCGCCGAGGATCCAGCGCGGACAGACGGCCAGCGAGATGCCAACCTCTGCGCTACCCCTCGAGACATGCAGAGATGTGCGGCCCTGCAATGGCGCTCGACGCCCTCGTGTCATCCCCCTGCAGCCTTCCCCCTGAGTAGCAGCCTGAAAAGCGATCCTCTTGTAAGGCGAGAATACAGCATAAAGATGCAGGGTGAGGGAACTGGCTTGCCTTCAGCGGTTGCCGCCCGGCATGTCAACCCTTGATGAGTCTCAGTATAACAGGTCGCACACCCAGGAACTGGAAAGACACACACCATCAGCCCTCCTTAGCACGTTGCTTTGATTTCTTCTTGCTCTTGGGCTTGCCCTCTCCTGTAGCAGACGGTGCCGGCACAGGTTGAAGGTCGGTCGCCGACGCCGAGACTGGAGTATCAGGCAGCGCAGCGTCGCTGTGCTTCCTCTTCTTCTTCTCGGCCTTCGCCCCTCCTGTCTGGTGGGCTGCTGCACCCTCCTGAACGGAGGCTGTCGTGTTGGGAGGTGTGGGTAGGGTGGTGGGCACCGCCCCGGCCGCTGTCGCAGGGGTGCGAGGCTCGGCAGCCGCCTGGGATGCGCCGGGGGACAGCGCCACAGCGGCCACTGCAGGACGAATGCCCCTCCCATGCAGCTCATCCAGGGCCAGGGCAGCGCGCTCTAGGTTGTTCACGTCCGTGTGTGAGAGGCCCTTGTTCTGGGAGACGGTTTATGAGCATGTTGATGAAATGGGTGGGCAACACTGAGCAGGCTCACACGCCAGTGCAAAAGCAATGTCGCCCTCATGCACGGCCCCCTGGCATGCCACCACCTCGACCATCTCACCTTCTCCAGCATGGCCTTAATCATGGCAGCTGCCTGGTTTGGCGTGCATGCCGCCGAGCGCAGGACTTGCGCCCTCACGAATCGGCGCTGCATCCCCCAAGCGCGAACCCCGATGGTGCAAGCAAAGACCACGGCCGACAGGCAAATCCTACTTCAGTTTCTGTTCATATGTCGACCCTTTATTCGAGCAATGTGCGGTCATGAATATTCCAGCGCGAGTGCACTCCTAACATCGAGTACTCCCCAGCCTTCCCGCGCTGGCTGAGAGCAGCCCCCCATCCCACCCCTGCACCGACGATTCGTTGCCAGTTTGCCTCCTCGACACCCACCCGGGCCCACATTCCCCATGCCAGGCGCAGGCTGTGATTATTAGCATTCCCTGTACTGAGAGTCTGCATCCACACAATGGCATCCTGCACCGCCAGCAGCGTGAGGGGCGTGCCCAGCGCCCGGAACCAGGGAACCACCGTGCCGCGCCTGCAGCCGTGCCGGGTCCCTGGCCTCTGCCCCACCCCCTCCCTCGCCCAGAACGGACGATTGTCCGCCCAGACCCTTCGTAGCGTGCCTCGACGGTGAGATTACGACCCGGGTGTTGGTGTCGAGTGCCAGCTTTGGGTTGCCTGGTGCACCTCCGGTGCTGCGCCCAGCGGACAGATTGCGAGGGTCAGCACCCCCGGCCGACCCTCCCATGCACCCGCACCAGATCCCTGACCGTGCTGGCCTCATCCAAGAATGGAAACTCGGCTGCCCACACCTCCACGCCCACCAAGTTTGACTATGATCTTGTGATCATCGGGGCCGGAGTGGGGGGCCATGGAGCGGCCCTGCACGCCGTCTCCCGGGCAAGTGCTGCAGATGCAGGGGGTCATCGGCCTAGTCTGAGTGATTTGGACAAGCTTATGGCCATGTGAAGGTTGAAATTTTCATGTTCTGCGCCGCTTGGACTGGGTTTGTTGTGGATGGTTGTCCTGTTGGTGATGCTGCGGCGCACATTCCACCCAACATGGCCATCCACTTGGCCGGCCGCACCATGCACCGCTCCTGGGGCATTCATGGTGCCTCGGCTATCCACCGACCGCCACCATCCAAACCCCTGTCCCACACCATCGCCTCCCCGCAGGGTTTGCGCGTGGCCATCATCGAGGGCCACGACATCGGCGGCACCTGCGTCAACCGCGGCTGCGTCCCCTCCAAGGCCCTGCTGGCGGCGGCGGGGCAGGTGCGCAAGCTGAAGGACGCGCACCACATGAAAGCGCTGGGCATCCAGATCGAGGGCCTGACCTACGACCGCGCAACCATTGCGGGGCACGCCCAGAACCTGGCCCAGACCATCCAGGGCAACCTCAAGCGCTCCCTCGTCGCCCTAGGCGTGGTGAGGAGGAAGGGTCAGGGGGGATCTCGGTGTTGTTGGCTGGGGCAGGGGGTGTGGGGGGTGGCTTACTGCGTCGCATGCGGACCACCCCCAAAGCGTCTGGCCACCAGACTTCCTCCGGCCTCACCCCAACCAAGCATCCTCACCCCCCCTCACCCCTCACAAATAACAAAGGATATCTTGGTGGGCCAGGGCAAGTTTGCGGGCCCGCACACCATCAAGTACAGCCTGCCCGGGCGCGTGGACGTGGGCGGCAGCGTGACGGGGCGCGACATCATCATCGCCACCGGCTCCGTGCCCTTTGTCCCCCCCGGCATCGCCATCGACGGCAAGACGGTGTTCACCAGCGACCACGCGCTGCGCCTGGACTGGGTCCCCGACTGGCTGGCCATCATCGGGTCGGGGTACATCGGCCTAGAGTTCTCCGACGTCTACACCGCGCTGGGGTCGGAGGTCAGCTTCATCGAGGCCCTGCCCAGCATCATGCCCGGCTTCGACAAGGAGATCGCGCGCACCGCACAGCGCGCGCTCATCTCCGCGCGCGCCATCGACTTCAGGACGGGGGTCATCGCCTCGCGCGTGACCCCGGGCGTGCCCGGGGTCAAGCCCGTGTCCATCGAGCTCATGGACTTCAAGACCAAGGAGGTGGTGGACGAGCTGGAGGTGGACGCCTGCCTGGTGGCCACGGGCCGCTCGCCCTACACCAACGGCCTCAATCTGGGGGCGGTGGGGGCGGCCACAGACCGCCGCGGCTTCGTTCCGGTCAACGACAAGATGCAGGTGCGTGTGAGGGGGTGGTGGGGAGGGGTGGCGGGGGAGGGAGGAGGCAGACAGGGGCCGAGGGTGGGAGAAGGAGAGGAGAAGACGGCTTGCATGCTGGGGCGACGGTGCTCAGGTGCCTGCCTGCCGCTGCAGAGGCCAGCCCTGGTGATGCTTGCCCTGGGCCGACTTCCACACCATGAGTCGTGGCTGCAACTCCCTTCCCCTCGCGAATAATTCACTGGCATCTCCAAAGCGGTCGGCCCCCCCAACCGCGCTCAACCCCCACCCTCAACCCGCCCACCACCCACCACCCACCAGGTGACGGACGGCGCAGGCAAGCCCGTGCCCCACGTCTACTGCATCGGGGATGCCAACGGTAAGTACATGCTGGCCCACGCCGCCTCGGCCCAGGGCATCAGCGCGGTGGAGAACATCGTGGGGCGGCCCCATGTGCTCAACCACCGCTCGGTCCCCGCCGCCTGCTTCACCCACCCCGAGGTGGCGTTCGTGGGCCTGACGGAGGAAGCGGCGCGTGAGGAGGCGGCCGCCGGCGGCTGGGCCGAGGCCGTGGCCGTGGCCAAGACCTACTTCAAGGGCAACTCCAAGGCGCTGGCGGAGGGCGAGTCGGACGGCCTGGGCAAGCTGATCTACCGCCGGGACACGGGCGAGATCCTGGGCGTGCACCTGTACGGCCTGCACGCCGCCGACCTCATCCACGAGTTCTCCAACGCGCTGGCCCAGCGCCAGAGCGTGCAGGACCTCTACTTCAACGTCCACGCCCACCCCACCGTCTCAGAGGTGGGTGTTGTGGGGTGTTATTACTCGGGAAGGGGGGTGGGGGGTGAGAAGGGGATGAGGTGTGTTGGGTGGGCGGGGGAAAGGGGTCATTGAGCCCCCGGCATGAAGCTGGGCAATGGTGACGGCGCATGACTGGAGGGTGGAGCTGGGGGGCCCCCTCTCACCACCGCTCACATACACGCACACACACATGGTCCCCACCCTTTCATCCCTGCTTCGCAGGTGGTGGAGGAGCTGATACGCCATGCCAAGGTGGATGGCGTGACCGACCCCAAGCTGGCGGGCCAGAAGAAGGACGGGAAGGTGGCCGCTACCGCTTCGGCCTGATGAGCGACGGCCCTTTTGCCTGGACCGGTTTGCCCCCCCCCGGCCCGTGCTTTGGTGGCAGGGGAAGCTTGCCCCACCCCTGCCCGGTGTGAGAGGGGGGAGGCGCGCTGCCACGTCGCCTGCGCTGCGAATGCCTGTGGCCACGCCTCACCCCCCGTGCATCCCTTGCGGAGACCAAGGGCACAGGCACGAGCCATGCACCCTTCCCCCTCCTCCACACATCTCTTTTCCCCTACCACTGTTCTGAGATTCTAACACACACCCTGCATGGACGTCACAAAGGTGTCCCGTCAGGGGACGATGGGGGCAGGGAGAAGGGGTGCCCCGCTGCGCAAGGGCAGGGGGAAGGACAGGGCGGGGAGCGTCCCGCGTCACATCCTGAGATCCCTTCACCCATCAGCGTGGTGCCCCGCCGCGCGTTCCTCGGCCGCGGCCGCCCAGCGCTCGCCCCGGTCGGGCCGACCCTGCAGCACCGCCATCTCCTTCTTCACCGTCACCCGCCCCTTGGCCGCACCCCGCGGCTTGCTCACGTCCCGGGCCCACGCGACGGTCACGTCCACGGCGGTGCTCCCCCGCGCGCTGCTGAACCAGGCTGCCAGGTCGGCGCAGAAACCCAGGTCCTCATCCGGCGGCGACTGACCCCGGTGCAGGCGCAGGAGGAGGTGCGCGCCGGGGGCCCCGCGCGCGTGCATCCACACGTCCCACGCCGCCGCCGTGCGCGTGCTCAGCGTCTCGTTCTGGGCGCTGGTGCGCCCCACCAGGACCGCAAGGCCGGAGGGGGAGCGGAAGCGGCGCGGCGACGAGGCGGGGGCCGCGCCGGGCTTCTTGTTGGCCCTCTTGCCGGTGGTGGAGGGTACTTTTGCCGACCGCAGGAGGCCAGCCTCTGCCAGCTCCGCCTGCAAAACATGAGGTTGGGGTGGTGGGTTCAGGACCTCGCCATGGCAGCATCCAGTGCATGGGAAAGACCTGGATGTGCTGCATCCTCGCACGCAAGGCACCTCATTCAACCTGGGCTTGGAGGTACCCCTCCCATCAACACACGATCCAGCCATGAAGTCTCCCTCCCATCCCGACATTCCTCAGCCAGAGCCTCTTACCGGCTCTCCAATCCTACAGGTCCCCACCCGCACCTGCACCTCCTTGAGCACCCCGGCATCTGCAGGCACCTCCAGCTGTTCCAGCAGCACCCGCGTCTCCCGCAGCTGCTGGATCTGGGAGCGCGCGGCCTCGAGCAAAGGCTGCACCGTGGCCGCCCCCCGCTGCACCTTGCGCGCCCGGGCATACAGCTTCTCCGCGGCTTCCACGGCGCTCTCCTTGGCGTCCAGGGGCAGCGTCACCGTCGTCCCCGGCTGATCCCAGTCCTCCACCTCCAGCGACGTGGCCCCCGGCGACCACCTGCAGCGAGCGAGGGTAGTGAGTGCATGAGTCATCAGAATGCGACTCTGCCACTGTGTGCTACCTGCCCTCCCCCCAACCCCCCACCCCGCAGCCTAACAGGTGAGCGTGTGCCATGAGGAGGTCGGCCTTCTTCCGCGTGGCGTCCGCGCCCTGCCCCGCGGCGGCTGCCTGTGCCAGGGACACCTCCTTCCTTTCCAGGCGAGTCAGGGCCGCAGCCAGGGCCTTCATGAGGGGCTGACGCACCTGTGAGCAGATTGAGGGACTGGCTGGAGGGAATGGCGTCGCAGGTAAGAACCCCGCATGCACGCTCGATGACAGCGCGGGGCAGTGCCCTGGGCCTCGAGCTCTGAGTGCAGGGAAACCACTCTCAATCAGCCAAGCCCGCCATCCCACTGCCCCACCTTCTCGAAGGCCGCCTCCTCCAGCTGAGTGGTCTGCGCAGCGTGCACAGCGTGCAGCACGTCGCAGGTGCCCTCCGATCCGGTGTGCTGCACATCTGCGCCGGCCCCCAGCCAGCGCCAGGAGCCGTCGGGAAGCTGGGCGCCCCGCAGCTCCCCCACGCGCACGGCTGAGACCCAGCGGAGCCAGGCGGCGTGGGCGGCGGCCCACTGATCCCGGGACGGACCCTGGGGCCCGACCTCCCCAGCGGCCTCCCAGACCTCGCCGGCGACGCCGGAGCCCACGCCCCGGAAGGTCTTGGCCAGCGCCGCCGCGCAGGAGCAGGGGGCCTGCTGCACGCCCAGCGTCCCCTGCACCGCGGACTGCCACTCTGCCAGGCCGGGGCACTGCTCGGGGTCCAGGCCGCGAGCGGCGGGGGGCGGCAGGTAGCGCGCCCCCACCTGGAGGGGCCGCGCTGCCGACTGCGCAGGCCCGACCTGATGGGAGGGGGGGGGGGGGGGGCTCAGAGCGAGAGCCATGTCAGCCTGCCCGATTGGGGCGGGCAGCCCGCAGCAGGGAGCCCCTCCCGTGTGAATTCACTGCCCCTCCAGCCAGGCCATGCCACGCTCCCGTGCCATGGGCCCCACAGCGCACCTGGTGCCCGGCCGCCAGGATGACGTCGTCCGAATCAGTCACCGCCAGGTTGGCGTGCCGGCCCGTCAGCTCCAGGTAGATGCGTCGGCGCGAGTCGGAGCCCCCCTGCGGCGCCTCCAGGTCCAGCCGCACCAGCCTCTCCCAGGCCAGCACCAGCGCCGCGCGCGTCAGCACCAGGCCCGCCAGCTGCGCCTTCAACACGGCGCCCAGAGCGTGGGAGTCCAGGAGGGGGTCCCCACGGCGCGGGGGCGGCGGGCCCAGCCCCAGGTGGCCGTGCCGCGGGTGCCAGCTGAGGTGGAGCCAGGTGTGGGCCTCCGCGGTGCGCAGGGCCAGGGCCAGGGAGGTGCCGCTGACCTGGACCACGGTGTCCACCCGGGAGGGGGTCCATCCAGCCTCCAGAGCCCTCACGCAAGCGGAGAGGAGGGTGAAGTCGGTGGCAGGGGCAGGGGGGGCTGGGGGGTGGGGGGCCGCCCTGCAGGCTAAGCGGGAGCCGTGCCACTCCCTCAAGCTCGTGAAGCCATGGGGCAGGATGCGCGTGGCACGGGCCAGCATGGCCATGGCCCTGCCAGGCACTGGTCGACTTGGACTTTGCAAGCCGACCTCAATCCAAGTTCATGCACGAAGTCATGAAAGCAGGGATGGGTTCCACCCTCATCGTGATGCGTTTTATAATAAGAATCATCACTTTTCTGTCATGTAATGCTCGTAATGTTCCAGCCTGTGTGATCGGTGAGGCGCTATCCCCATGCAAGTTTCGAGCGCGGCATGCCTCAGGCGTCTCAGGACTCAGCCTCCACATCTCGCTAAGATCATTTCGAAAACCCCGGTACGAACTAAAAATGCAGACCCCATCGGACTTGCGTGTGCTGCTGCTGAACAGGGCCTGCAACAGTCTGTGCTTGCAAAGACCACATTATTTTCTCTTTCCTTGACGTTTGTCACAGAATTGGGCCGCGAAGGCGTACTTCACCTGCGCCCGGGGCCCCGACATGCCCATCGTGACAGCACGGTCTACCGAGAACCAGCGGCTGCAGCCTACCGATGATGTCCGGGAGATGTCCATCAAGACGGGCTGCCAGCACAAGTTCGTCATCAAGACGCTGCAGCAGAGGAAGACAGACAGCATTATCATCTACCGCCACAACCCCCACACCGGCCACGACGAGGACACTAGGCACTGCCCCCGTCTGTCTTCCTGGGTGATGGACAAGCTGGCGGAGCTCCTGAAGGCCAACTCGAGATTCTCTACCAGGGACTTGACCATCGTCATCCAGAACATCGTCCGGAAGCGGTCCGGGAAGTCACGTAGGAGGCCCAAGAAGTCCGCAGGCTGCAGCTTCTTTCGCTCAGGCCAGCCCATTTCCTTCCGCACAATGTTCTGGATGACGATGGTCAAGTCCCTGGTCGAGAACCTGGGATTGCCATTCAGGAGCTCCGTCAGCTTGTCCATCACCCAGGAAGACAGACGGGGGCACTGCCTGGTGTCCTCGTCGTGGCCGGTGTGGGGGTTATGGCGGTAGATGATAATGCTGTCTGTCTTCCTCTGCCGCAGCGTCTTGATGACGAACTTGTGCTGGCAGCCCGTCTTGATGGACATCTCCCGGACCTCACCGGTAGGCTGCAGCCGCTGGATCTCGGTAGACCGTGCTGTCACGATGGGCATGTCGGGGCCCCGGGCGCAGGTGAAGTACGCCTTCGCGGCCCAATTCTGTGACAAACGTCAAGGAAAGAGAAAATAATGTGGTCTTTGCAAGCACAGACTGTTGCAGGCCCTGTTCAGCAGCAGCACACGCAAGTCCGATGGGGTCTGCATTTTGAGTTCGTACCGGGGTTTTCGAAATGATCTTAGCGAGATGTGGAGGCTGAGGCCTGAGACGCCTCAGGACAGATGACACGTCAGTCTGACGGCCTCTCCACATGGGCACATGCAACGACAGGCCGACAGCATTACCGGGTCATTCGTCATCTGAGTCAAGCACCATGATTCGCCTCTTGGACGGGGCATCTGCGGACGCCTTGGCCTTCTTCTCTGGCACAACAGTGGGCGTGGGAGCTTTCCCACCAGCGACATTGCTGTTCTTGTTCTCTTCTGAGCTTTCAGACTCCTCATCCTCAGACGTGCTCATCTCTTCTGCGAAAATGTCAAAGAGGAGGGGGCCGGTCTCAAGTCAGGGCGCAGCTTCCTGACATGTGCTGTCTGGTTAGCTTGCTGCTCACACCACATCTCGCCTGCCCTCTCCGGAGTTCATTTCACAAAACATAGGGAGACATCCACCCCTTCTCACCCGACTCGCTGCTTTCGTCACCAGAGGAGGCGGCGTCTGAGCTCGACGATGGGTCAGCTGCAGTCGCTTTGTTCTGCGCTGGCGTGACCCTGCGTTGCTTGCCGGCCGGCTCCTTCGCGCTCGCGGATGCCGGCGCTTTCACAGCATCCTCTGCCGGCTCTACCTCAGACACGCTGCTCTCTGCGGCATGATGCAGGGCAACTCAGGTTGGGGTCCCCAAATCCTGCCATGGCTTGGGACTGATGCGCAGGTGTGTCTTCTTTGCAGGTTTCCCCTGTGTCACCGCTGGCCCAGTGTTGCCGCCACACCATGTATCCATGCTCAAATGCATAGCAGAAGGCAGCCCCTGCACACCATCGCTGTCAGACTCAGGGTCCTCCTCGGAGCTCGAGCTGTCCTCGCTGTCAGAGGCCGCCCTGCATAGCAGCGGACGCTGGAGGGTAAACAGGCGTGCTCCTGGATAATTGCAAACCTCGAGCCCCAGCAGTGCCAGCCACCATGCCTTCCAATCAAGTGCTGAGGCAACGACGCACTTGTAGGTCCTAGGGGCCTGCACCGGTTGCCGGCGCCTGCCACCCGACACGATGTTGGAGGTGTCGATGCCATCCAGATCCCTCTCCTTGGCCAGGCGCCGGGCCACAGCCTCCACAGCATCGCTGCCTGGATTGCAGGGGATGCAGGCCGAGGATTTGAGTGGTACTTTGCGCTCTGCCACAGCCACCGGCTCCAACAGCCGGGCTTTGGCAGTGAAAGAGGCATTGCAACCCAGGTAGAGCAACGACACAGAACCCAAAGATCCAGGGAGGTGCCTCTTCGTTAACAAATGCGACCCTGGACTGTTCAGTACCTGAGGATTTGGAGAGCCCGTGCTTGGTCAGAAGGTTTACCAGCGCTTCCTGCAGCCCTGCATCCGTCTTGTTCTGCACATAGACGCTGGGTGCGATGCCGATGGTCGCCCTCTTGCACATCTCCCGGAGGCGGAGGGTGGCACTTGAGAGCTGGCGCCTGGCACCTCCGCTCTGCGAGCCCTGATCTGTGAGGGCTGGAGTCTTAACAACGGGCTTAGGCTCTGGGGCCTTGCCACCCTCATCAGCCCGCTTCTTCTCCGGCTTGGCACGCTTGGCAGGGGGCTGTATGGGCGGCTCTTTCTTGGCAACGGCAACCGGCTCAGATTCCTGAGAGGCTGGTGTGGCCACTGCTTGAGAGGCAATGAGCTGTGCAGGGATGGGAGGTGTGGAGATCAGCATTGGGTCACTTACGTGATGTGTGGTATACCATCCTGCTTGACGCCCAACCTCAAGGCACCTTTCCCCATCCTCCACCTGAGCCCACCTTGTCAATGAGGTCTGAAACGAAAGCCTTTTTTACTTTAAGACTGTCTACTTCGAGGCCCAAGTCCGCCTCGAGCCTCCTCCGAACCGATTTCAAGGTCAAGCTCCTGGGGGAGCAGGGGAGGAGCACAGGCTCGAACGTGCAGGCCCGCCTGACGTGGCTTCGAGCAGCAGGAGCCCTGCGTAACACAATCAAAAACCAGAACTTACTCCAAATTATTGATGATGTCTTGTCGACAGGCGTTGAAGGCTTCTGTAATGGCAGCGTCTGTCATTTGAGCTCGTGGCTCAAAACGCGGGCTGAAGAGGCTGCAACGTTCTTTATCCTTCTTACGAGGGCAATAGCGCGCAATGCAATCTAACAAGGAATATTCAATGCCTGCATTCAGGGCCATGAGCACCTGTGCAGCATTCCCCCTCCGATATCAGTCTCGGCAAAGCTCGACCCAGCGCTGTCTGTTCGCACCTGGCGCCCGAGGTAACTTTTGGCGCGGAGGATTCTGCCAAGTAGCGCCCTCGACACATAACCCTGAGGCTCGCTCCCCCAAATGCATGCAAAGGACAAACACCTGCTCTCTCTATCCCAGGGAACTCTGCTCCGCCTGCTTGTCACCCAGGGATCCCTCGTCGCTCTGGGTTTGTGTGAGGGCTGGAGAGCGTCCACCACTACTGCCTGCCGCTAGACCATGCAGTTCCTGGCGCGTGCGAGTGCTGCCTCGCTGCGGCGGTCGCAGGTGAATTTTGCAGTTGGGAGCATCGACATAAGCTGGCAAGGCTGCGCTTGTCTGCTGCACTTCCCGCGAGACGCCAGTGCTCCAACCCCCCCGACCTCCGCAAAACCCCGCAGGCAGCCACCGAGGCCTTTCAGCGCCTTGGAGCCTGTGGCTATGCCACGACACAGGTGAGCCTGTTGAGTTGTAGGGGACAGAATGCCTCGCTCAATATGTAAGAGTCGCTCCTCACTCCATCCCCGACCGCGTTGCCTCTGCAGCTCACGGTGCGGGATGCCCTAAACTCGGCACTAGATGAGGAGATGGAGCGCGACGATAAGGTGAATTGGCAGCAGTTGTGCCTCGGGTTTGCACCTCGTGGGACGCGGGTTGGTGCATGCCCAGTGTTTTCATGGTAGTGCTTGTCTTTGCCTGGCTACACTTGTTGCATTGCACTCGTCACATGCGCCTTCTGTGCAATCGCACCGCGTCTCCCAACCCCTTCCTCCCAACCCCAAGGTCTTCATCATTGGGGAGGAGGTCGGTGAGTACCAGGGCGCCTACAAGATCACGCGCGGCCTGCTCCAGAAGTATGGCGCCAAGCGTGTCAAGGACACCCCCATCACAGAGGCAAGCTCCTGGTGGGAGGGATGGCTTGGGTGCTTGAGATGTGGTGGGGATGCCTGGAAGTCATCCATGTCGTTGACATACAATGGTATGCCAAAATTCCATGCAATCAAGCGTAGCGCTGTATTCCCCTCCTAGGCAGAAACAACCCTTGAAAGCACTTCCACTCCCCCCATCTGACTCCCTTCTCCCCTCCCCCTCCCACTTCAGGCCGGCTTCACTGGCATTGCGGTGGGATCCGCCTTCCAGGGTCTGAAGCCCGTGGTGGAGTTCATGACCTTCAACTTCTCCATGCAGGCCATTGACCAGATCGTCAACTCCGCGGCCAAGCATCACTACATGTCGGCGGGGCAGATCACCTGCCCAATCGTCTTCCGCGGCCCCAACGGCCCCGCCGCCGGTGTGGCGGCGCAGCACTCCCAGGACTTTGCGCCATGGTACGCCTCGGTCCCCGGACTGAAGGTTATCGTGCCCTACGATGCCGAGGACAACCGGGGCCTGCTCAAGGCCGCCATTCGCGACCCCGACCCGGTGGTCTTCCTGGAGAATGAGATCATGTATGGCGAGAGCTTTGAGGTGTCGGAGGAGGTCCTGGACAAGGATTTTGTGCTGCCCATTGGCAAGGCCAAGGTGTGTTCCAATTTGGGGGAGGGGGGTGGGGAGGGGGGCTCGAGTTGATGAATGGTGGTGATAGCTTTAGGCGATAGTGGGTGACTGGATGCTGCTGATTGCTCAGGGATTATGAGGGGAGATGCCAGCCGCAGATGCCCTGCCCATGCAAAGGGCGCGATTGAGATTCTGATTGCACGGCATTACATGGGCCTCATGCATCTGCAGTGTCCAACCCATCCTTCAAACCCACTCCCCAAACCCCAAAACCCCAACCCCCAAAACCCCAAACCGCGCGCCCACAGATCCAGAGGGAAGGCACCGACCTGACCATCGTGGCCTCCGGCAAGCTGGTCGGCTTTGCGCTGCAGGCCGCCGCTGAGCTGGACAAGGACGGCGTCTCCGTGGAGGTGGTCAACCTGCGCTCCATTAAGCCGCTGGATCGCGAGACGATTGCGGCGAGCGTGAAGAAAACCCACCGGCTGCTCACCGTGGAGGAGGGCTGGCCGCAGCACGGCCTGGGCTCCGAGATCATTGCGGTGGTGGTGGAGGAGGCCTTCGACGACCTGGACGCACCGCCGGAGAGGGTGTGCGGCGTGGAGATCCCCATGCCATACGCCACGCCGCTGGAGGACGCCGCGCTGCCGCACGTCTCCGACATCGTGCGCGTCGCGCGCCGCATGTTCAACCTGGAGTGACCAAGACTCCGGATGGCGGCAGCGGTGGTGGGAAGGCGGCTGCTGCTGCTGCCGCTGCAATGTTGGGGGAGGGGACCATCCACCCTGAGATTCAAGGCATGGCCCCCCATCACCCTGTGTCCGTGTGTGAACCCAGTGACGTTGAGGAGAGTGATGGGAGGTTGTTGGTGTGACGCCGAGGAGGTTGCGAGTGCATCAGGTTTGCGAAATTGAAGCTGCGAATGCACGCTCAAGACCCCGCCCCCTGCAGCCCATCGACCATACTACGATGACCTGCGACCAGAGCTCCAACCTAAATATTTAATATGGCAAGCACGTGGGGGGGCGTGTGACGGCCATGGACATGTCGAAGGAGGGACCTTCGACCGAGGTCACCGTCTCCTTCCATGCCCTGTGCGTGCGTGGCGGATGGGGTGTGCGACAAGGCGCCTGCACTGACTCAATGGTATAAATATGTTCAACAAATCAACCTTCGCCGCAGTCTGAATCAACTCCCCATCTCGCCAACACCATCCCTGTTCAGGCACCGCGCTCGACACACGATCCAGGACTTCGTGCTGAGCTACCTGCCCTACCATGGGCTGAGTCTCGTCGACTTCCTGAAGTGGTGGGATGTCCTGGTGTGGGTGGAGGGCACCATCTACGCCATGGACGAGGGGAATGAGGAGCTGACGGCTGACATGCTGGGCAGTGAGCCGGGAAACGGCGGCGTGGTGCAGGTGGACCCATCACATCAAGGTAAAAAGGGGGATAACCTGACCATTTGTGAGCCACCAGACCCACCTTGGATATATTATGGGATGCAGTGCTACGTGAAACCTTGGACTCCTCCCAGTCTGCTTCTCCAGTTGAGCGCAGCTCCTCCTCTTTCCTCGGTATGACTGCAGGCTTTGCCACCATCGGGAGTGTGCTGGAGGGGCTGGGGTTGTACTCAGCCCATGTGGCCGACGAGTTGAAAAAGGTCAATGCCAAGGAGCGCAATGTAGCTGACAGGACCCTGCCTTGTTCTGTGGGCACCATCGCATGTGCGCTGGCTCTAGATCTCCTCCTCGTCACCAGTGCTGGGCCCAGCTCGCTGCCCCATCCCCCACACCCCACCATTCCCCTCTGGACCCTCACAGGGCTTGGAGTACTGGGAGGGCGAGCGTCGGCTCTGCGCCGCGATGGCCGCGCAGCCCCGCATCCCTAAAGGAGGATCAGCTATGCTTTCCACCGGCCAGCTGCATGCCGTCTCCGCAAAGAAGAGCTTTGACTACCGAGTGCTCCACCACCTGCTCTGCGGGCTGTGTGGCATTGAGCGCAACAATGTGGCCCCCCTCTTCGAGTTCCTTGCGCTGGACGAGTGGTTGGTGGACATAGGGGACGACCTTGTGGATTACGAGGATGATGTTCTGAGGTCAGTGGGTGGGAGTATTTTAGGAGCATGGACCGGAGTCAGTCACTTGGTGTCCTTGTAGGTTCTGTCACCTTTAGAGCTTGACTGTGCCTTCAACGCAAGAATTGCCGCTGTTGTCATATAACACGCACATCTTTTGATGCAAGTACCAACCAATTTATGATCAGGAACTCGTTCAACATCTACCGCGGGTATGTGCACATCTTTGGCGCCACAGCACCGCTGGAGCTTGCACGCCACATTGGCGAACTGGAGGGACTGCACGCCCAGGCGCTCGCCCTCCTGACGCACGCCCAGCGCAGAGCCTTCTTGAAGCGCAAGGATGCGGCGGCGGAGGGGCCGGGGGCCCTGCGCTGGGTGATGCCGACACCCATTCTCGATGAGGCAGCGTACAGGAGTCAGTAGTCTGACGGGCGAAACTAGCTCCTTCCTCCCTCCCTAGACCAAAGAGATCCCGGTGGCTACTCTGCAAGGGGTTCATGGCGTTACATGTCTGATTGTGGTGATATCAGAAAACACCAAGGGCGGCGCTCCAAGACGAGGAGGACAATGTCCCCCCCACAGACAGCAGCTCATCGCACCAATGCCCTATGATTAATTATTACCATCCCTTCTGAGTCTTCATCCTCCTGTCTATTTGGTGAGGCTTGCCCAGACGATCTTGGGTTGAGTTGGTTCACTGATCCACGTACCCTTCACCAAGACTGATGTTTGTACTCCCACCAAACATAACCTGAGCTCTTACACTGGCAACCTGCCCATGCTGCAAGAAGTTGTATTAGATACCTGTGGTTCAATTGCTGAAACTTCTTGTGCTGCAACATATGGGCCTTGAAGTTACTTGGAGTGCTCGACTTAACCCTGCTCGAGAAACAGAGAGCCCCCAGCTTTCTTCCGTGAAGCCTCACCGCGCCTTGCACAGCGATGGAGGTGTAGGCCGAGCATCCTTCAAGCACAGCGTCGCTCTATATGTCAGAGACAAACAGATCAACTTTCTGATAAAATCTGGCGAACGATATCTGCCTCGCAATAACTTCAGGGACACTTTAATCCACAAGCAAGCCTTTCGGCTCTTCTCTCGTTCTTCTCGTTCCACATTGAAGAAGGGATCATCTGGCGCACATACCGCTTGGTGTGACAAATTAAAGATGATTGAGGTCGTTCTCAACGATCGTCTGGGGAAGAAGGTGGGTCATTGTCCAGGCTGCTGATCCTGCCTGCTGTATTACTCATGAAGTGATGTGTGCCATTCGCGCGACCATCCGCACAGGTTCGAGTCAAGTGCAACGAGGATGACACCATCGGCGATCTCAAGAAACTAGTAGCCGCACAGACTGGTGGGAACAGCCTCATCGCATGACAGACGGGAAGTGGCATGGAAGTTGAGCAAGGGGTGTAGCACCCAGGATTGAAATGTAGTGCCCGTGTCAACATCACTTTCTCAACCTATCCCATCCCCTGAGTAGGTACGCGACCAGAGAAGCTGCGCATTCAGAAATGGTACACCGTGTACAAGGACCACATCACACTGGCAGACTATGAGGTGAAGGATGGTATGAACCTTGAGCTGTACTACAACTGATCGGCAATCGTGCTTTGCGCAGAGCGTGTCAAGGCAATTAAAGTCATCATTCTTCGCGCCATTATACCCATTGGGAGCGCCTGGTCATCTTGTGGTTTTCCAAGTCGCAAAATTTCCTGCTCTACACCTAAACAATGCCAACCTCAAATCCTGTCGAGCATCTAGTCCTCTTGCAATACCTGGAATGCCTGGCTTGTGACGGAATCAATCGCTATGGCTCTGTGTTCTGCTGAACGCGCAGAGGCAGGAAACACACATCATTGAACAAGTACTGATACATAATGGTCGAAGGGGACCATGTCAGTGGAAAGCGCGACATAAGGTAAGGAGCAGGGAACTGCGCGGCTGTGGCCCCAATGCACAGATTACAAGGTAGAGTCGCATTGCAAATTGCGATTGTTACTGGAACATCCATTATCCGAGAGGCTGATATCACTCCCCTAGGCCCCCGCCCTTGCCCGTGTTGGACCCCTTGCCATCAGGTGGCTGCGGCCTGCTCTGGCATCCGAGCTTGGGTTCCCCGCGCAGCCTGCGGCTGACAGACTTGGCAACGCCTGATAAAGGGCGCCGTCTTTCAGGATGGCGACCAAAGGCCGAGGGCTGAGGGAGCAGGTGAAGCCGGCGACCTCGCTGGGGTGGGGAGGGGTGGCAGGGGCTGGGCGGCCGGTCGTGCATGCCACCGGTCCGTTCTCCGATCGTCCTCTTTTTCCTCATCCCAGGATCTCAGCACATTGGATGTGACCAAGCTAACCCCCCTGTCCCCCGAGGTCATTTCCCGGCAAGCCACCATCAACATCGGTGAGGGGGAGGGGTTGATACAGGAGACACATTACAAGGCCCAGGGCCCAGCGTATGTGCGGTGTGTCGATTGCACACACGGGAATGGGCGCCGAGCCTAGCCTGATGTGGAGAGTCAGGCTCACTGGGTTGGACATCTTTGAAGTGGCAAGGCAGTCCCCTGCATGCTGTCCAGCCAGCCAAGCACCCTTTCTCCAGCAGCCATCACCATCTCATCCCCCTCTCTCCACCACCTCACTTCACCCGCAAATCCACCAGGCACCATCGGTCACGTGGCGCACGGCAAGTCCACGGTGGTCAAGGCCATCTCCGGCGTGCAGACGGTGCGCTTCAAGAACGAGCTGGAGCGCAACATCACCATCAAGCTGGGGTATGCCAACGCCAAGATCTACGCCTGCAGCGACCCGGCGTGCCCCCGCCCCGCCACCTACCGCGCCTACGGCTCCGGCAAGGAGGACGCGCCGCCCTGCGAGGTCCCCGGCTTCGAGGGCGTGCCCATGCAGCTCCTGCGCCATGTCTCCTTCGTCGACTGCCCCGGGCACGACATCCTCATGGCCACCATGCTCAACGGCGCGGCGGTGATGGACGGCGCGCTGCTCCTGGTGGCGGCCAACGAGCCCTGCCCCCAGCCCCAGACCAGCGAGCACCTGGCCGCGGTGGAGATCATGCGCCTGCGCCACATCCTCATCCTGCAGAACAAGGTGGACCTGGTGACGGAGAGCGCGGCGGTGAACCAGGCGGAGGCCATCGCTCGCTTTGTGCAGGGCACCATCGCGGAACCTGCGCCCGTGGTCCCCGTCTCCGCCCAGCTCAAGTACAACGTGGACGCTGTCTGCGAGTACCTGGTGAAGAAGATCCCGGTCCCCGTCAGGGACTTTGTGTCCCCGCCGCAGGCGAGCTGGAGGTTTGAGGGGTTTGCGGGGGGATTCTTTGGGGCGGGGAGCTTGCTGGAGGAGATGAATAGAAGAAGTGTGAAGGGGGGAAGATGGGAGGTATCGGGAGGAGGGCAGGCGCCGCGGTGAAGCTCAGGCGAGGGATGCATGCGAAGGAGAGGGCGACCGGCGCGGCCGTCGGCAACGGTGACGCTTGACCTGCCTGCCGATGAGCCCCGCAAACCTTTGTGCCCCCCCCCACCCCACCACACCACACCACACCACACACACACACACAATTGCAGATGATCGTCATCCGATCCTTTGACGTGAACAAGCCCGGGTCGGAGGTGGACGAGCTCAAGGGTGGCGTGGCGGGCGGCAGTATCCTGCAGGTTGGTGTGTGTGGAGAGGGGGGGCCTCAGACAACCTTGTGCGTGCATTGTGTGGGTGTGGGTGGATGGATGGTGGATGGTCCGTGGGTCGATCGCCATGTGGGTGCGGTCCGGTTCTCAATGGAGGCGTTTTCCTGGGAAAGCTCCAGGCAGCGGGGCCTTTCACGTCCTGCAATGCTGCGCCTTCTTACCGCCGACCCTCAGATTGTCCTCCTCTTTCCCGCTTTTTGTATTGCTCCGCTCCTCCCTCCTTGCTCCTCCTTCCCTCCTCCCGCCTCCCTTTCATGTTCCCGGACCCCTGCGGCGAACGCACGGGGCGCCTGACAAAAAGCAGAGACCGCAGATAATGGCATGACTCGGCCTCTCGTCCAGCTCAGGCACATCAAAACTCCATCCTTTCACTGCAAGTGGGCGTGGTGACGACACACGTCCTGATCCTCGACTCAATCCACAGTGACACAACCTCAACCTTTTGTACATGTCCTTTCACATTCGCATCCCCTCTTGCTGGCGGCACTGTGTGATGTCCTTGGCGGCCTTGGGTGGCCACCTCCCCGCCCAGTCTATACCATGGCGCCTCGCGCACAGACCCAGCACCTTTGTGCTTTTCCATCTACTTCGAGTCCCCCCTTGGCCCGCCAGCCTTTTCTTGGCGTGCCTCTTACTACAACACCATCATCCTTCCCATCCCGTTGCACACCCACATGCCGGCGTACGCCCATCAAACCTCACACCAACAGCACACCCTCACTCCCACACACACACACACACCAGGGCGTGCTGCGCATGGGTCAGGAGATCGAGGTGCGGCCGGGCATCGTGACCAAGGACGCCAGCGGCGCCATCCGCTGCACCCCCATCTACTCGCGCATCGTGTCGCTTTTTGCGGAGCAGAACCCGCTCCAGTTTGCGGTGCCGGGCGGACTCATTGGTGTGGGCACCACCGTGGACCCCACGCTGACGCGCGCGGACCGCCTGGTCGGGCAGGTGCTGGGCGAGGTGGGTGCGCTGCCGGACGTCTTCACCGAGCTGGAGATCAACTTCTTCCTCCTGCGCCGTCTGCTGGGCGTGCGGACCTCGGTGCGTGGCCTGGTGGGGTTTGGAGGGGGCCTTTCCGTGTGGGAGGGGAAGGGGATGTGCAGCGGCGGGGGCTGGCGACGGGGGACAAGGGGGCCAAGCTTGGTGGTGTAGGAGGGAATTGGATTGGACCAGGGCGAAATGGATGCATGGTCCCTTGCCAGGCATCAGATGTACTGATGCCGAGGGACCATATGCCCGCCCTGTTGGTGCGACGAGATGACCCTTTCCCTGGGTCATATCGTGACCCCTGTGGGCCATGACTAACATGTAACACCCGCACCCCCCCAACCCCACCCCTCCTCCGCGGCCAAACAGGGAGAGGAGAAGCAGGGCAAGGTGAGCAAGCTGTCCAAGAACGAGGTGCTCATGCTCAACATTGGGTCCATGTGCACGGGAGCACGAGTCATCGCGGTGAGTGGGCGTGCTGGGTAACAACGCTTGTTATGCGTCGCTGAGGCGACGGCAGAGCCTGCAGTGGCGGGGTGCCCAGCCACCTCCCGGCAATCACCTTCTCCTCAATCATGATGTCGCGTTCATGAGCAGCAGTGCCTGTCTGAAGGCATGCACACCGACCGGTCATCTCACCCAGGATTGCCTGCCCGGTGACACCATGCAGCCTTCTCCACACTCTCCACCTCGCATGCATGCAGGTCAAGCACGATCTGGCCAAGCTGCAGCTGACCTCGCCGGTGTGCACAAAGGAGGGCGAGAAGATCGCCCTGAGCCGGCGGGTGGAGAAGCACTGGCGCCTGATTGGGTGGGGCCAGATCCAGAGGGGGCTGCAAATGGACATCCCCGCCCGGACCTGACACCTGACAGCTGTCCACCGGGCCCCCTCTGTACCCCTTGCCCCCCGTTTTCACGAATGTACATTGGTTCCCGGGCTTGCCCACTCGCACGGAAAGCGCTCAGACGTCCAGGCCTCGTGATCCCAGGCAGATCACCATCGGCATCGGCGGCGAAAATGGCGCCGGGGCTCACGATCCAGGGCAGCACCTCCGAGGCCCTCGCGCAGGCGCTCGCGGTGGGCATCGTGGCCCGACGCCGGCGCGATGTTGCCATGCAGGCCCTTGAATCGCGATGTAATGAGCTCGACCAGGAGCTGAAACGGCGATCGGGCAAGCATGGGGCGGGAGGCCCCGAGGACGTCTGGTGGCAGCTGGGAGCCGAGGACGGGCGGGGGAGCCCGGGCGCCCTCGACCGGCTGGCCGGCCAGGTCACCTGCGCTGCGCTGTGGCATGCCGCGGCGCAGCGCCTCCCCCCCGCTCCCGCTGCGACCCTGGCGGGGGTGCAGGCGTACCTTTCCGCCAAGGAGTGTGCGCGGTGGAGAGCGGGCAACGCGGCGCCCCTGGCCTGCGCCGCCAGCGTGCTGGAGCGCTCCCCAGTCACTGCCGTCCTGGAGGTAATGCAGGACGGTCTGGAGCTGGAGGAGCGAGGCGAGGCGGGGTGCGGCGAGGAGTTCATTGCAGCGGCCCCCCCCGCCGAGGGCTGGGAGGGCGACGCTGGCTCAGCACACTGCGCCGCCCCACCCTACCCGGCCGCACATCCCATGCCCGCCTGCGTGTCCTGCCTGTGCGCCCTGCTCGAATTTGGTCCCGGGGCCGAGGATGAGGGGGAGGAACGACACGACACCGCTTGCGTCCAGGCCTTTGCGCGCTGGCTGGCGGAGCGCGTCTGCGAGCAGGGGCCGGAAGGCCGGGCGAGCACCCGCCTGCTGGACTGCATGACCGGCGCGGCGTCTGCGCTGCTGCCGTGCTGCGCCGTGGCGCTGGCCGAGGCGCTGGCGGGCGCGGTGGAGGCCCTGGTGGCGGTCGAGATGGGCCCGGCGCCGGGGCGGGACGGCGGGCCGGCCGACGACCCGGCGGCACGGTGCGTCGCGCTGAGCGGCCGCCTGCGCGCCGCGCTGCCGCGCCTGCCGGCGGCGGCGGCGGGCGCGCGCAGCCCCGCCGCGGCGGAGGCGGCGGTGGCGGGCGCCGTGCGAGCTGTGGTGGGCGCCGCCCATGCCTGTGCCCTGGTCAGCCTGACGCAGCCGGCGGCGGCGCGGTGCGTGCAGCAGACCAGTGGCGTGCTGGTCCGAGTCCTGCACCAGATGGGGTGACAAAGGGGGGCCCCTGCCATCCTGGACCCTGGCATGGTCCACGGCAGCCATGTATTACTAACCCACATCCATGCTCCTTGAAAACATTTTTACATGGCCTGAGGGTTCCAGGATCCTACTCCCTGGGGCGGCTGCGTGATGAGATTCCGGCCCGGCAATGTAGTCTAGAATAACATCCACGTGATCATGATCATTGAGTTCTGGTGCGAAGCTGGTCCAATGCCGAGAATCGATCGCTCGGACCCATATCGCGTGTCAATCGGTTCAGCGAGGCCATCCCTGCGCATTTGAGTATCTCATTCTCCTCTATCCCAGCGAATACAAGTCCTTCCCTCACGACAATGGATCCCAAGAACATCCCCAAGGCCAGTCCTCAGAGCGTCGCTCGGCAGAACAGGATCATCGGCCTGGCAGCTGTTGCAGGGGCTACAGCCATCTACTTTATGATCAAAAAGTCTGACGAGACGAACCCTGATGTGGCCAAGGTGCGTAGGTCAGTCTTTGGAGGGATCCTGGAGAATCTAAGAAAGGCATGCTCACGAATGGGAGATCGACCCCCTCCCACTCCACATCCCTCCTAAACTGCATCCACATTGGACAGGAAAAGGTGGAATCAGCTGGCAGCAAGGTAAAGGAAGCAGCTGGAGATGCAAAGGATGCAGCTCAGGAGGCAGCAAATGATGCCAAAGCCAAGGCCTCCAATGCTGTGGACGATGCCAAGGCCAAGGCCTCCAATGCCGTGGATGATGCCAAGAAGAACATCAGCAAGAAGGTGGACGAAGCGAAACAGAAGGCCGGAGACAAGGTTGAGGATGCGGGGAAGAGCATCAAGAAGTAGGTTCATCCTTGGAATACTGCAGTGCGGGTGGCCTTGACTCACATCTAACCGGACCTCAATCGACCCCTTGGCCCGTTTGTAATATGCCGATGGGATCGAGCAATTCTTGTTGTAGATTGCTGCCACACATGGAATAGGGTAATATGCCCTTTAAGGAGAAGCCCGGCTTGGGTACCGGCAGTATATACCGGGAGCCTTCACAACACCCCCGACGCCTCCTACGGCACCCCTTGCCAGTTTGGCGCTCCAAATCCGCGTGACGACCCTGCCCACCCTTCCCCATCGTCATTGTTTCAATATATTAAATTAAAGGATATAACGTAACCGTATATCACAGTGTGTCCACCGTGCTATGACAATTGTGCGGGGAATGAGGGAGGAGTGCGAGCTTGCACTGCTGGAACGCGCACGGACAGTTGGCACCGGGGTCAAACTCCGTGCACCAACGGATGCCACCCCGTCCCAACCGCTGTTCAAAATCACGTTGCGGGGCTCAATGACCATTGTTTTCTGTACTCTCGCCAATTGCCGATCCTGCAGAGAACAGTTTGGTATCCTAAAACCCTTCCAGATCAGCGCATCTCCTCACAAACGCTTACAATGGCTCGTGCCGCCGTACTCTTCGTCACGCTGCTGTCGTGCCTGGCCGCGACGCAGGGAACCCTCACCCTGAAGCAGATCCTTAACGACTCTCGCTTCACAGCCTACGTGAACCAGGTATGCGCTCCAGGCGAGCGCGATCACTCTGCAAGTGCTTGATGCGGGCCGGAGGTGCGCGGCGTCCGTTGGTCCCACTCAGCACAACCCCATCGCCCACCCCATTCCACAGCTCCTCACCACCACCTGCACGGCCTCCCTGCCCGCCCTTTCCACTGCCGTGGATAACTGCCAGAACCTTGTGGACATCGTTGTGGACGTCGCCGGGGGGTCCAAGACCGCACCTACCACCTGCGACCCTGCCTGCGCGTCCAGCCTGAGCGCTGTGAGTATGGGGTCCTGATTGGCATGTCGACTATATTGGAGTATCATGACTCTCAAGCATTCATACAGCGGCATGTGCGCCGGTCTAATCGCTCCGATCTCACTCCGTCCATCCGTTGTTACCCCGCAGCTCCCCGAAACTTGCTCCACCTCCCTGAAGACGATCTTCACCACCACCGATGCCACCGTGGGGCCCCTTGCTTCGACCTTCTTCGCCAACTGTGCCGCCGTGAAGTACTCCCCCCCTCCCGTCTCCCCCATTTCTTCTCCTCCCCCCCCGCCCACCGCTTCCCCCGCCGTCAGCCCCTCCCCTGCCAGCTCCCCTTCCCCTACCACCTCCCCCAGCCCCATGGCCTCCCCATCCCCCAAGGCGTCTCCCTCCCCTGCCAGCTCCCCGAGCCCTGGTGAGTTGGGTGTACAATGCCCTTGAATTCTGCCGCCCACTACATGCACCCCTGATTGAATGCTGCATAAACATTGAATGCTGTGTCCTAGCCGAGCAATCACAATCATTCACGATATCCTCCTCGTCTCAACTTCACTGCAGCCTCTTCCCCAAGCCCCAGCGAGAGCCCCTCTGATGCTCCTGAGCCATCTTACGCCCCCGAGCCTTCCACCAAGCCCTCTCCTCCCTCCGTGCCCGTGACCTCCGTCCCCCCACCCCCCAAGAGCTCTGCGCTCGCCTCCGCCCCCGTGCTCGCTGTCGTGACTCTTGCTGCCATCGCTGCCAGCCTGTTCTGAATATGACGAGCTCGTGCTGAAAATGCCGGGTGCTCCTATTTTTGTCAGCTGTAAAGGTTAATTTACATGTCTGTGGATCCGGCACGAAAGGGGGTAAAAAAGACGTCCAGCCAGGCAGGAAAACCCCCGAGGGAGATGCACTTCGCATCGGACGACCCTCCCCCTCTAATCCTGCACGTGAATTGAGACTCACATCAAGCTCACAACTGTGGGTTCGCCGATCACGCCATCATGCTGCGTACGGCATCTCGTGGTGCATGGGTTCTCGCACTCCGATCCCAGACCCTTGCCCGCGCGGTGCCGCAGGCGGGCCTGGACGTCGTGCCGGGGTTCGTGAGGGAGGCACAGGCATGCTGCATCCTCCACGCCCCTGGCATGGGGCGGTGGGCGTCGTCATGCAGTCCCAGCCCTCCCGCCCCCCGCACCGAGGAGGAGGAGCGGGCCTCCGGGGAGATCGATCGCAGGCTGGGTGAGGCCGCTTCCAGTGGTGGCGCGGAGGGCGTGGCGAAGCTTGTGGATGCCGAGGGCGGCGGTTTCTCGGAGGCCAACGTCGCCCGAGCCTTCAGGGCGTTTGCCGAGACCTTGAAGCCTGGGGCCGACTTCACGGCCGTCAGCAAGCACCCCGGCTTCCAAGTACTCATCGGTGAGTCTATGGGATGTATGATGACTCATGGGCCTGGGAGGGCAAGTTGTATGCCTGGGTGGAGGTCCATCATCTGGCCAATGCAGGCTGAGGCTACTTTTACACAGGTCTGCAGGACCCTTGCTCATTGGCGGCGCTGAACCAATGACCCCTTTCCCCCCGCAGACATGGTGCTGTCTGGCATGTCTCGGTACCCCACGGCCACCCTGGCCCAGGTCATCTACGACTGCGGGCGCCTGGGCGTGAGCGAGGACATGCTGCTGGACGAGGTGGCGCGGCACCTGATGGACAAGATCCCCGACATGGCCCCCCCCGAGCTGGTGTCCCTGGCCAGCGGGTACGCCGGCGTGGCGCACAGCCCCAGCATCCTGCTCTTCCAGGCCATCAGCGAGCGGCTGAGGGAGGAGGGGGCGGGGCTGGAGGCCGAGCTGAAGACCGCCGCCAATGAGGCGTTTGCGGAGCTGGGGTACACCGACCTGAAGCCCTTTTGAGGGGCGAGCGCGGGCTGCGGCACACCGTCGCGGCAGACGGGGACCTCAAGCCGCCTGCCAGCCTGGGCCTGCATTGGCGCTGCCGGGCAGGTGCCTCCAGCTCCTGCCCCGCGGGCTCCAGCCCCTCCGGACCCTGCAAGCTTCCTTCTGGGACTCTGAGCACCTCGAATGTATGCCTGTTTGGATGAGACCCCCCGTGCACTGCTCCCTCCGAGACTGTCTTGCGGTCTACAAGCCCTTGGCCACGGCCTCATCCTGTACTACTTTCTCACACGCATGGGCCATTCGGCCACGCCGCAGTCCTGTTGCCTGTCTACCCTATCGCATGGAGCAGGCATGCGCATTCCTTGTAAATGTGTCACGATGGTGTAGGCCTGATGAAGATGATGCGGGACGAGGATTGGGCCGCGAGCGTCCTGACCAAGGACCCACCACCAGCCTTTCCCTGCGGCGGTCCCCATGCCAGGCCTTTCTCAGGGGCCGCCTTGACCCTCGGCAGCGCGCAGAGGAGCTCCACGCGGCAAACATGAGCTCATGCCATGTCCAAGAGGCTCATTGCCGGGAGGCTGTCACGACCGGGTCGTCCTTTCCCCGCACTCAGTCATTCACCTGGCCGATATGAGGCCCGGCCCGGTCCCACTGATCTGGACTCGCGGTTCAGAGCGTGGCCTGCTGCGCGAGGCGCTCCGTGCCGGGCAGCAGCCGCTGCAGCGCGGCGCGCAGCGCGGCGCGCGGCCCGCCCAGCGCGCCAGGCACCACACCCGTGCCCACCCGCGCCTCGCCTCCGCTCTCCTCCAGGCGCGGCACCACGGCCCACCCCGCGCGCATGGCCTGGGTGATGCAGGCGGGCTTGCAGGTCTGGGGCTGGCTCACCGCCACGCCGCCCGCCCAGTTGGCCACCGCGCCGGGCGCGGCATGGCGCAGCGCCGCCCGCGCCAGCACGTGGCCCGTGGCAAAGCAGTCCCCCGCGCCGTTGGTGTCCACGACCGCGTCGACGGGGAAGGGCGGGCGGCGCGTGCGCCGGCCGCGCTCGTGGTCGTCGGCGCCCAGCGCGCCGCGCGTGACCAGGAAGCGCGCCGTCCGCGCCGCCAGCCCCTCGATCGTGCCAGGGGGCCAGGCGTCCGTCTCCACGTCCGACAGGTAGACCGTGGTGGAGGGGCCCAGCGCTGCCTGTGAGGAGAAAGGGGGGGGGGGGAGTTCAGGGAAGGTAGCGTTGCAGCGAGGAGGGGGCGGAGTGGGTTGCGCAGCAGATGCGCTTTGGTGTGAATGACTGCGCCGACAGGAAACAAGAAGCAGGTGTGCAGGCATGGATCACGCAAGCGTCGTCGCCAGGACCCAGCCGAGTCGGCGGGCCGCGCCGACATTGAATTTCTTGCCCGCCGCGCCTGGCCCGCTTGGAAACCTCCACCCGCCCATCGATCCAGGGTCACCATGCCCAGCAGCTCTCGTCCAAGCAATCCACTTAAACCACCCCCCTCCCCGCCCGCCAGCTCACCAGGAGCTGCGCGCTGGGCTGGTGCAGGGGCACCACCTTCTTCCCGGCATCCAGCGACCGCTGCAGGCCCTGAGCCATGAGGGCGAGTGCGTGCGACCCGCGGCCGCCGGAGGAAGCCGGGAGGAAGCTGGCGGGGTCCATGTCGGCCGGCATGAGCGGGCCCAGCAGCATGACGCGGGCGCGCCGGCAGCGGGGGGGAACGTGGGCTATGGTGAGGGTCACGTTGGGCTGGGCAGTGACTCGCAGCCGCCGCGCGTTGCCTGGTGTGAGGGAGAGGATGGGGTGGGGGGGGGGGGTGGAGCTTGGGCATGTTGCCATCGAGATGGGCCTCATGTCCCCACCCCTCCAGAGCCTCAGGCGGGGCAGTGCAGGATCAGGGCAAGAAGCACCCCTGCCCGGGCTCTTGCGAGGGCCTGTGTCAAACCTGCCGCTGCCGCTGCAGTCAGACCACTGCGCAGGCCCGGCCAGGCCCCAGCCCCGCCCGACGCTCAACGCTGCAACCCACCCCAGTAGGTGTACGTGTGCTCGAAGGTGAGGGTCTCGCTGGCAGGCACGATGTGGAGGTCGTGGCCGCTGAGCGCACTGAGGTCCATCCCGGGGCCGGCCGCGGTGACGATGCAGGCCCGCACCCCAAAGGCCGAGGCCACGGCGGCGGCATAGGCCACGGCCCCGCCCAGGCTGGGCTTCCCGTTCACCATGTCGAGGGTGACATTGCCCACGATGGTGAGGGCGGGTCTGGGAGAGAGGGGTAAGGGGTGACCAGGTGGGAAGGGGGGTTGTCACCCTGGCAGCCCCGGATACGGCATCACCCCCCCGCTTCCTGCCCCCCTGCGGGAACCTTCCGCCCCGGTTCCCATGCCCGATGTCTGCCCAGACCTCACCTGCACGCCTCCCAAGCGCTCCCTGCCGCAAGCAGTACCAGTGCTGCAGCGATCCACCTGCCGCCCAGCATCGGTGGGCTGGGGCGCAAACCCCACCACGGGTGCGCAGCGGGGCAGCGCCGGGTGGCGAAGGCCTGCTCACCCACCCGCCGACACCCGGGTGAGCTCAACGAGGCTCAGATTGAGGAATGCCTGGATCGCTGAGATAGCGGTATCGCCCACACATGGGTTGGCGAGCACCCTCCCAGTGGTTTGCAGGGCCCGGCCAAGTGCCCACATGCGTGGCCTGCGTGCTGTGGCCATGGGCACGATCTGGTGCCCCCCTCGAAAGGATGCTCTCCGTCCCTCTTCTTGCCTTCCCTGGACTCATGAGCCACAGCCTATGTTACAGACTCCGTGAACATCAACTCCCCAGTGATCCAAGGTTCGCAGTACAAGTCTCCAAAATCGGTACCAAGGTGAGATAGTGTAGGAATGTTGGCAGGGGACAGTGTGACACGCCGGTTCAGATTGGGTGCGTGTGCAAGCCGGTACTGGGGTGAGGGGCATGGATCTCGCTGTCTGTTGAGAAATAACCAGTCCATGGCCTGCACAGGATGAAGTCTTCCAGTCCGGGCACTCACTTGCCACCGGGCCAAGCCTTCGCCTCAGCCTTGCCCCATGTCTGTGAGGCAGTGGAGAGTGATCAGGATGAATGAGGCTGAGATGAGCCTGCCCATGTATGTTCCTGGTATTGGTCAGTGCATTGCGTAGACGTCCAAGCCATGCATGTGGCAATGCAAACCTGCGCCCAGTCACTCACCTTGGCATCCCACTTGGTGGCCTCGCTGCTACTCTTCGAGGAGCCGGCAGCCACTCCCCCGTCCTTGGTGGACGCCTTGGCCCCATTGTAGGTCTTGGCGAACTGGGAGGGGTTCCAGTAAGATGCGGGAACGTACACCCAGGTGCCACCAGACACATCAACGGAAGCATCGCCGCGGTAGCCGCCGAAGGCCTGCGCAGTGAAAGAGTTGCCGAACCGTAAATCAAGGGGCAATTGAGCGAGTCGAGAAAATGGGGGTAGAATATGCTGTCACCAAAATAATTAATTCACCACTCACAGCGCCTTCGACCTCATGGTTGGCCTCTGCGCTGTACTTATCGGTGGCAGCGCTCGAGGATCCCTTGACGTATGCGCCATCATCTCCCTTGGCCTCGCCATGGTACACAGACGTAGCCGTATTCCCACCAGTAGAAGCCGTTGACGTACCATAAACCTCGGCGCTCGTGCCTGAGCCGGACGAGTAGCCCAGCATCTTCCTGGTGTGATGTCGGAGTGGGGAGCGATGCCTCGGGGTACGACCGTCGGGATGTGCGGATCGCATTGCCCTGCTTGCCCAACCAAGTGCCCCACATCCTCCGACAGAAAGAGGCAGTCCAGGACACTGTGGGGATGGTTCAATGCTCGACATACCTGTTGTCGTGCTGGGCTGCGGCCAGAGCCAGGCAGGCCATCATGATGAGCATGGTCGACTTGGCCATGATGTCGTGACTTTGGAGGGCAGGGGACGGTTTGATGGGGATGGCTGGGAGCCTTGGGGGTAAGGGAGGAGATGTGGAGGAGAATGTGGCTCGAGTGGCGCTGCTCATGCTTTTATGCTGGTATGGAGTGGAGCCGATGGTAGCCATGGCTGGGCTGAGAGAGAGAATCTTGAGGGTGCCCAGTATGAGCCTGGGATTCTCTGAATCATCATGGACACCGTGACAGCAGCCTGCGCGAGACGCGTGGCGAAAGTCCACTTCCTATGGAAGCCGGCTTGATTCTGTGGACTATTGGCGAGGTACGGATGGCGACTGGGCCCAGGACTCGCCGGCGAGATCGGGGCAACTGCCTGTCACACCTGTGTCGGACTTCTTCCCTTTCTGCTTCATTGCAAGCGCAAGATTTGGGACGCTGCATAACTTCTTCGACCTTGAGGATCTCGGTTGATCGTCGTGGTTCATATCTCTAGACTTTGACTGCTGGTAATGAGTCGAAACACTTTTGGGTAGGGTTCACATTCTCTCGGCCTCCCCATGGCCGGGTGCGCCCGTACCGATGTGATACGCCTGTCTGGGAGGCGTCCGGACGGAACACCATGAAATTCGACAGCTCTAAGAGATACCAGTGACGATCATGCAGTTCGAGAGAGTATTCTTGACCAGAGAGTGCGTCCCGCTGTCCCTTTGCGCGCTGTCAATGTGTTCCGCTTCGTCACAGTGAGGGTCGGATTGCGTCTTCGATGCTGCTCGATGCGATCGCGCACACCACCTATGGCCGATGCCTGCGATGCCCATACACGGAACACCGCATTTCCCATCCTCTGAGCAGAGATCCTCCCGCTGGGTCCCCATACAGTTGCTGGTAGGGTTTCTGTTCGAGCATATCCCAATGGTTTTCCGCGTGTCGGCACGCTGGGTTCCTCTCGATTCCCCTGTTGGGATGTTGCCCCGAAGCCCGCTGACACGACGCAGGCGCATGGTGGTACGGACATTAGATTCTCTTTTATGATTGGGTAATTCCACCGATTACTGATGACAATGACCTGTGGTCGGGTCCCGAAGCATCCAGCGAATCGGACCCTGCGTGATTCGGCACAGGCGTGAGCTGCTGCGTGGGTCGGGAGGGGGTAAGATGAGTCGACAGTGTAGCGCAGCTTTGTGGTGGCAGCCTCGACATCCCTCGCCTACAACTGAAGGGGCTCACTCTCGTGAGGAGCTCACTGATGCTCCTTCCTCCCAGTTTTTTCAGTGAAATGACAGGGAGACTGCCTTAAATACACAGCGGGTTTCTCCTGACTCAGATGAAGTACAAGTTGGAAGTGTGGCTCGAATAGCATAGGGATAACCTATCGAATCAAGGATAGTCTAATCAAGAATGCTGTTGCTGGGTGGAGGTCTAAGGCATCTGGGATCCAGGTGCTTGATCAGTGCGCCAGGAGCTTTCGCCCAGCAGCTGCCACGGTGCTGGGCACCTGCACCTGGAACAGATCGATGGAGCTCGGGGAGGCAGGCGGGCTAGCTCCGGTCCTGCTTGCCGCTGGGCTCGCCCCCGCCCTTCCGGGTGCTGCCGTGCTGGCAGGGGCGGACGCCCTGCAGCTGCTCTTCACCTCGTCGGCAAACAGACCCACGATGTTCTGTGCAGGGGCGCGGGAGGGATTTCAGTTTCTGAGCCTGTTCTGGCAGGGTGGTTCCAGGGTCACCCAGGCACAGCGATGGTCACGTCAGTGTGATACCACGCTGAGCCCAACCATGGTGCTGGGGTCTGCCCCCTCTCGGAAACCCTCACGCGCCAAAAGCCCTCACCGAAATCGTGGAGTCGGCCGTTCCCACCACAACGCCGTCGCCGCCATTCTGGGTGGACCCGTCCCACAGCCAGAACAGGGCTCCACGCAGGGCGCCGCCCGCAGCAATGCTCTCGGTGGCGGCGTCGTAGGTGAGGGAGTACCAGGGATCCCTGACGGAGGTGATCTGGCTCGAGTCCGTCACGCCCTTGCCAAACTCTGAGGGGGTGGTCAGAGGGCAGGGTGGGCATGAGGGAGTAGTAATGGGGCACTGGAGGCCTCGAACATGCCACCGCTTGACGTAATGCTCTGCCGCGGCTGTGGACACCATCACCGGGCATGCATTCCAGCATAAACACAACCGCCTGGTCCCACCCACGGCCATGCCGCACCTTCCATGAGCAGAGGCTTGCCCAGTGCCGTGCTGGCCTGAGTGTGGAAGTCGATCCAGGTCTTGCCAAAGGCGATGTCGTTGGGCTGCACACCCCAGTTGTCAGGCCACATGTGGATGACGGTGTAGTCGATGTTGGGGGAATCGTGGTTGGCGACAAAGTCCTGGCCGGAGCGGGGGCCCCACTTGTTGCCGTCCGTGGGGTCCGCGGCGACGAAGCTGGAGGACTCGTCGAAGAAGCCTGCGAATGTGTTGGTGGCATGGATTGATGGGGCAGGGGCTCTGGGGGCTGGCAAGGCAGGGCAGCCAGATGGAGGGGGTCCAGTGAGCGGTGACATCATGACCGCAGGCAGGCGCAAGCCAGAGTCCACCAGGGGCGCATGCACTGCGCCCTTTCCAGACAGCCACAGGCAGGCAGGTTCCGCACCTTCCTCCCCGGTGGTGACCAGATGGTTGAGGTCCACAGACTTCAGGTGGGCGGCAATGTCGTGGTACCACTCCGTGACGGCCTCGGGTCCGCAGTACTTGCAGCGAGGCTGTGGAGGGAGGGCAAAGAAGGCTGGGTCTGAAGGGGGGCGGATAGACAGGCTTGGGCATGTCTCGACATTTGGTGTATAGGCTTTGCGATATGCAGGGGCCAGTCCAAGGCAGCCTGGAATGGAAGCAGGCTGGGGTAGGGTCCCCTGTTGCCTTCCGAGCTGAGCATTGTTTCCCCCCTCGCCGTGCCTCACCTCGTTCAACATGTTCCAACTGAAGATGGTGGGGTCGTCCTTGTACGCGATGCCGTTGATGGTGTTCACGCGCGTGACCACCTTGGTGATGAAGTCCTTGACGTACTGCCGGCAGTCCGGGTCGGTGTACCACTTGTAGGGGGTCTGCAGGCGCTCCGAGGCGTTCAGCGTCGTCTCGGTGCGCAGGTCGATGGAGGGGGTGGGGCGGTAGTTGGAGCTGTCGCTGCCGCAGAACTTCTCAAACTGTGGGGGCGGGGGGCGGGGGGCGGCGGTATTGGAGGATGGATGGGGATCAGGCCATGAACTGAAAACGGGATGAACGACGCATGAACAAGTTCAGGAAACCCCCCTTTTCTCAGAAAGCCAGACACTCACCAGGGGCACGCCGTCGTCGATCCAGAGGTTGAGCAGGATGGGGGTGAGCTTGATGTTGTACTTGGCAGCCTCGTCCAGCACAAAGTCAAAGCCCTGGAAGATCTGCTCATCGTACTGACCTGTAGCGTGGAGTCGGGTGGGAACTTGGTGTCCTTTTCACTTCATTGTGATAAAAAGGTAAGACAGACTCAAATTGCAACCAGAACGCGCAGTGTCACTCCCTTATTCCAGGATGCCCACCCATCCCCAACCGCCCGTTCTCCGCCCACTGCAAGCGAGGGGTCAGAAACCGCCCAGGCATCCTCACCAGCGCTGGTGGTGAGGAAGGAGTAATCGCCCTGGATGAAGAAGCGGTAGACGTTGAAGTTCAGCGCCTGGGCCTCCTTGAACATGTTGGTCAGGAAGGCCCGCCCATCATTGAATCCCGGCATGGACTTCTTGTTGGCCGCGTACGATAGGGTGGACCACCTGCCACGGGAGACAGGGGCGCAAGGGAAGAACAGTGAGGCGCGTGTATTCCACTGCACTCTAAGGATCATGATATGTTACTGGCAAAGGATTGCGCAGGGGTGGCACGCCACCACTGGACACGGAACGCGCCAGGCCGCTAAACTGCCGCGCAGGTCGGCGGCTCCCCGTTCCTCCCCCACTGGTGCACCCCCGGACTCACCCGTTCCATCCAACCGGCTTAAAGTCCGTGCAATTACCGGACGTGAAGCGCAGACCGTCGACCTTGACGAAGTCTGCACTGTAGACCGGTGGCGCCAATGCTAGGGCAAGGAGGCCCAGCACGACCAGTCGCACCATCATCATCCGTATTCTCGCGGACACAGGTCCCGAATCCAATACGAGGGATGAACGAGGTGAGTATGGGGACCTATCTGGGGGTCTCGGAGATATATTGGTCGAGTCTGTCGATAATGCGCTACCTCGATGCCTCCCATGATACAGTTTAGCATACCCACGTGGGCCGGACTAGCCCCCTGAAGGCTCCCATGTCCCCAATTGGGTGCTGGGTTCAATTCTTCAACAAAAATAACATTAGATGGCTCATGCACCAGCCAGGGAGCGCACGGAGCCCTCCGCGAATCGAATCGCGTAGTCGGTGTGACGCTGTTGGGGTCCGTATCCATCCCCCCCACACATGGGTGGGCGGGAGGAATCGCACGCTCCATTCTGTAGTACAGGTGCATGGCTGACTTCCAACTGCTTCATCAATTGCATCCAGGCATTATCGCTGTCGCAGCTGGTTACGCATTGAGATCGAGCCGGCGCTGCAAGTCCGCTACCGCAGGCATGATTTCCTTGACCGTTTTCTCCCCGGCCCCCTGTCGTACGGCCAACAGGTGACCCTGCATGCTCTCCTGCATCAGCAGCCAGCTGCCGCCCGTAGCTGCGCGCGCCAGCACCTCCCGGAAGCTCGTCCGACTCGCCCCGCCATCGGCGTCCGTCCAGTCTGCCGCGGCCCCCAGCGCCCCCTGGCGTGCCATGGAGTCCCGCCCGGCAGCAGCCATGGCGCGGTCGACGTGGGACATGGCACTTATTTTGGGGCGAGGGCTGGCCAATGCTCCCGCGAGTCCCTCGCGCACGGCCATGTACCGATACCCAGGGAGGTGTGCGGGACGTTCGGGGGGTAGCGCCGCCTCCTGCGTCCGGGTGGGACTTTGGAGGTCAGTGACGTGGAGGTGGAATGGTTTGTTGAGCAGCAGCCTAAAAAGCATGCCCATGCTTGGGCAATGGATCGGTTTGCCACACAGAAGGCGCTGGCAGTGTCAGCAGCTGGCTGAGGGCATGCGCCCCACACATCATCTGGAACAAGAGCCAGAGAGGCCGTCACCAGTACACGCGCGCTCCTCTGCCCCATTCCCAGCGCCACGACACCCCTGCCGTGCGACCCCCCCGGTTCAAACACAAGGGGCACCTTGATCAGAGGTTCCAGCCAGGGTCGTGCCAGGTTGTGCAGCGCCGCAGCCTGGGCTTTGGAGCAGCCGCCCCCGCTTGTGTCGAGGGCCACGATCACCCTAAGGTCGGCGGGGGCCATGCTCAGAAGCAAGCACTCGAACGGCCGCGGGGGGCTGCCCAGGTGCAGCTTCGGCAGCCGCGCTTCGCCTGCAGATCGGAGCAGGAGCACCGAGGCTGGCCCCGCCCCATCGGCGCCCGAGCCCCGCGCGTCCACCTCACACGCCTCCCAGCGGGCTCCGGGCTGCAGCGCGGCCGGCCCCGGCGCCGGCCGCTCCGCCCCGGCCCAGGCCGCCAGCCCCTCCGCGCATCCCTCCGGCAGGCTGGTCCACAGCAGGCGGCCCTGGCCGTCCAGTACCGCGCTCCCCGCCGAGGCCACGCCCGCGGCGCAGCGCAGCGCCGAGTCCAGGCTCTGCGCGGCGCGGGCGGCGGCCCGCGGCCAGGGCCCCGCCGGCACCGCCCGCGCGGCGCAGAAGGGGTTGCGCAGCTCCCGCGCCAGCGCGCTGCTGCGCGAAGAAAGCTGGGAGTGGAGGTGCACGAGGAGCGGGGTCAGCCTGGCGCCGGCCGAAGCCCCGCTGGGGTCCTGCCGAGGAGGAAAGGGATTGGAGGGTGGCGGGAGCGGATGAGGGGAGTGAGGCAAGATGTCCACAATACAAAGGCGCGAGGAAAACGTTCACCGCCCTGCGACTCTGCGATCGGGAAGCTGGAATGACCCCGGCACATGCAAGGACGCACAAACGGACCGCCAGCACTCCACTCGCCTCGTCGAGCAGGGCCTGCACCCCTCCATGCAGGGTAGCCACCAGCGAGCGCAGGAGCACCAGGATGGCCTGCACCCCGTCCTCGGTGGCATGTCGGGGGATCGCAGACTTGGCCAGTGCCTGCAGGAGTCGGAAAGGGTTCCGTGACGGCAATGGCAGTATCCAGGGCTAGAGGCCAGAGTGTACAGGGGACGGGACTCAACACCGCACGTCAAGGCATGCTTGCCGGAACATCAGGAGGGTCCCAGCCAGATTACAGCACGATTCGCATCCCCACCCTTCCTCCTGATGCGTCCCCTCACCAGGCCAAGGCTGATGCTGGGCTGCGCTTGGACGCTCAGCCAGACGCTCCTCTGGGTCTCTGTCCGGGTCCAGTCCGAGGCCTGTTGGTAGTGAAGAAAGGACTGGGGTGGGCTTGAAACCTCCCAGACAGCGCTCTGTACCGCGCAATGAACCCCTCCTGGCCGCGTGCCTGGCCAAAGGTGTTGGCGAATGTGGCCAGCCCTTGCAGGAGGCCCACAGCCCACAGCAGATCCGTGGGGTCCGGCACGCTGGGGTACACGGCCAGCAGCTTCTCGAGCTCCGTGGATTCTCGTGCCCCTCGCCGGGCGTCATAAACGAAAAACTGGATGTCGCCAAGGCGGGCGCGAACCATGGGTGAGTAAGTGATCTAGTCGGGCCCACGCTGGGGCCTTGTGGAGGCCAGCGCGCCGATGGGTTGGAGAGTGTAGAATTGCTAGGAGGAGTGTTTGTTTCTGTTACAACATGGGCGAGTGCATCAAGGATGCATAGGCGCCTCGGAGTCTAGACTGCGCATCAGTATTGCCGTTCTGGCGCCCTGTGACTTGGCTCGGGGAATGCATGGTGCCCGCCACAAGCGAGCATGTCACCGACATACAAATCAGATTGCATACATCGGACATATTGCATCACACTTCAGGTGCCGGACCTGCCAAGCGGCTGGAGCGATAGTATCTCACCCTGCACTTGGTCGCCATGGTAGCAGAGGGCGGGCTCACAGAGAAGGAAGCGGCTGTGTATGATCGACAGCTGCGTGTATGGGGTGTGGAGACACAGAAAAGGTACGAGTGTTCGATCTGAGCTGGTCTAGATCGGATGGACGGCATCTTCGAGACCGGCAGTGCGCCACCACGGCATCACATCCTCCTTGCAGGCTGAGCTCCGCCAAGGTCCTCATCGTCGGGTGCACGGGCCTTGGAGCCGAGGTGAGACTTGAAGTGGCCGCTTGGGTGGACCTGGAGGACACGATGTCTTCCATGTGGCGCGGTGTCCCTGGTGCCAGCACCCCATGGAGTGTCCACCCTCCCATCCTCCCCATGTCTCAGGTGGCCAAGAACATTGTGCTGGCCGGTGTGGGGTCGGTGACCCTCGTGGATGACACGCCATGCGCACAGCGTGACCCAGGCAACTTCCTCGTCCTGGCAGACGCTGACGGCAGCCGGACGTGAGGGTTACATGGGGTTTGGAGGGAAGGAAAGGGTCCCCCCCCATCTCACTGGCTTCCTTCCCAGCAACCCGCTCCTGTTCACTTTGAGGTCGGCAAGGACCCCGCCCCCTGCGATTCTCGAGTCCCGTGCAACCCCCCTCTCTCCCGTCTCCCACCCGGTGCAGGGTGGCGCAGGCATGTGCGGCCATGCTCCGGGAGATGAACCCCCTGGTGGATGTGCAAGCCCAGGCCGGCCCGCCGGCGGGGTCTGGGCTAGAAAGGGAGGCGCACGGCCTGGTGCTGGACCTGACGGGGGACCCGGCCAGCGTGTCGGCCTCCAGCGTAGCGTGCCGGGCGGCAGGCCTCCCTTTCTTCGCGGGGGGCAGCCGGGGCACGATCGGCTGGGCCTTTGCCGACCTGGGCGAGCACCGGTTCGTGGTCGAGCGGCGGGGCCCGGGCCCCGACGGCGCCAAGCAGGCGGAGGCGTGCAGCACCAGCTACCCCTCCTGGGCTCGCGCCATGGCTGCGGACGTGGGTGGCCGCAGCCTGAAGCGCGTGCACCCCGTCTACCTCATGCTCAGAGGTGAGGCCACTGAGTGTAGGGGAGGAGGGGTCGTGGAGGGGCAATGCAGGCCCGGGGGGGTGGGCAGGGGATGGCGCAGGCTCGCAGGCATGCCTGCCGGCCGTCTGACTCGGGCTCCTGACGCGACCCGCCTGCAGCCCAGGCGCTCAGCCCGAGCGGGGCTGGCGAGGGAGCAGGCGCCGCCGCTGCCGACGCCATCGCGCGACTGGACGAGGAGCTGGGGAGGCCCAGCAGCCTGCAGGCAGAGGCCCTGGAAAGCATGACCTGCACCGCGCATGGCCTGCCCGCGGTGTCCGCCGTACTGGGCGGCATCCTGGCGAACGACGTGCTCAAGGCCGTCTCGGGGCGGGGCAGGCCCATGGACAACTTCTTCCTGTACTCCATCGCCGACGGCGCGGGGGTCGTGGACCGATGGGGGGATGCCTGACCTGCTGTAACGTGTGTAGCCCTGCTGGTTGAGAGGTAACAGCCGATGAGTAAGGCACCACCCGGGAACTAGAAAGGATCGCCCTGCAATGCTAGTCTTAGTCCCGCTCGAACCCGCGCCGAGTTCGCACTGTAGACCGCTCCTCAGCAGCGACAACATCGAATTGCTTGCCCCGCGGGCCCGGCATCTCAGGAAGGTGAGCGCACCAACGCCCCCTCGTGGGCATGGGCGAGTGCCGGGAGCCTGCGGAGTCAAGGGCGGGGTGCATGGCCGCAATCTGCTGCACCTTTGCCAGTAATACTCACCCGTTCATTGTCCCACGCTTTATCGCAGAGGCAGCCATGGGTAAGATCCCGGTCAAGTTCAGGGAGGTGGTCTACACCCTGTCCCCGTACGAGCAGAACGTCATGGGTGGGCTGTGGAGGGACATCCCTCACAAGGTCTCTCACTACTCCACCAAGGTATGGGACGTGAGGGGTCCCATCATCACATCGGCATCGGAGGCCTCGGGCTGGGTGGTTCCTATCTTTAGGGCCCTTTCACACTTACAGCCAAAGGCTCCTCCCCCATCCTGACCTTATCGATTCTGCCGCTGCAGGTTCGGGACGCCGTGATCTTCGCTGTGCTTCCCCTCTGGGGCATTGGCTGGTATGTTGGGCATGGGTAGGGTGTGGGGGTATGTGGGTGGTGGATCTGAGAGGGCGCTAGGCAGGGTGGGTGGGGCTCCACCTGTGGTCCGCAGATCACATGTACTCCACAGTCTCAATAGCGCTGGGCCATGCAAAGCTCAAGCTTCGGCACCTTGCTGTTCCAGGTACTGCAATGACTTCAAGGAGAAGGAGAAGCACCATCACCGCTTCTGAGCCATATGCGAACTGTCCTCAAAACAGCACTGTGTGTCTGTCCTTCCGCTGTACGCTTCCTTACTGTAACCCAGCCAAACGATTGTGTCGCAGAGTGTACCAGGCTTCACACGAGATCCCTTATCGGTCCCTGCATCCTGCCAGTCCTGCTTAGGCGAGGTGTGCTATCACCTTCCCCCTCGGGTAGATTCAAAAGGTTTCCGGCACATTCTCTTACAGATGAAGCAAATACGTAGCAGTGGACGGGGTTCAGCGCCGCGTGATGAGCTCTCACTGACCTTACATCTCCATTTGCACGTTGACGCACCTTGAAGGTGCCAGGCAGGCTGGCGACGTGGGATGCAAACCGGTTTGCGGCACTTCGACGGTGTGGGTGCCGACCCGGCGCCGTCGACTCCCTCGGACACGATCGAGCACCAACTGGCAGCATGCGTGCGTGAATACCTAGGCAATTACCTGTACGACACCGCGACATTCCTCTGCGAGCGTCTGGTCGCTGAAACGCCATCCACGGTGTGTTGGCATGCTGGTGGTGGGCCCCTGACGATGGTCCCATCTTCCGGTTTCAACCCTCACAGCCTCGGCCTGCCCGTTCCACAGGCACACACGCTCCTTCTGGCACGATGTTACTACCTCTCGAATCAACCATACCGCACCTACCATCTGCTGAAAGGTGGAGAAGGAGTTGCGCCCCCACCCATCTGCATGTCAGCTGGCCCTGGGTGCTTGTCTGCCTCCGAGTGAGCGTGCACTGCCTGACCCCATCTCCTCCCCTCCCATGCTCCTCAGATAGCAGCGACCCTGCCTCGCGCTATCTGTTTGCCACGGCATGCCTTTCCCTGAACCGGCTGACCGAGGCTGAGGATGCCATGCTCCCAGGCCCCGCCGCCCATGGGGTAGGCACACGTGCAGGGTGGGGCCGCTCACTGCGATGTGGCTGAGGAGGGTGCAGGCACTGATTTGTGCACCCGGCCCAGCCCCCGCATTCCATCGCCTCAGGCTTCGCCTCCCTCACAGGGCGTGGCCCACGGCGCGGCGGGTCACTTCCTGCTGGCCAAGGTCCACACGCTCATGAACCGGCACGACAGCGCGGCCTCCCACCACCGCGCGGCCCTGTCCCTGGACCCCATGCTGTGGGGGGGCCTTCGAGGGGCTGTGCACCCTGGGCGCCGAGACCGAGGCCCAGGCCTACCTGGAGGGCAGCGGGTGGGCGGCGCAGCATGGCCATGCGCCCGGTGGGGGCCGAGCGGAGGCTTGCACCTCGGAGCAGACACCTGGTGCCAGCCCCAGTCAGGAGGCCGACGTGGGCCCCACGCCCGGGTCATCGCAGGTCCCCCCCCCCCCCACAGACTCAATCGCCGACCAGGCCTTCTCCTTCCCCAGCCCCGCACCCATGGCCGACGGCGGGGCGCTGCCCGGCGTGACCCCGGGCTCTGGAGGCGGGCCGGGGTACTCCGGCATGCAGTCCTACGTCACCCCCTCCCCGACCGGGCTCCTGGCAGGTGCGTGGTGGGGTGCTCAGAGGATGTAAGCGTGTCATTCCCGGGCTGACGGATGGACATCACTGCATGCTCGGGTGCAATCTGCGCAACAGGGGTCCTTGCTGCGGATGCGATCCGGGCACATTCCCTGGGGGCCACCCTTCGGCCACCCAGCAAGCACCCCCACCATGCACCGCGCAGCCCCCCCGCCCGCCCGCAAGGCCCCGCCCGCCGGCCGCGGCGCCTGGCAGCCGCGCGGCGCGCCGCCCGCCTCCGCCTCGTCCGGCCCTGCGCCGGCGCCGCGCCGCGAGGCCAAGCTGCGCCGCCTGTTCAGCGACGAGGAGGAGGGCGCCGGGGTGCTGCCGCCGGCGCCGGTCCCCGCGTGCCGCCCCGCCGCCGAGCCCGCGGCGCCGAGCCCCGGCCCCGCCGGCGCGGCGGCGGCGCTGGGCCTGCTGCGCGCGCTTGGGCGGGCCCTGCTGCACGCCAGCATGCACCGCTGCGGCGCGGCGCTGGCCGCGCTGCGCGCGCTGCCGCCCGCCCACCGCGAGACGGGGTGGGCGCTGTGCACGACGGGCCGCGCGCTGGCCGGCGCGGTGCGCTACGCCGAGTCCGCGCGTGCCTTCGCGCGCGCGCGTGCGCTGGAGCCCGGGCGCCTGGCCGACATGGAGGCCTACAGCACGGTGCTGTGGCACCTGCGCGCCGGCCCCGCGCTGTCTGCGCTGGCGCAGGACCTGCTGGCGCTGGACCGTCTGAGCCCCGCCGCATGGTGTGCGGCCGGCAACTGCTTCAGCCTGCAGCGCGACCACGACACCGCGCTGCGCTTCTTCCGCCGCGCGCTGCAGCTGGACGGCGGGCGCGCCTACGCGCACACGCTGGCGGGGCACGAATTCCTGGCCCTGGAGGACTTTGACAAGGCCATGGGCTGCTACCGCGCAGCGCTGCGCATCGAGCTGCGACACTACAACGCCTGGTGGAGGGGGGGGGGGGGGGGCGCGTGTGGAGCGGGAGACGAGGGAATCTGGGTGGATGGGTGGGATCTTAGTGGGGGGGGGGAATGTTGCATGACTAGATCAAGGCACCCTGATCAGGCTGGCGAGGGGTTCTGTGCAAGAGGCGCTGAGGAATCCGCTCGGGAACTTTGGGACGGCCGGAGTATGAAAGGTCGGCGTGATGACGAGGCTCCGGACGACGATCCCGGGTCCGCGTCAGACCCATGCCCCATATTCATGAACTCCTCCCCCTCACACCGATCAACAGCCCTCACTCCCAATTACCCACCCGCCCGCCCTTGTCCCTGCTGTGTGTGTGGACCCACCCCTCCACACCCTCCCCGTAGGTTCGGCATGGGTCACATCTTCTATCGCCAGGAGAAGTGGAGCCTGGCCGAGTACCACTTCCGGCGGGCCACCGCCATCCACCCTACCTCCTCCGTCCTGCGCTGTTATCTGGGCATGGCGCTGCGGCGCCTGGAACGGCTGGAAGAAGCGCTCCTTGAGCTCCACGTGAGCCTGGATTGGAAGGGGGGGGGGGAGGAGGGGGACTGAGTGTTTTGGATTTGGAGAGTGGTTGGCTGCGTGATACCAAAACAAAGATGGCTGGGAAGGGTCCATGTGATTGGCCAAACACACGAGGTCAGTTTTGTGCAGTTTCTTCCGAGTGCTGCACTTAATGGGTAGCCAGGCAGTCACCCTGTGATCCTCTCCTCGTTCAAATCCCCCAGAGGGCGATCGCTGCGGACCCCAAGAACCCACTGGCGAGGTTTGAGGCAGCAAACGTGCTGCTGGCCTGCGAGAGGCCACGGGACGCGCTGCACGAGCTCCAGGCGCTGCATGTGGGTGCCTGGGTTGTGATCTGGGCACCACGTTGTGTGGAGAGATGATTGCCAGTGGGGGGCCTGGTTGTTGCAGCAGCTTGAAACACTGATTGCAGCGGTTGGCTGATCGGCAAGAGCCGCTCCTCCTGGCACGTTCGAGTGGCAGGCTGTGCCTGCCATGGTACACCGAATTTATAACCGCGCCCCGCCCCGCCCCACCCAAACATCCCCCTTCCTCAATCCCCCTGCAGGACGTCGCGCCGCAGGAGGTCAGCACCTACTTCCAGATGGGCAAGGTGCACAAGCGGCTCGGGGAGGTGGACCAGGCGATGCGCTGCTTCTGCGCGGCGCTGGACCTGCAGCCCCCTGCGGCCGACAGCGAGCTCATCAAGGGCGCCATCGAGAGGCTGCGCGTTACCGAGGACGCGCTGGACGAGGAGATGTGAGGGGTTGGCGGGAGGCCGTGGCGCTGGCCCTGCGGGGCGCAGCGTAGGTTTGTGCGTGGTCTGAAGCTAGTCCCGGGAAGCCCTCGACGGTGAGCCCGGGAGCCCTCGACGCTGGTCCCGGGAACCCCGCGACCTCCGACCCCTGTAATCCCAGCTCTGACCCTCGAGCACATGCGTCACAGAGCGCTCAGAACCCCTGCACCCACACAAGTCACTGCTGCTGCTGCTTCTCGCGCATGTGCTCCACGAACTCGTCTATCAGGTAGGGCCAGGCCCCAGCGTCGTCGTAGTCGCTGAAGTCCGGGCTGACGCTGAGGATGAAGTCCAGCAGCTGATTCCAGGTGTCGCGCGAGATGGCGCGGTTGTGCTTGGCCTGTAGGAAGTCGCACCAGTCCTGCGTGTAGCGCCAGCGGTGGGCGGGCAGGAGCAGCTGCCACATGGCGATGGCGACGTCCTGCTGCACGCACTTCTGGCCCTTCTCCCTGTTGTGATTGTTTGAGGCATGGGGTTGGGGGTTGCGAGGGCGTGGGGGAATGGGGGCAAGGGATTGCACATCGAAATGAGGGGGCGGAGGGTGACCTCCATTGGGTCAGAACGGGTCTTGTCTGGGGAGTCTCGAGCTCTGGAGCTTGGGATCAGGTCGAAGGGGCAGCAGGCTTCCCTCTGGCAGGCAGCACCCCCTTTGCAACCCACCCACCCTGTCCTCTTGGAACCCCAACCACTGCCCCTGCACACACACCTGGAGAAGAGGTAGGCATACTTGTAGATCTCTGGGAACCTGGAGGCGTCGTCCAGCTGAGCCCGCAGCCCCGGCAGCGCCGCCCTGAGCTTGGACAGGGAGTCGCAGGCCAGGCGGGCCAGGCCCCCCTCGAACTCCTCGCGGCTGAACTCGCACATGGTGGCCGCCTGGAGGTGGTAGCTGAGCACCAGCATGACTGGGTCCTCGGGGCTGACCTCCAGGTCCTCGCACAGCGTGGAAACCCCCTCTGCCAGGATCAAATCCTCCTCACCCTCGTCCCGGTACCGGGCAAACAGCTCGCCGATGGCCGCCCTGCGCGCCGGGGGAAGGGTTTGGCGAGGGGGAAGGGTTTGGCGAGTGGGAAGGGGCAGATGCATGGCGCGTGGGACCCAGCAGGCAGCGCCGGCGAGGGAGGGACAATGGATGCCGGGTTTCACATGCACTGGGTCGGAGGGCAGGCGCTGGGGCCGTCGGCATGCACAGTCCGATCAGCATCGACCGCTGTTCCAGGCCCCGGTTGCGGACAGACTTGCAGGGCAGTGCGCTGGCTGGTCGTGTTTCCCCCCTTGCAAGTGGAACCCAAACCATCTCCCAGCCACGCACTTGTCTGTCTTGGGGCCCCTGCCCCCACGCGCAGCGGGGTAGGCTCCAGAGGAGTAGTAGTAGTCCACTGCGGCCTCCAGGCTCCACCCCGTGGCCGTCAGGCACTCCAGGGCGGTGCGGGTCGAGGCGCCTGTCACCCCCACCACCTGTGCCAGCTTCTCCCGCTGCGGCTTGGTCACACGACTCGCCATCTTGCCTGGGCTCAGATCTGCAGGTGCAAAGAGGGCAGGGGGAGAGTGTGATGCATGGAGATTCCTGCAAGCTGCTGCGCCCTGGAGCAGCCCCAGACTGGATGAATGCTGCCGGTTGCACCCAGCCCATACCCTCGAGCCGCGCCCGGAGCCACCCCGCCACACCTTGAACCCCTCTGCACGCAGGCAGGCCTTGTGGGCTTCGATGAGGGCAGCACACTCCGCTGATTCGGGGCCGTGCAGCGTCACGCACTCGTCCCTCGCGCGCTGTGGGCCAGCAAGAATAGGGGGTCTCTCACAGGGCATTCCAAGAAAGCCTGTGCCAGCAGGACCTATGCACACGGAGACGTACCTTCGTTTCGGGGCAGGCGCAGCAAATCTTCAGCTTGGGCTTCTCGGCCTCTTCCTTGGCTCTACTCCAGAAGCTGTACCAGGCCATTGTAATGAGGGGCTTCTCCACACATCACCTGCGGCAATGAATGCGAGGCTTACAACGCGAGCCGGGCGCACAAACCTCGTTTATCAGTGTTTGCCCAATGATGAGCCTTACCTTGATGAAGTCGACTGTCGAATATAGTAAGGTCTTGTCTTGATCGGGTGAGGCCCTCCTATGCACTCCTGATGACGATGAGGGAGATGCAGTGTCGTCCCTCTGGAAAGTGGGGCCTCTTCCCTATTGCGCGCCCAGCAGATGTGAACGTCCTGTCGATGACCATTGAGATGGACGGCATGCGCAGGTTATCGCCATAGTATACCCGCATCGATACTTTCCAGATTGACGGGAGTGTCGTTTGGGCTGCGCTTTAGACGGCTGAGTATGCCAGCGGGGTTCTCACTCCCTCTCTGCGTCGTTCGCCGGTGAAGGAGCAAGATGAGCACTTCCTTTGTCTTGCCCAAAAAGAAAAACCTGTTCAAGGTTGGTCGTGGCCCTCAGCCTCGATGGCTGGCTCGGGTGCATGCATGCTGGGCCGCTCGAACCTCCCACCACCACAAGGTCCCCTCGTCTCACCCCCCCTGACGGATCATCAACATTACAGAGGCAGAAGGAGCAGGAGGAGGAAAAGAAAAAGGTGTCACTTGGTGATTGGGAAATGCTGCTGGAATGTAAATGTCCTGATCCAAGTAGGAGCGACTTCTGGGATCTCATCATCCCAGTGCCAGTGCATAGTGCCACCGAATACAAGGTGCATGCGTTCGTGCCCCCACCCCCCTCCAAGGCGCTCATCTTTCACCATTTTGCAGAGGGATGAGGAGGAGGCGGCTCGCGTGTATGAGGAGTTTGTGAAGGACTTTGGCGGGGGCCGGCCAAGCGGGACTGGCTTTGTGCGCGGCGGCGTCATCCAGCCTGGGAGCAGGGGCGATGCCTCCGCGAGTGGGTCCAGGCAGGAGAAGAAGCTGTACATGCCCTCGCTGCATGGTCCAGGCATCGCTGGGGTGTTTGGTGACTCCAAGGAAGAGGCCGACGATGAGCCCGCGGTGGGTGTATAGGATGGGACGGCTGGCTGAGATGGGGTGATTGCTTCCTCCTGATGGAGGAAGGCGAGAAGTATTTGTTTCGCATGGTGCTCAGCACCACGTTGATTGGGGATCCTGCACCCGCATGCAGGCGGGGTCTTGCCCACGTCTGTGTTCACATGTGATGACTCATCCATGCAGGAGGCAGCGCCCGTGCCGCCAAAGGGCAGCAAGCCCAAGCGAATCGATCTCTTCCTGGAGAACATGAAGAAGTGAGGGGCTGGCAGGGCAAGCGTCTGATGATTTGCAAGAGTAGCTGTGGGGAATTTGGTGTCCAGACTGCGGCGGGCCTTCCTGGGTCTCCCCTGTCAGATGGTCACCTTGGCCCCAAGTGCTTTGCAGCATCCAGTTCCTACACCCACACCATGCAGTAGTGTTCATCTCACCCCTGTACTTCATCTGCCCACTTGCCTCAACTTCAGGGAGCAGATGCAGCGGGAGCTGAGGAAGGAGCTCAACCTCCCCCCTGCCGACGACGACTTTGCCGAGCGTGGGTCCCACGACGTGAACGACCCCGCCTCCACAAACCTGTACGTTGGGAACATGGCCCCCACCGTGGACGAGCAGATCCTGCTGCGCGAGTTTGGCCGCTTCGGCCCCATCGGCTCGGTCAAGGTCATGTGGCCGCGGGACGAGGAGCAGCGCCGCCGGGGACGAAACACCGGCTTCGTGCTCTTCATGGTGGGTGGGGATCGCCTTTGTTTGGGCAAGGGGAAGGGCGGGGAGGGCTTGCTGGGTGGGGGAAACATTTGCCCTTGCCCCTCTGCCCACACATCCCCCAACATCCCCACCTCACCCACCCTGCAACCTCCCCCTCATTCCGCGACAGCTGCGGGACGACGCAGACCGAGCGCGGGAGGCGCTGGACGGCGCTTTCTTGCATGAGATGCCGCTGAACATTGGGTGGGGCAAGGCCATGCCCCTGCCCACGGCCCCCATCTGGCCCCCGCCCGGAGGCTTGGCGGTGGAGGAGGGCGCGCCGCTCTACCCTGCGCCCCCCGCCCCCGGCCCCGACGGCCGCTGGACCTGGCGGGAGGCGGTGCCGGTCGTGCCGCACGGCGCGCGCGACGATGCGGCGCAGGGGCCGCTGGGCCGTGGACCCCGGATCGTGGTGCACCCCCCCGCCGACGAGCGCACGCGCTTCGTCATCGACGCCGTGGCCTACTACGTCATCCGTGACGGCTGCTCCTTCGAGCAGGTGGTGATGGAGCGGGAGTTGGGCAACCCCGAGTTCGCCTTCTTGCTGGACACCACGTCGGCGGAGCACGCCTACTACCGATGGCGCCTCTTCTCCCTTGCGTCTGGCGACAGCCTGCGCAGGTGGCAGGGAGGAGGAGGAGGAGGGGGGGGGGTTCTGGAAATGGATGTCGGTTAAAGCTGCGGGGAGATTTCCAGACCAGGAGCCCCTGGGATCGCTTGCTTCTGCACGGGGGGGGGTTCTACAGATGAGCCTTCGACCATCTGTGATCCCACGCCACACACCCACACACTCCATAAACATCTGCAGCTGGCGGGTGGAGCCCTTCCTGATGGTGGAGGAGAGCAACGCGTGGGTCCCTCCTCCCATGACTGTCGGCGCCGCGGGGATCGCCAAGACGGCGGCGCAGGGCGGGGGCGGGCGGCGCCGGCCCGAGGAGGCGCGGCCACTGTCGGAGGCGCAGCGCGACCGCTTCGAGGACTGCCTGCGCCGGCTGACCATGGCGCGGGAGGACATCTGCGCTGCCATGATGTTTGCGTTGGAGATGGCGGACTCTGGTGCGGCGCGGCGGTGGTTGGGAATCGGGGGGGGAGGGGGGGTCCCTCCGTGCAAAGGGTGCTTCCTTGGGCCACAGGGCATGGCACTCCCTTCACGAAGGATGCCTCGTGTGCTACCCAGGCTGTGTGACACCTGCGCGCCCTCTCACACTTGATTGGCCCAGTCTGCACCCCATCCCACTCACACGCACACGCACACGCACTCCCTACAATGGCACTGCAGCGGCGGAGGTGGCGGAGATCCTGAGCGACGCCCTGACCCTGCCGGAGACCCCCATCCCGCTCAAGGTGGCCCGCCTCTTCCTCCTGTCCGACATCCTGCACAACTCCACGGCCCCCGTGCGCAACGCCTCGCGCTTCCGAGTCTGCATTCAGCCCCTCCTCCCCGACATCTTCCTGGGGCTGCAGGTGAGCCGGTCCACTTGTTTGCGGGGTGGATGTGGTGGATGAGAGGGGGAGCAGTGGCGCCTGTGACCGCCTCAACCCCATGCGGCATGGACAGGCGACGAGCCCGCCCGTGCACCAGCCCGGCACCCTCTCCGCGTTGGCATGCCAACCTCCAGCCTCGACCCGAAGACATCACCCACGACTCCCTTCCCGATCTCCTCCCCTCCCCGCGCCTCGACCAGGAGGCGTACCGCGGCGCCGACTCTCGTATGGGCCAGGAGCTGCTGCGGCGGCACGTGCTGCGCGTGCTGCGCGCCTGGCGCGGCTGGTTCGTTTTCTCGGACGACTTCCTGGCGGGGCTGCAGGCCACCTTCCTCACCGCCCCCACGGGGCCGAGCGAGCTCCGCGCCGCGCACGACGCCGCGCTGGCGGCCGAGCTGGCGGCGCTGGGCGACGACGACTTGGAGGCGCGGTGTCGCGGCCTGGGGGTGTCGGTCGCGGGCGGCCGCGCCGACCGCCTGGCCCGCCTCCAGGCGGTGCTCGAGTACCAGCGGGGCTGGACGGGGGGCGAAGGCGGGGCGGCGGCCGAGCCGGGCGGGGCGGGGCCGGAGCGGAGGGGGCGGGAGGCGAGGCCGGGCGGCGCAGGGACGGAGTCGCCTGCACATGCAACGGACACTGCCCTTCTGAGTACAGCGGCAGATGCCGGCGGGTGGACCGCCGTCGAGGGGGCCGCGGCAGACGACCGCGAGGCGTCCGCTGTGCCGTCCGCGGCCGCAGCGGGTGCAGCGGCGGAGCCCACGGGGCGGTGGGAGGCGGCGGGGGTCGCGGCCGTCCCCGTCAGCCGGTGGGAGAGGGCGGCCAACGCCGCGGCCGTCCCAGTACAGGGCGACGCTCCGGCGGCCAGGGCGGGCCGCCGGGAAGGCGCGGCGCGTTCCGACGACAGCGTGCACGCTACAGAAGACGGCGCGCGCGCCTCCGACGGCGGCGTGCGCGGACCTCATGCTACGGACGGCCCCGCCGGGGCGGGCGCATCCAGTGCCGCGTGGCACGACAGCCTGGCCCGGGTAGAGGAGGAGGTCGCGGCATACCGAGCCGAGCTGGAGCGCTCCGGCCTGCCGCGGCCCGCGGTGGCGGCCTCGGCGGCGGCGCGGCGGGCGCAGCTCCTCGCTGACGTCGCCGCACGAGGGGCTGGGAGGGAGAGGGCATCCAAGCGGGCGCGCTCCCCGGACCGTCGCGCCGGCCGGTGATGCATCTTGTGTTCACAGCATTAGAAATCCGGGATGCACCAGTGTTGTAAAAGGAAGCCAGAAGCAGCAGCCTATTGAGAAAGGCTGTCGAGGGGGCGCAGCGCATAGCTAAAGTGGGAAACTGGTGGACGCCGGCTGCTGAACCCTGGGGGCTCGCGCTCGCCCCACACGTGCCCGAGGCGCGAACGCCTGGGAAGGTGGGGATCCAGGGGGAGTCTCCCAGGACATCCAGAGCATATTCGACAACCAGGGCGCATACTCCCCCTTACTACTTTCACTGCATGTCCCTGTGTCCAGGCAATACCTTGGAACTTGGAGGGCGAAGCGTGCGCGACTTCCGGCCTCGGCCAAAGTCCGACATGGCGTCGCTGGCCGGGGGATATTTTGCACACTCTGTCCTGCCGCCTCGACACGCTCCGCGCGAACGGAGTCGGGTCGGACAGATCAGGAATCCTCGAAGACGGGTGGCCCTCAATGTCGCGGCAGTCTGCGCTGAGCCCAGCCCACACTTGGATCGAGCCACCGGCACGCAACCCAGAACGTTGCAGGCGCTGCTCTTCATGGCGAGGTCCCTGGCGAAGAATGAACTCAGCGACTCTGAGGCGCCGTGGGGCCTGCCTCCGGCCCTCCTGGCGCAGCTGGAATGGGTGGGTGGACCCCTGCCAGTCACCCTCACCCAGGCCGCTACATCTCCTCCGGCCCCCAAGCAGCGAGCGCCCCCTGCCTCGGAACAGGCTGGTCGGGGCGGCCCCGATCCGGAGCGGGAGGACGATGACAAGGACCCCAACAAGAAGAGCAAGGACTACTATGCAAATGTGGGCGATGTCATCCGCACACTGAGGGACGACATCCCCTGCATCTTCTGGAAGCCTTTTGACTGTGCGCTGGGGCACTGCTGGGGGTCTAGTCCTGATTCGGCGTGTGCATCCTTTGAGAAGAGGATTGCGTGGCTGGCAATGACCTGGTGCCATTTTGCCCTGCTGACCCCTTTCAATTCTCCCATCTCGCCACGCCCCACACACACAGATCACATCTACCGCGACGACGTCGTCTTCAGAGACCCAAACATCTCCTTCCGGGGCTTGACAAATTACAAGCTTGTGATCTGGTCGTTGACCACATTTGGACGCCTGTTCTTCGCCGGCAAGGAGGTGTCTGTGGTCAACATCTGGCAGCCAGAGGAGGGCATCATCAAGTGCGTGGGGCAGTTCTGGGGTTGGAGTCTCCTCTTCTGTTCTTTTCGGTGTTGGCTTGATGGTGCTGTGCGTGACTTCCGCTGCTGCGCCCAAGATTGGCGTGTCGCCCCTGTCCACCCCCTTCCCCCCCACCCCGCCTTACACTCCCCCAGGATGAGGTGGCAGGTGCAGGCCCGGCCACGGCTGTGGTGGCTGGCCGAGGGCGTTTTTGACGGCATCTCGGAGTACCGGCTGGACCACAGGGGGCTGGTGCAGGAGCACCTGGTGACCAATGTGCAGTTGCGTGATCCGCCCATCACCAACCCGCTCCTCTACGGCCTGAATCTGCTCATGTCGCCCCGGCTGGCCCCTCAGCCCTCCCGAGTACCCTGCCCAGGTGAGAGGGCTGTGTGCTTTGGGTGCTGGCTGCATGTTTGCAGGCCGTTGCAACGGGAGTGTGAGCATCGCCACGCGGGGTGCTGTGTCACAGCTCTTCTGCCCACCTTCAACCTCTAGTCCGTCTCATTGCCTTCTCACGTCATGTCTCCGCCACACAGGGTCATGGAGTGTGGGAATGGCCGAGGAGGGTGATTCACCGAGCGTATTTGGCAGTGTGGACGCATGACTGCTTCCAGCCTTCGATCCAGAGGCAAGGGATGTGGCCCCTTCTCCCTGGTCGCGCCCGCGCTGGCTGGGAAGACTTGCATGGACTTGAATGTCGCAGATACCCCCCCCTGTACACCTTTGACTCGTATTTCATATATTGGCCGAAAGATGAAGATGCATGTACCCTCAGATCTGATCTTTGAAGCCTGTTCCATGTGAAGGTTGGTGCCGCCCCCCCCCCCTGCCTGTCATTGCTGTAGGCATCGTCACTGTACAGCTGATGCATGAAATAAAGGGGATTGAATGAGCAGGATTGCATTCAAGTTCTATGCAGACATTATCATCTCCTATGCAAGTCAGCTCGACGGGAAAATGGGGCAGGGGGCGTTGCCTTGCCGAAGAACAGTGTGGTAGCTGATAAATGAAGGGTACAGAGTGGCGGCCTGTGAGCACAGTGCTTGCAAGCCTGGGCTGCTGCTGGTCGAGGACAGGTAGCACTGAAGGGGATTGTACACGGCCTTTCCTGGCCAGGTCAGTCTCGCTTCGAGGGAATGCGTGCCAAGATGGGGACTGCGGTGCCTCCACCTCTGCAGCTGCTGCATGGCATCTTGCCGGAGTAGCCGCACGTGCTGCACCCGACATCGCCATCGGACCAGCGATTGCAGAGGCAGGGCACCTTGCCGGTGCCGCCGCAGGTAGAGCATTCTTGCTGCCCCTCGCGAGTGGGTTGTGCCTGCATCGCGAGAGCGGGGTTACGGGATCGTCAGCGCTCGAGAACCAGCGCGGTACGAGGGCCTTCGGAAACGAGAGCTGGGGGATTCGGAAGCCGACCCAAGCGCCCACTGACCTGCTGCATCGCGAATTGGTAGCCAAACCAGGCGACCGCGCTCCAGATGGAAGCCGTGGCCACTTGCGACACCAGGTTGAAACTGGACTCGTCCACCATCGACAGAAACTGCGCCCGCGCGACTCTCCGTGGCCGTGACGGCATAATAGTGCGAGTTGAGGTGAATCCGACTCTAGGGCGAGCGTTGGGCAGCCGGGCAGGTGTTACCACCGTGGGGGTGCGGAGGGACAACATGGTCACCACCTCTGCTCCTTGCTGTCGCTCAAACGCTTGGTTACTTAGGAGTGCCGAAATGTGTGAGAATCGAAATTCCTAAAGCAAAAGCGATATGCGAAGGACGGAATGAAGGTTGGTGCCCCGCCCCCCCCTGCCTGTCATTTGCTGTAGGCATCGTCACTGTACAGCTGATGCATGAAATAAAGGGGATTGAATGAGCAGGATTGCATTCAAGTTCTATGCAGACATTATCATCTCCTATGCAAGTCAGCTCGACGGGAAAATGGGGCAGGGGGCGTTGCCTTGCCGAAGAACAGTGTGGTAGCTGATAAATGAAGGGTACAGAGTGGCGGCCTGTGAGCACAGTGCTTGCAAGCCTGGGCTGCTGCTGGTCGAGGACAGGTAGCACTGAAGGGGATTGTACACGGCCTTTCCTGGCCAGGTCAGTCTCGCTTCGAGGGAATGCGTGCCAAGATGGGGACTGCGGTGCCTCCACCTCTGCAGCTGCTGCATGGCATCTTGCCGGAGTAGCCGCACGTGCTGCACCCGACATCGCCATCGGACCAGCGATTGCAGAGGCAGGGCACCTTGCCGGTGCCGCCGCAGGTAGAGCATTCTTGCTGCCCCTCGCGAGTGGGTTGTGCCTGCATCGCGAGAGCGGGGTTACGGGATCGTCAGCGCTCGAGAACCAGCGCGGTACGAGGGCCTTCGGAAACGAGAGCTGGGGGATTCGGAAGCCGACCCAAGCGCCCACTGACCTGCTGCATCGCGAATTGGTAGCCAAACCAGGCGACCGCGCTCCAGATGGAAGCCGTGGCCACTTGCGACACCAGGTTGAAACTGGACTCGTCCACCATCGACAGAAACTGCGCCCGCGCGACTCTCCGTGGCCGTGACGGCATAATAGTGCGAGTTGAGGTGAATCCGACTCTAGGGCGAGCGTTGGGCAGCCGGGCAGGTGTTACCACCGTGGGGGTGCGGAGGGACAACATGGTCACCACCTCTGCTCCTTGCTGTCGCTCAAACGCTTGGTTACTTAGGAGTGCCGAAATGTGTGAGAATCGAAATTCCTAAAGCAAAAGCGATATGCGAAGGACGGAATGTAGAGAATTCGTCATCGTGTGGCCGGGGATTTTGGAAGGAGTTGTGGAGAAGCGTGTGCCCATCGTGCACGCCTTCTTCATTTCACTTTTCTCACATACTGTTTCATGCCCTGTTTTTTAATTCCAACTTGGTAGAATCCAAACTGCCTAGTTTGATTTGACAATGTAACAGGTCGGCGTGGGGTGCGGTTCGTGTTGCTTACTTGCCAAGTAGAATTTACGGAATCCCCCACGGTAGAGCTCGAGAGTCTTACAACCGTACCAGACAGACAGACCGCTGCCCATTGACAAGCGCATGCACAGCGAGACACTTTAGGGACATACGCTTCCATAGTTCTTTACCATCGACCGATGGAGGAGCGATATGTTTTGGGGTTGGACGGTGGGACCGAAAGCATGCGCGCTGGCATTTTTGATCGAAAAGGTACCGTTTTTCTGTTCTCTGGCGAATAATGAAGGTGATGTCTATGATCAAGTGCATCTTTTGGCAGATGGCAAGTCACCGGAGTCGGCTCATGACATCCCGCAGGTGCTCCCATCGCCTTCGCATCCTCCCCCTACTCCACGACATATCCCCAATCCTCCTGGGCTGAGCAGGATCCTGAAGAGTGGTGGAGGGTACGTACCGTACTTGGACGGACCCATCACCAAGTGCATGGACTTCCATCATTAATGGCTGATGTCAATGGTCTTTCCTATCCCCAGTATCCACCCCGAGCTCCTTTTCACAGGCCATGGGGGAAGCCAGTCGAGCAGCTCTGGCGGCCGCAAAAGTCAAGCCCCATCAGATTGAGGCCCTGAGTCTGGACACCACCAACTGCACTGTGGTTGCTCTGGACGCTGCTGGGAAGGTCGCACTGGGGGTGGTTTCTCCCATGATCCACTCGATTCTCATTGTCATCGTGCAAAGGGGACACATCGTGCTCGCACGCGGCGGCACCACCTGCCGAGAATAGAGACCTCAAGCCTTGTGCCCCTCCTTCCACCCAGGCGCTGCGCCCGTGCCTGCTCTGGATGGACATGCGGTCGGCCGCGCAGGCGGCTAGGGTGGCGGCGAGCGGCGACTCGGCCTTGATCGTCAATGGCGGAGGCAAGGGACCCGTCTCGGCTGAGTGGATGGTCCCCAAAGCCCTGTGGCTCAAGGAGGAGGAGCCGGAAGTGTATGCAGCTGCAACATACATCTGCGAGTACCAGGTTAGTGTGGCGTCAGGGGTTGGGGGTGGGCGGCGGAAAAGGGGGCATGTCGTCATGTAGCTTGACGCTGGGCCCAAAGCCAGTGCTGGCCCAGAAGGAGCTCCAGCTCTGTACCGCCGCACCGCTCCTCCCTGCCCTTGCCTGAGCCATCCAACAATCCGCCATCATCCCCGCTCCCTCACCACAACCAATCCCAGGACTTCATCAACTTCAGGCTCACGGGCTGCATGTGCGCTTCTGTGAACAATGTGTCTGCTCGGTGGCACTACGACACCCAGAGGGGCTGGCCCGACACCCTGCTCCAGCACCTCGGCATGCCAGAGCTGCTGGAAAAGTGGCCCCAGGATGTGCTCCCCCTCGGTGCGTGTCCAGGCTGGCGTTGAGCCTGCCTGTGCCTATTGCTGAGAGATGGTAGCAGGACCCCATGGGGGCACCTTCCGCAACGCTGCCCACCCAAGACCTCTGGGCCCCACCCCCCTTCCCCCAACCAACACGCCTCGCAGCTGAAGTGGTGGGAGGGCTGACACAGGAAGCTGCTGAGCACCTGGGCCTCGCCCCCGGCACCCCGGTGGCCCAGGGCGGCGTGGATGCCCAGATCGGGATGCTGGGCCTGGGGGTGATTGACCCCGGATCGCTGGCGCTCCTCATGGGCTCCAGCCACCTGCACTTGGGCGTCACCGACCAGATGTGCGTGGGGGATGGTTAACGTGTGGGGTGGCCGGGGATGCGCCTGTCCCAGGATCTGTGAGCTGCTGCTCCAGGAGAGCAACAGGGCATGCAGGCCCCGCCCCCAACTCCTTGTTCAAAAGGCAGGGGCTGGCTGGTGCAGCAGTCATTTCCCTGGATGCTCTTCACCTCACCATGGTGCTTGAATTATAGGATGATTGGACCACAGAGTGCCTCTGCTTCATGCCTCAGACGGCCAGAGCACTGTGGGCGCGCCTGCAATCAGGTGTCCCCTTTCCTCATTGTCAGACAAGGTCCCTACTTCAATTCTCCTCAGAATGAACCACCCAAATCCACAGGCTGCACGGCTCTGGCATGTTTGGCACCTACCGCGACGGCCTGTGCCCTGGCATCAGTGTGGTGGAGGGAGGCCAGACCTCCACCGGCTCCGCCGTAGCCTGGCTGCATCGCCTGCTGGGCTCCCCCGGCTATGCTGAGCTGGACAAGGAGGCGGCTGGCGTGCCGCCGGGGGCGGAGGGACTGGTCTGCCTGGATCACTTTCAGGGCAACCGTACCCCACACACCGACGCTGCCTCACGAGGGGCCTTTGTGGGTCTCACCCTGCGGCACTCCAGGCAAGCACAACATTGGGGGGAAGGGGGGGAAAGCGTGGTGGCAGTCCCGGGTCGAAAACTTGCTCGACGCGCCCCAGGGCCATGGAAGAGGAACGCTTTCAGTATTGAACCTCGTCGCTGATTTGCCTCCTTGACTAGGTGTTCTTATCACGCTGACATACAGTGTTCCAATGTGCCCCCTTTGCCAAAGTTACACCTTTGCTTACATGGGCCTGGCTGGCATGAGTTGTCATCCCAAACCTCCTCCTGGCTCCTTTCCGCTTCCCCCAATCCCCCCACACCCCTGCCACCCCCCCTCCCTCATCCCCTGGCAGGGGCCACATGCATCGCGCCTTGCTGGAGTCCATCTGCTTTGGGACAGAGCTGGTGCTCGAGACGATGCGTGACAACGGCTTCCACCCGGCTTCCATCACTTGCGCGGGGGGCCCCACCAGATCCGACTTCTGGCTCCAGCTCCACGCCGACATCAGCAACATCCCCCTCCGCCTCACAGAGTGAGATGGATGTGGTATGACGGGGTGTGGTGCCTTCATCAGAACCGAGCTCTTGTGTCGTGCCCAGTCGGGCAGCATCAGAGGGTGCTGGGGATCATCCTTGAGCCCCAGCCTCGGCACCCTGCGCATCACCACCGTCCCCCTTCCACCACACACCCAGGGTGGCAGAGGCGCCTGCTCTGGGGAGTGCCATCCTGGCCGCTGTTGCAGCGGGCTGGTACCCCTCCATCCCAGATGCAGTGCGGGGCATGGTGCACATCGCACGCACCGTGCAACCCAACCCAGCCGTGCATGAAGCGTATAGGTAGTTTTAGTGGCCGGTCCCGGCGGCTCTCGTGCAGCATGCTGCACTTGTTCTCTGTGGGGAGACGCGATGTGACAGGGCAATGCCTCATGGTGCATGCGGAGTGGGCACCCCGCCCTGCCTCCGACGCCAGGCCGATGGCTGCCACCCACCCTGCGCGCTCCTCCCTCCCCGTCTGCTCGCAGGGAGTCCTACGCTGCGTATAAAGAGCTGTACCCCGCTCTACGACCCACGTTCCATGCCGCTGCAGCCAGAGACTCAGCCAGGCGGCAAGCGCAGAAGGGCGCCAGGGCGTCTGCGTGATGTGTGAAAACCCCCGGGCTTCGCGTCCTCTTCAACACCATGTACTTGTTTTAAGTGCACTGCCAAAATGCATGTTTACTGTACAGCAAAGCGATTCTTGGCTTCCTTGTGTGTCCCATGGCAAGCCGGGGCAGGGCAGGATGACAGGTGCGGCAGGCTCGGGCGCGCCTTGATGGTTCTCATGCCTGGCCAGTGCCCAATAGCTGGCCAACGATGCCGGTGGTCTGCCAGTACTTGCTGGTACACCTGTCCACGCAGCTGTTCTCCCCCACATTGAGGTCGCCGTCCTTGTACCTGGTATAATGAGGGGTAAGAAATGGCATCTGTCTCAAGGCAGGGTCCAGGGGGGCCCTCGCATACAACACGTTGGTATGAGAAGCACGATCAAACGCGAACACTTTCAAACCAATATACACGTAAAAAGTCAAGTACCAACTCACTTCCTGTCGATGCACTTGTCGAAGCAGCTGGTCACCATTCTGAGAAGGTAAGGAGGAGAGGGGCGTGTCGTCGACCATGCACAGCTGGAAGGGAGCATGTGCACAACGAAAAACACCGACAAACTTACTTGTTAAAAAGAGCAACGCGGTATTCCATCTCCTGCTGGGCCAGGATCAGGGCCTGGGAGGAGTCGGGCTGCTGGCTCGCCATCGTGGGTATGTGCCTCACGACCTTTGCGCAAATATCGACTCGGATATCAAAGATACTATATGAGCAGCAGGTGACTGCTGCAGACAGTGGGAATGAGATAGCGTCCCAAGGGTGCGCCAGTCAGTTACTAGGAAGACTTAGCGCCCTGGCTCCTTCCTCCACCGCCGCTGAGTAGGCTGGCGCGCGCGGTCCCGTAATTCGCGGGGTTCACCCGATGGTAAATGCAATCCCATCCGATGCATCAGCCCACGAACCCAACATCCGACACCTTGTGCTTCTGAATTGGGTCGGAGGGCCGAGCAGTGGGCTCGTGTTCCGTGCGGAGACGTTGCGGAGCACGGGATATCGAGTCACCATGTCGCTGCAGCGCACCCTGGACAGCGCCTTGCGCTGGCCGGCCTTCCTCCTGAGTCTGTTTATACTCTTTTGGTCCGTCCCATTCTGCAGCCTGACCTATTACATTCGCTTCCTGGACCTGAAAACGGAGAGGAGGGGTGACGTCTTCAGCTGGTGAGCAGCGTACCCTGAGTATAGGATGGAAGGCTGTGTGCGCAGGGCTGACGCCATTGCGCACAATCACGGAGGATTCAACATGACATGTCTCCGAATCTCCCTTCTCCTGCTCAGGGCAGTAGGCATGAAGAGATGGTTTGGAATCAAGATCCTCAAGGTTGGGGACCGCGAGCTCTTCAGGAAGGACTGCATGTATCTGGTGCGAGGTCGCGAAGGAGGAGTGCATCGCAAGGCAGGATTGGTATGGCGGTATTGAGCCCTTGGAAAAGTGTTTGTCAAAATGGGGAGCTCTTCGTACCCCTCCATGGGCACCAACCTGAGGCTCCACCCCTCCCAACTTGCACTGCAGATCAACCATCGCAGCTGGGGCGACTTTCTGGTGGATCAGTACCTGACAGAGGGCCGCTCCACCTTCCTAGCAAGGTCAGCATGGTGTTGAGTTGGAGTATGTGATCCTCATTCGATAGGTTTTGAAGTTCATTTGCTGAGAAAGGGCATGTGAAGGGCCTCCAATGAAGGGTGACTGAACCCTGGTAGTCCAGTTGTGCACCGTTCCTGCCCTTTCTTCCATGCCACAGAGCCATGGTGGCGGTGGCTTTCCCTTTCTTCATGACTGTCATCATGGTCATGAAGGCCACCATGGTTTTCAAGCGTGGGAACATCCCGGATAAGGAGGTGTGTGGTGGCGGGTGTGCAGCGTGGCATTTTGGCTCCGCTTGGCCGCCTCCTGTGGTACAGCCCAGATTGGCTCGTGTTGCAGCCAGATTTGAACCACCCATCACCACCTCCCGCGCCTCCACATCCACAGAAATTCAATCGCTGGATTGACTCTGAATTCGCGGCCACCCCGCAGACGGCGATCGCTGTGTACCCTGAGGGTGAGGGCCATGGTTGGGAGGAGTGCTGCGGTATGCTTACACCTGGCGTTCACCAGCTCCGCTGATATATGCTTCACCAACATCAAACCCTGTCCTCGTCGCACATCCGACGCCCTATAGCTCGTTCCGCCCCTTCTTCATCCACTCAGGCCACCGGAGCACCATGACGGATTCCCTGCCCCTGAAGCGCGGCATGCTGCACTACGCATACAGCCGCAAGCTGCCCGTCCAGGTCATCATTGCAGCAAATAAGGAGGCCGTCCTGTCGGAGAAGCACAGCACTGCACGCTTTGGGCAGACCATTTGGGCCGGCTACTCTGGTATGTGCCTGTTTGGGCCTGAGTCGGGGGGCCGACAGGTATGGCCTTCAGTGCCCTGCACTCCTGTGCACCTGGGAGGGGGCTGTGGAGCTTCAACCCACGACCGGCTTGCCCTCTTGGAACGCAAGATTCCCTGCGCCCTGATGTGCACCAGCATTGCAAAGGCTCGATTCTCCCTCCTCCACAACCACGTACACGCGCAGAGCCCATGTTCCCGGAAAAGTACGAGACCTTTGACAAGTTCATGGACAAGGTGCAGGCCACCTGGAATGAGGAGTGGAACACGGTCTTTGGGACCAAGCCAGAAGGTGTGTGAGTGTGTGTTTGTGTTGCTGGGGTGGGTGTTTCTCCTGTATGCAAGGCACAACCTACATGACAGCATTGTCTCTGCCCCCCACGGTCATGGGTCTCCCCTTGCAACCAGCACCTCCTGCTCTGAGGCTTCAGGCACATGCCGGCCCCATAAACATCACCCATGCACCCCCTCCCCCCCCCAAACAACAAAAATGCAGGGCTGAGGGAGTTGGTGTGCGAGGATCCCAAGCTGCTCACCCCCCTGCACGTCAGGCGGGGCGTGTCCACCATCATCGCCGTCGTGGACATCTGCTTCCTCGCCATCATGTACTACTCGCTCCGGATGGCGCGCCGGGTCTCCGCCGCGCTGGGCCCGCTGGAGGCCCCCCTCCTGGCGTTGCTGGCGGTGTACGTCACGGCCTCACTGGTGCGGTACAGCCGGCCGTACGACGGCGTGGCCGCCTCCGCGCGGAAGGGCAAGCTGGCGCAGGCCAGCGCCACGCAGGCGCCGCCGGCCCCCAAGCTGGCGGCCAGCGGCGTCGCCGACGTGTCCGCCGCCACCATCAACCGGGCGGCCTCGCTGGCGGCAGAGCCGGGTGACCCCCAGGGACGGCAGTGAGGCAGGTGTAGGTCACATGAACGTTTGAGATTTTTAGGCGCTCTACAGTCTAGTCAAGAGCAGGTGGTTGATGCGCTGCTTTACATGCCCACTTCACGCTGCTCCCCCACAAGGCGTATGTCCGACGAGGGGCGACCCCTGACTGTCACCTCAGCGTCGCTGCTGTCCCCTTGCTGGACCCTGCGCCACCCCTTGCTGTGCTGTAACTTGCTTGCCATTCCGTGCGGTTTGGATCACACAAGGGGTGGGTGCAGGAGTGTGGGGTAGGCACACATCGAAACGACGCACCTCCCCCCTCTCCCTTGCGAACGGTTTCCTGGAGCAAAGAAGGGGGTTTGCACCCCCACGCCCAACTGTGTGCCGACTCACAGCAGGGCACCGAAAGAAACCCGACATGCGCGCGCCGTCCTCACTCACTTCCACACCTGGCGTCCAAAGTACTCCAGCGCGGGCAGGCCCCGGACCTCCAGGTCGAAGAGGGGCGCGGTGATGACCTCCAGGCCTCGCAACTCGGGGTTGTCGTGCAGGCGCTGCAGCGCACGTGCCTGGTCCTTGCGCCGGTTGTCCAGAAAGCTCTGCGTCGCGCCGTCGCCGATGACCTGGTTGACCACCAGCGTCCGCACCGGCACGCTCTCCTTGCGCAGCGACTCCGCCAGCCGCACGCTCTCCGCCGCCGCCATGACGGTGGGTATGGTGACGACGATGAACTGAGTACGTGCCTCGTCGTGGAACAGCGCCTTGGCGGTGTTCATGCGCTCTGTGTGTGTGGCATGGTGGGGGAGGAGAGGTGGAACGAAGTGACGAGCACATGTGCTGGAGGAGGCGGCTGCTCATGCCAGGGGCGCCCCTGCCGCATGAAGCCCTGAAGGGTCCCTGTAAGCCAGATGGCAGGGCAGCGCTGCCCACAAGGCTTGGCGCACCTCTGAAGACCTCCAGGGTGGAGGGCTCGCTGGGCCCCTTGTTCCCCTGGAAGAAGCCCTTGACCGACTGCGTGACGCTGGCGATCTTCTGCTGCAGCATCAGGATCTGCGGGCGGGGCGGGGTGTGGAAGTGCCGGAGTAAGGTGCTGCCAGCGCTTCAAACGCTGCGTGTTTTGCTGTGGCCTGCAGGAGCTGTACAGCAATCCCTCGATCCAATTCCCCTCTCTCCCCTCATCTCCCCAAGCCACTCCCATCCTGTCGACCACCTCCCAACACAGCACCTTGCCCACAGAGGTGTCGAGGAAGTCTGGGAGGGACAGCAGGCGCAGCGTGTGCCCAGTGGGCGCCGTGTCAAAGACGATGCGGCTGAAGCGGGAGTACTCGGGGCTGTCCAGGAACTGGATGACCTTGGCAATGGCCAGCGCCTCGTCCACGCCAGGCGGCGGCGTGTCCAGGAGCTCCCCTGGCGAGGGGGGTGGTGGGCGGTGGGTGGGCGAAGGTTCCCAAAGGTCCCCCGCCTCATCGGGCCGAGGCCCGATGGGGGTTTCACCTCCTGTCATCATGCAGACGCACGCGGCTCAGCTGAGAACACGAGCCCTCCCAGGGGCAGACCAAGGATCAGCCATGCCGTGACATCCACAGCCTCCACGCTCCACACACCTTGTCTCTGTCAACCGCACTGGCGCCCCAACCCACCCTTCCACCACCCTTCCACCACCCTTCCACCACCCACCCACCACCCTTCCACCACCCTTCCACCACTCACCCAGATTGAGGTCCTTGAGCTGCTCGGCCAAGCTCCCCAGACCGACGCTGCCCAGCACGGCGTCCAGCGTTCCCCCCTTCTTCCCGGACTCGGGCTCGGAGTCGGGGGACTTGGCACCTCGCAGCTCCTGGCGCGCAGCGTCGAGGTCCAGCTCCATGCCCCACACTTGGCCCTGGCTGCCCTCCAGCTCCACTGGGTAGCCGCAGCTCACGTCCTGGGGTGGCCGGTGGAGCGTGTGGTTGGGGGGGGGGGGGGGATGGGAAGGGACCTGGGACTTTTCGACAGCGAGGCTGTCCACCGCCACGCTGTACCCTGGCCGGCCAGCCCTCAGCGCCTCCCGCACGCTCGCCATCATGTTGGGCCCCCGTGCGGAGCCCGCGCCCCGCGCCCTCCTCCCCCCTTCCCCCACGCCATCCCCACACCGCCGCTCTCGACTCCATCCAAGCTCCCGATGCCCTCCCACCACACGCCCTCACCTGGTCCAGGGCGTCGGAGAGGGAGTGCGCGGGGTCTGTGGACACCACCAGCGTCGTGTGCCCGGCGGCCGCCAGCTGGACGGCCAGGGAGGCGGAGCAGCTGGTCTTTCCCACGCCGCCCTTTCCACCCAGCATGAAGAAGCGCCTGTCCGCGCCTGAGGGAGGGCAGGATCGGGGCAGGGCGCAGGCATTTGGTGTGTTCAGAGGGGGAAAGGGGTGCTGCCTGGAGCATGCGCGCGGCCTCCAGGAGGGCCCCCTCGGCGCTGGCACCCTGCAGGCCAGCCTGCTTCGGCCCCCACCCACCCCCTCCATCCCTCACCTGCCGCAAACTCTTCGATGATGCCGCCCCACACCAGGCCCCCAAAGTACTGCAGGCCGGGCAAGCCCCGGACCTCCAGGTCCAGGTAGGGGCCCTGCAGCTGGCGCAGCCCCTCCAGGCCCCGGCTGTGCGCCAGCAGGTCCAGCGCTGCCGCTTGGTCCTTCAGCTTGCTCTCCAGGTACCTGGGCGTGAGGAAGGGCTGGGCCCTCTTTGTGACCTGGAGAGTAGGCCTGCAAGCCCCAGGCTCCAAACCACTGCCGCCCGCCACCTTCCCTCCCAACCCCCAATCTCCCTTCTCACTTGCGCGCCAGGCGGTCATCGATGACCTGGTTGACCACGATCCGGGAGCAAGGCACGCCCTCTCGCCGCAGCGCGCCGGCCAGGCGTGCGCTCTCATTCACCCCCAGCACCGTGGGAATGGTGGCGATGATGAATTCCGTCGTGTCCGCGTCGTGGAAGAGGTCCCGCACCAGGCGCACGCTGTTCTGCAGGCCGAGACGGACGAGGGGCGGCAGGAGGGATGGGAGGGCTGGATTGGGTACCCTGCATGCCCTCCGTCGTCGTGGGGGGGCCCCTCTCGCAGGCACACCACAGTCCCTTGCCCGCCCCCCGGCGGGCGAGGCGCACGGAGCCCAGGCTGCATCCAAATACACCCAGTCTACTTCTCACATCTCCCCCCCCACTCTCTCCCCTCCCCTTCCACCCCGGCCCCCCACACCCTCCCCTCCCCTCAATGCCAACGCCTGCAGCACCTGGAGCTCGGTCAGTTTGTCCACCGCCTCCTCCTGGTCCTGGCCGACCCTGAAGATGGCCCGGAGCGGGGCCGAGGCCGCACTCAGCTTCTTCCGCAGCCGGACCAGCTTGCCCAGCGTAGCGTCCACGAAATCAGGAGCTGAGCAGCATGGGGGATTCCGGGGTCAGAGGAGAAGGTTGGGACGAGCTTTGGGGCGTGAGTTCTATGAGAAGCATGTCCATCAAGGCCCTTGCAAGCGGTTTGCATCATGACATCGAACTTAGGCACGTGCCAACCAGAGCAAGCGTCGTGAAGCAGTAGGCCTCAACGCGGCCAGCCTTGGGCCAGTCTCTCAATCTTTCTTTTCCCCTCACAAAACCGCACTCGTCAGCAGGCGCAGGGTGTGGCCTGTCGGCGCGGTGTCAAATACGATGCGGGTGAAGCGCGCAAACTCCTCCCTCTTCACGAATTGCTGGACCTGCGGGGGCGAGGGCATGCAGGACCAGGGGTTGAGCTTGGTCTGGCACGAGCCGGCGCAGAATTCAGCTTGGAGAGGACCGGTCGCCGTGCGGATCCATTCCTCCCCCTGGTGCCCACCTTGGCGATGGCGACCGCCTCATCAAAGCCCGGAGGGGGGGTGTCCAGCAACTCCCCCAGCTTCAGGTCTGTGAACTGCTCCAGCAGGCCTCCCAGGCCAAAGCCCCCCATGAAGTCCTTGACCTCCTGCTTCCCATCGCCTGGCGGCGGGGGAAGATGGGCACAGGAGAGGATGCTTTGCCCTGACGAAATATGTGTGCTCAGGCAGCACTGGGAAGCACGCTGTGCTTTCGAGCTGGATGCGCCAGCGCCTGCTCAAACGATGGGTTCAAGCCTCGGATCACGGGCCTGACCTCTCCACCCCACCCCACCTGCGGTATAGGCCTTGAACTTGGCCTTTTCCCTTTCTGGGTCGATCTCCAGCGCCCAGAGCGGGAGCTCTGTGCCCTCCAGCATTACAGGCATGCCGCCGCTCACATCCTGGTGATTGGGAGGGGTCCAAAGGGTGAGCGGGTTATGGAAAATACACATCTGGATTGATCCTCACACATGCGCATGGGAGAGTACAAGCCACAGGGCAACCTCTGTCCCTTGCGCAGTGGAGCAGCAAGCACAGCCGCACACCGGAGCCATCCAAGAAGCAAACAGCGCTCCCCCCACCTGGGCCAGGGAATCACTGAGCGAGTGCGCGGGATCCGTGGACACCACGAGCGTGGTGTGACCCTCCTCAGCAAAGCGCACCGCCAGGGAGGCAGCCAGGCTGGTCTTGCCGACGCCCCCCTTGCCACTGACCATGATGTACTTGCGCCCCGTGCCCGCAGAGAGCTGGGTGAAGGCGCTGGCCACCGGTTCCACCTCCGTGCTGGAGACGGCCTTCACGGCGAGTCGGATCCCATTGGAAGGTCTGAGTCGACAGCGTGACTGTGTGATGGAGGCTTGAAGCGCCTTCTGCGCGGCAAATGGGCGGCATGCGGATGGGTGGGCTGGCTGGCGCTGTGCCGCATGCCCGGTCCTTGACCAAGCGCATCCTAGGTGTCACAAAGTACCTGGTACCATCGTGGTGTAGAAATGTGCTTCACAGCGTGCGCCTGGAAGCATTTTGATGGTAAAAGGGCCCGGAAGCCGGTGTGCATCGCGGTGCTCATGTGATCCACGGAATATGCACGCAAGCCTACAGGCTTTTCAGGGCAATTACTTATTCATAGCTGAATTTGCTTACCGTTTCAACCAGCGAGCACACTGGGAAGGGCACTCTTGTTGCATCTAGATGGCTCGATTAACTCTCCGACACGATCCGATAGGCAGCCGAGCTTCCACTCATTCCTGGCCTTCCCTATGCCACCGACGATACTGCCAGCCTGGGATTGAGCACCATCAATCTTCTAGGATGTCACTCGCACGAGCACTCTATGTCAGATCCGGTATAGTGTGGATGAATGCTCTGTACTCGGCGTGTCGCATGCTTAAGAGGTCGTCTCTCCGCATACGCTTCCTACCCATGCTTCGGCCCAAACAGCAATGTTGCTGAGTAGTAGGAGGCAAGTACTGTCAGATTCTCCTACCCCTCCTTCCACAACTGTCCGATTGGGAAGATAGCATGCCACACTCGGCGTGCATCGGTGTAGGCCCCTTGGCCGCCGTCGGACTTTCAGGGACCATTGCTGTACACTTGCTGACGCCATTTATCCCGGGGCAAGCGTGCTACCTACCGCAAGGCTCTGAAGACCAAGGACCGGAAAGGCCCACTGGCCTGCACCCTCTTAGCCAGTAACGAGACACAGCTGCCACATCTGAGCCCCTCAGATATCCCAGTCTTGCTACCCAAGAGCGACCCAGAGGTGGAAGAGGACCGCAAGAGTTGGGCGGCAAGGTCTCCCTAACAGTGCAGGGAGGAACTTGAGGGGAAGCGCAGCGCAATCTGCAAGGGCTGAATCAGAGCTCTGTTGCTGATGCGATTGGACGGGTTACACGGACCATTTCCCACCTCGGGGGCAGAGCACGCTGCATACGTTCCCTTCTTGAGAGAGGGGATGGCAAGAGGCGACGGACTTATTGAGGGACTACAATGCTCATCATCACCTTTACATGCTGCAGAATTTGCGTTCTAGGATACCTAGACCAGCACAGCGTGTAATGGTCATCTGGGTTATGAGGGGTCCCGCCAACTTGATGAGTCCCTATAGCCTCAAGAGCCTAACAAGGCACCTCCCGATATGTGTCGACAATATAATGATATCCTTGCACTCGATAATTTACTACTTTCTATTTTTACATCGGTATATGACACCCAGGATGCCTACAACTGGCGCGATGATACCGTATGGCAATTTCAAGTGGACCCCACAGGCACAGGCATAACCCTCACGTCCCAGGTGTACAACTGGAGTGTAGAATGAGGCGTCCTTCCTGTTAAGCTTACCCTATTTACGACTGGATATTTCCCAAGGCAGGAGCTTGCCAGTGCTGCTGGTTCTCTATGTAATATGTGCAGCTTCAAGGCTGTTGTTTGGGTTCGATCGATGAGCTTGGTTCTGCTTCAGGCTGTGGCCCAATGATCCCATCAGAAGGAGCGAGTCATTCTCTGGCAGTGGCATATTGGAGACCATGACCCATCAGGCTAACCAGGTGTGACCTGGAGAAGGATCATCCTTCACACTTTGGTGCCTCCGAACCTGATTTTAGAGCCACTTGATCAATGTCCATCAAAACGTGGCCCCAACATATATAGCTCTGCACTCTCTGACGCTAAGCTCATTGCGGTGTCCGAGGCCAGCATTAGCAGGAGGTATAGCGAGGGATAGTGCGCTTGTCAAACCTGCCACCCAGGCATCTCTCAGGGCAATTGCGTGACATTCCTGGAGCGCGAGATCCGATGAACGGACAATGCCCCTTTCCCAGGCATCGTGCACAGTAATCCAACACCACTTTTGCCACTGCACATCCCAGGCAACCAATCTGTGCCAGTTTGGGGGTGGTTGAGGGTCATAAGTTGCGACAGATCCTACAGCAGCAAAACGTCCAGACAGATTCCACGTATATCCCTCGTATATCTGGTAAGGAATCGCGGCCTAGCACTGGTCATTTTCTTTGAGGCCTTCGGCCCTCAGATATCAGGGGTGGATGTCCAAAAACGGGGCCCGAGGAGTTGCAACCAAAGTCGCACCAGCACCTCATGACCGGGTGCCTAAAGATGACTTTGAAGAGTACTTAGCGAGTACTGCTAGCCAAGGGGCATGTCTGCATTGCAAGCATGGTTGCTATAGGCGAGCTGTTGTTCACCCGCCCTGCTTTCTTAAGACACCAATATGGCCTCGAACGGCAACTGGGGACCAAGCGCGGTTGTCACCGGTGATACTAAGGAAATGTCTTTGGCGCACCATTGCGTGCGGACTGTCAGTCAATCACAAGCTAACACATAGAGGCTGATCCTGTGAGCGCGGCGTCAGACTCTGCCGCGATGGATCGTTCAGTGGCCATGGCACTCCTGTGCTTGTCCCTTGTCGGTGAGTACTTGGACGTGTGCGGGGCACAGCGATGACATTGCAACAGTATGAGCTCACAGCCACTGTCCATCCGACCTTGCAGGCTCAGCCCTGGCTGCACAGAGTATCGAGGTGAAGTCCTGGTTCCCGGAGAATCCCACCAACGAGTTTCTGCCCGGCAAGGAGGTCAAGGCTGTCCTGGGCCTTCACAACGCCGGTTCCAGTGCCCTGAATGTGAGCTACGGCGCTGGCCTCCTGGCCTCGCCGTACGATGCCAACCAGGTCCTCCTGAACTTCACCACCCAGGCGAGGAGGGCGGGTAGGGGTGGGAGAGTTGGCCTCGGCCTTCCCTGTGGCAGACTGCCTCCAACCCACCTAGCTCTGCAGGCTCGCCCCTCACCCCTCCAGGCCTATCCCCCTACCGTGCAGTACCTGAACAATATCCCGCTGGCGCCCCAGCAAGAAGCCAGCGTGGACTACACGTTGCACTTCCCAACCCAGGTCCCCCCCCACGAGTTCCTGCTGAAGCTCGTCCTCTACACCACTGTGGATGAGCAACTGGAGGGGCACCTGGTGTACAACCAGGTGGGTCCTGTGCTGTTGAACCCCGGGGCAGCACGCTGCATCGACTCTGGGGCACCGTGGATTCTGAGTGCACACCCACCCGGCTCATGTTCTCAACCCCTCACACCACCGCAGACCATCTTCGTCATCGAGCCCGCACTGTGGATCGACCTGCAGCTGATCGGCCTCTACCTCATCGGCCTGGCCGTGCTGGCGCTGGCAGGTGCGTGCCGGCGGCCGGGTTGGGTGATCTGAGCATGCCCTCCGACCTGTGCCCCCCCGGGTCGTCGTCGAGTTGAGCATGAGGCATCGATCCCTGATTCCCATCCCCATGCCCCTCCCGGCCTGCCTCTTTACAGGCTACTTCGGCCTGGGCTGGGCAAAGAGCAAGGGGTACGTTAAGAAGACGAGGAAGTCCAAGCTCACAAAGACGGGTGCGGCGTGATGGTGTTTGGGGGAGACGGGCCCCTGTCCGACGTCTGTGCCAGCTGCTGTGCCACGGTCATCATGCGTGAGGGGTGTATCTGCATCAATGAGCTGGGATGTGACTCGGGCCCCCCCCCACTCTCCCACGCACCCCTCCAGCTCCCGGCCCGGCCGACAAGAGCGACTATCTGAAGGGCACCCACGGGCACGAATTCCTGCGCAAGAGGTCGGGCAAGCTGAGCGATTGACGCCCTGGTCGCCTTTAAAGGAGCGGTCTGGTACCATCTCTGTGAAGCTGTCTTTGCCTGGCTTGAGCCCTCCAGGAACATGAGATCTTTGGTGCAGGGGCCGGAGCGGCGGGCGCGGATGAGCCCTTCGATCGGAGATTCCGTCGCGGCACCCTTCCCCCAGGCGTGAGCACCAAGACGACGCTGACGTGCATGCATGCATGTTATCGAGAACTAATCGAGGACCAAATTTCCGGATCGAGCGTCCCAAGGAACTGATGAGAACCCAACAGGCCAACACGTCGCTCCTCCGATAGCCACAGTGGTGTTCGCGGGCTTGCGCCCCCTTCAATGGCAAAGAGTATGCGACAAGGGTGTGCGAGACATGCACTGCATCTCATGTTAATGGCTCGCTGGAAGGACGGGGTGCATGTCTCTTCGCGAGGGAATTCCGACACCTCCCTGCCCTGTGACGCCTGTGCAGAGAAGGCAGCCTCGCGTGCAGGCTCCCGCGCGGGCTCCCGGGCAGCATCCGAGGCTGGGGACGATCTCGCCTCCACGGGCTGGTCCTCCGTGGACCAGAGGAGCATGGGGAGCAGCGGGGAGGGGGTGGAGGAGTACATGGACGACCCCTTTGAGGCCAGCATTGAGGGCCTGTATGAGAAAAGGTGGGGGTTCACTGGGGTATCCTTGTGGTGGTGGGCAGGGGGAATTCCCTTGCATCCCCTGGAATCCGGTCCCACTGTCATGCGCAGCCTTCTGTTGTGCGCCAGAGCACATGCCTCTGGCCTGCTCCCATGCGAGGGGCCCCCTACCGCAAAGCAGGGCGCCGGCACATGCCGGCCCCCTGCCTCAGCGGCCCCGCTCAACCCCCATTCCTTCTCTCCACCAACCCCTCACGTCCCAGGACGACGACCCGAGAGGGCAGCCTCACCAAGCTGGTGGCCTTGCTCTCCTCCCAATGGCAGTACGAGGAGTGCGCACTGCGGGAGGAGACCCTGTTCCAGCTCTTCCTGCGCTCCCTGCGGCGGGGCAAGGGCGCGGAGGCGCGGCTGGGGGCCCGCGCGCTGGGCCTGCACGCCATCACGCTGGGTGCTGGCCCCGCCGTGGAGCGCATGCATGCCGAGGCCCTGCCCGTGCTGGAGCCCATTGCGCTGACGGGTCAGGGGCCCGAGCGCTGCTCCGCGATCGACGCGCTGAGCATGCTGTGCTTCGTGGGCGCGGAGGGGCCGCCGGAGACGCTGGCCTGCATGGACATCCTGGCCCGGGTCTTCTCCACGTCCTCTTGTGGGTACTGTAGGAGTGTGATCTGGTGGTGATTTGGGTGGGGAGGGGGCCCATGTGGAGATGGGTTTTTCCTCATGGTGAGTATGATGAAGCCATGTGGGAGGGGACATTGAAGAGTGTCCTGGCTTGTGCACTATCTGCTGGGGAGGGCGCGGATGCGGCTGGGCCTGTGCCGGCGAGACGATGTCTGCCGTCCCAACGCAAGCGGCGCCCTGGGCTGCCCCACAGGTCTCTCTTCTTGTCCCTTATGTGAATGTTCTCTCCAGAACCCTCTGCCCCCAAAAACACTTGCACCCCAGGTCCAGAGGCGGTGCAGGCCACGGCCGTCAGGGCATGGACCCTGCTGCTGACCACCGTCCCCGCCTGGCACCTGGAGGCGGGCTGGGTGGAGGCACGGCTGGCCACGCTGGGCGCGCTGCTCCACGCCCCCTCGGTGGCAGTGCGTGCCTCGGCGGGCGAGGCGGTGTCCCTGCTCTACTCCACCTGCGGCCTGGCGTCCCTTGCGGATGCGGGGCAGCAGGGGCCCGCCGCGGCACCTGCCACGCCAGCGTCCCCGGGGTCCAGGCCGCCGCGCCCCAGACCCGGGGGGACCCCCCGGCCGGGCGGCGGGACGGAGGGCGAGGAGCCGCCCACCACGCCCGGGGTGGATCTGGGGCCTAGGGTCAATGGCAAGAGCGTCAGCTACTCTGCCGACATCCGAGCGGAGCCGTCCAGTGGGGAGGAGGAAAGCAGAGCGGAGGGCACCTCCTACTCTGCCAAAAGTATGGACCGGAAGGCTGTGTGCGGGTCCAGGGGCGGGGGGGTGGGTGTGCGCTGTGGCGCTTCCAGTGAGCAACCATCCCAGCCCCTGGCTGACAAAGGAGGAGTGTGTTGTCATGCATTCCGCACGGATCAAGGCATTCCAGTCGGGGCCTGGCAGGGGCCCACTCCAGCAACCAGGACTCATCAATGCACCCCCCCCCTGCCACTGTTCCAACAGCGGTGGAGCGCCTGGAGGACATCACCGCCAGGATCCAGGATCTGACCACCAACCGCGGCGACGCGTCCCGTCGAAGCCAGAAGGAAAGGGCGGAACTGCGTACCACATTCCGTAGCATCCTCACGTCCATCGAGGTGTGCTACACTGGGGATGTGCGAGGGGGCATGCCGGTTATGCCGCCCCTCAGTCCTCCGCAGGAGTGACCTCGTTGCTGCGTGGGTGGTGCAGCCTACGAGTCTCATGGTCACCCACTGTCTCCATCAAGTCAGGCGCCCAACCCTCAGTCGGCACCTCTGCATCCGCACAGGGTCAGACAGCTTTGCCCACCCAGAAGATTAAGTTGCGGCATGGTGATGTCCTGCTGGTAAACAGCCTCACGGCTGTGCTGCGGCTGAATGCCTTCCGGCGCTTCCTTGCCGAGGGCTTCCAGGCCCACATGCAGGTGGGCTGGGAGGTTGAATGCATGGTGTAGTGCTTCCTTGCCATTCCTGGCATACAGCGTCTGGGCTCCAGCCCCAGGCGATGCTCAATGTTGGCGGTTCATGTGGGAGGTGCTAGTTCTGCCAAGTGGCATCTGACAAATGTCTGTGTTGTTGTATGGCTTGCCTTTCTGGCCTGCAAAGAACATGTATCCACGTTCTGCATCTTCACAACACAGGACAACCCCCTCCTGCACGAGGTCTTCAATTTCCACCCCAGACAGGAGGCCGCAGACCGCCTGACCGCCCTGGAGAAGCGCCTGTATCGCTCCCCCGCCTCCGCCGAGAGCAAGGCTCGTGCGCAGGACAGGAGGAGGGAGCGGGAGCTCATGGCGTCCTACAAGGGCTCCATGCTGAGCATGGAGTAGGGACGGGCTCCTGAGCGACAGCTCTGAGAGCACAGAGCATGCTGCCAGCGACGCTGCTCCCATGGCATGCATCAGTCAAATTTACCGGCGTATTGCCCTTGCCATTCCCATCATGAGCAGGTCTGGCAGGCTTTCTCAGGCATCCTGAACCCAAACTGTCCATGCTGTTACATCTCACTTCACATGTCGCATGGGAGAAGCAGGGGCACAAAGCACGGGAGGGCGAGGCTCTAAAAAAGGGCCAGCACGGTAGAGCTGAGCACCCAATGCTGCGCAGGGCACGACTGTGCACCAGACCGTGGCAGGCCGCACCCAACTACGACCACTGCGCGCTCAGTTCCGGGGCTGGGCATCCAGCTTCCTCCTGGCTCCTTTGAGCGTGCGCTGCAGCGCCCCCGCTGCCACCCCGGCCTGGCCGTCCAGGCGGCCGGCAGCGGTGCCGGCCGCAGCCCCTGCTGCCCCCAGCGCCTCGTCCAGGATCGCGGTGGCTAGGCCCCTGATCCCGCGGGAGAGGTCCCGTGCAAACCCCCGGCGCTTGGGCCTGGAGAGGCCGCAGAAGGGCCCGGTCACCGCGGCGCCAGCCGCGCCGGCCACACGCACAAGCGGGCGGATGGGGCGGGTGCCGCCCACGAACTTGTGTGCCTGATAGGCCGTTTCGCGGATGTAGGCGTTCAGGATGGCGGAGCCTGCACGAGGTTTTTGGGTGATGGTAGAGCCTGATGGTGTGGTGAGGAGACCCGACTCAGAGCCAAGCGTAGCGCCCTGCTGCACATGTCCTCAGACCACCCCGAACCCCAAGCCCACACCGCTCACCGAGGGCGGCCAGGCCATCCACCCCAACGAGGCGGAGCTCACGGTAGGTAAGGCGCACGCCCCCCAGCGGCACCAGGTGCAGGAGCTCATTCAGGCTGCCCTCCCTCAGCGCCTGCAGGTTGACCGCGCTGGCAGCGTGGTCCAGCACGATCAGCATGGGCTTGAGGGTGAAGTGCTGGATGAAGGGCCACGATGCAGTGGAGTCTGTAGGGAGGGGTGGAGATGTGTTGATGGAGGTGGGGTTGGGGGGTGGGGGGAGGAATTGAGTGGCTTGGGTGGGAGAACGAGTGCGGGGTGCTGCCTCCGGTATTTAGGGCTGGGCCAGGCTCTGTGGACCATGCCTCGTGACAAGTGTTTGAGTGGCCCAATCCAACAACCCAGTAAGGACCCTAGGCATTGCCAAGCACACCGTTCATGGCGGGTGTATCCCACACAGGGCAGGCTCGAATCGTGGCATGCCCACCATCACCCAAACAAACACGACCAACACCTCTCCCCACCTGCCGCCCCCCCCGCCTTGGACTCTCCCGCCTCCGCCTCGCCGTCCTCCCACCCACTCCAGTCCACCAGCCGCGCCCCAAAATCCTCGTCAAAGTCGGCGCCCTCGGCGCCCTGTGCCAGCACATCCCGCAGCACGTCGATGGAGCGCTTGCGGAGCTGCAGGCGCAGCGGCGCGACGGCCGCGGCCACGCGGTACTCCACCTCGCCCCCGACGCGCACGCTGTGCACGACGACCGACAGCTGGGGTGGGGGCTCGGCGCGAGAGGGCGTGGGGGGGCCGTGGCGCGACAGCACGGGGCGGCCCCTGCTGTCCTCCACGGTCAGCGAGCGCAGCGTGCATGTCGTGGCCGGGGAGGAGGCGGCGGCGTCGGGCCCGTCCCTCGTTGCGCTCGACTCGCCCTCCACCTGGAGGTATGGCAGGGGATGAGGATGGGGAGGAGAGGGTGGGCTGTGCGCACAGAAGGCCTCGGGAACGTGTGGCGTCCAGGCAGACACAGAGTTTCATCTGCCGGCGCCTGCAGGCTGCCTGACCATCACAGGCCTCACTCCAGCACCCCGCACCCAGCCCCTCACCATGATGCACAGGTCGCGCAGGCGGGTCACGACGACGTCGCCGGTGGACGCTGTCAGCGTTATGTCGATGTTGAGGGTGCAGTGCAGCCAGAGGTCCTCTGGGTCTGCCTCCAGCTGGAGGGGAGAGGGCACAAAGGATGGGGGGATGACGTAATCGTCTACCAGTCTGGTCGCTCCAAACCAGGTGCCGTCCTGGGTGTCCCTGCAGATTGCACAAGGGTTGTGGGGGGACGAATCAGAAAGCACAAAGCATACTGTAATGCATCTGAACTGATGCTTTGATCCCACTATACAATCACAATCCTAGTGGTGATGCACAAGTCGGCTGTCCCACCCTCTCATCTGGATCCCTGTCATCCCTCTCCCACGGATGCTCACGAGGAGCTTGGGCCTTCCAGCTCCTGCCAAGCGGTGTCCGAGTCGACCATCACTGGTGGGCTGCCGGCTGGAGACAGAGGTTCCAGGGGAATGTCCTGGTAAACCCCCCCTGGATTGGGAGGGGGGGGCGGGAGGGGTGGGGTGCGGGGTTGACAGGAGCAGCTCTTGCAAGGGGGCCCACAACAGGGGTCAGGGGGGGGACACATTGTGGGTTGCTTCTCAGTCCCACGCCCTTCCGACCCCTGCATGCGGCCAACCATGCTGGCAATCCCTGTTCCCGTCCCCATGGGCAAACCGCATCGCCCCGCGCGCACCTTCCACAAACACAGAGGCAGCCGGTCCCGCCGCCCCGCCCCTGGCGCGGGCGCCGCGCGCCTCGCGGAAGGCGTCCTCGTCAACCCCTGCCAGCACGTCCCGTGCCGCCGCGAGCTCCTGCTCGGCGCCTTCGGGGCGCGGCGAGGCGCCTCGCCCGGGTCCCACCGCCCCCGCCAGCCGGTGCCCCAGCCGCTGGACCAGCTGCCCGCCCCGCGGCG